TTTTTGAATTCATTAATTGATGAAAACAGCCTATATTGAAATACATTTCAATTATTCTGGCCATTAATGTTTTTTTTGCTAATGTATCAATTTCTTTATGAGAGAGAGGAAACATTGTTTTCCAGCACAGAAACATGAGTTTACTTTGCAACTGGAGTCCAGTATCTTGGAAGCAATTAAGCCTAGCTCTCATTTTGAGCAGGTATAATCTGATTTGACATTCGAAGCAGACCTTGCAAATACTGCTATTAAAATGCATTTCTGCAAATATTATGAATAGTGTTCTCATGGCTGACTCTCTATTTTGTCATATTGTGTGTGTATGTTGTGTGCTTTGGTTTGAGATTAGCCACTCCAATAAAAGTATAAACAGTGATTACCAGGTAATTGCAGTCACAGGTGTTGTGCTATCTGGTCTCCTGTTTTCAAGTCCACATAGCCCAGATGTAGATTATATGACCTCCCAGATTCTCTGATAGCCTTCACCAATGTCCTTTTCCTTACTCTAGCAGAAGGTGTTTCTAAATGCATTACAAGCCCTCAATTTTCAACACATTTCACTACTACTCGTCTTGGACTTTGAAAAAGATTAATACCCTTTTCTTCCTACATGTCTAACATGTAAAGCCCAGGCCAGGAATGTCAAGGGACATTTTAAGATGTAGGTATGCCTTTGAAATGACAATGGAACCACTGCCCTGGGGTCGTGGTGCATTCTTTGTTACTTATACTACCATGCCTAGATGTTCTAGTGTCCTGGTTCACACAGGTCTTTCCAGAGATACAAGATCGTGTTATGCTTGATTACTATCTCTGAGATTATGGTGAGTTATGCTGTATGCCAGGTTAGTTCACATTGTCCATACCTCTGGAAGTGGTCTGGCATTTCCTTGTGGAGGGATGCAATAGTTGCAGCCGTGCATCTACCCATCTTATTTTTTTTTCTTTCTTTTTAAATAGCACTTAGTTGATTAATCAGCAACAAACAGGGATGATGACAATTCATGGAATGAAAACAGTACTTGGAAAGGATCATCGGACCCACTTAACTAATTATGATGCCTTGACAGATCCTGGACAAAAGAAGTGTGAAGACTGCTGTAATGACCATAAAGGCTTTGCAGATCATTATTTGCAGATGTAACTAGATTACTGTTGATATCTTGTCTGGAGGATTTGCTTTTATGTAACTGAGCAATTTTTAAATCTGTTTGTTCCTCAGTCGGCACCTTTACCAACACCCAGAAGGGTACTTTGTTATCATATATGTATCTGTGTTTAAAGACCTGAGAGACCTCGGGGTCCAAACAACCTCAGGGCAGCCTGCAGTAAAAGAATGAAACTGCTTTCATGTGTGCAGAGATGTTAGCTGCTGCTAGAGGAACCAATGCAGTGACATTTCAGATGTTGAAATGTTCAGATGTCAGTGATACTGCTTTTTTTGGTTTCCAAGACAGTACCTTCTGTAGGGCATTACCAAAGCTGATGGAGTATAAACCTTTTTCATCATTTATGATATGAAGTATGCTTTGCAGGGGTTTATAGCTCTGCTGTGGAAATTCTCTCTAGCTTGAAATTTGGAATTTTAATTTCTCCTCTTAGATGACTGCCACTAAAAATAAAAACTTATTTTAATTTTGCTTCCAGAACCTTATCAAAATTGTTTCAGTATGTTTTTATGGTAGTAGGAAAAAACAGAACTTATTTTTTACTGATACAATGTCTTTCATCTCAAAATTCACCAAATGAGGTAAAAGTTACTTGCATAGATTAAAAAAAAAACCACGAAGCCTAAAAACAGAATAGAAATTGTTTGCTGCTAAAAGATGGAGCATATGGCAAGAAAACAGGGACAATCCTACTCTTCCTGTAGCAAACTCCTATAGTATCCTCCATGCTCAGGTAGTTCAGATGCTTTTAGGCTGTGAAAATAATGTGCTTTGTGGGCTCTCAATGCTGTGCTGCCAGCGAAAAGGTAATGGGTAAAAGTCAAATGTGGCTTGGTGCAAGGTCTGAGCTTTTCTCTATTACTGTACATTTCCTCTTGCCCCTTCGTTCTACTTTTTCTTACAGTGCTTGCTGCTAGGGAAAGCAAACAGAGTGGATAGTTCTGCCCTTGCAGGGCTTCCTGCTGGGGTGATTACCTGTGATGTCCTGTGTGTTAGTACACCATCACAATTTGCTACTTGACTGGCTGAAGAGTACTTGTCACCAAGTCATTCAAGTGCTCATGGCTGTGTGAGCGTGGGGGAGAGCAACTCTTAGGTTTCCATGTCCACTTGAGGAAAGGTCTCCAGCCAACTGCAACAGGGGAACAGCTGTATTCCTGATGGGCTCTGGACATCAGTGTACTCATGCTCCAAGATGTGAAGGAGCAGAAGTGTGAAGCTCAAAGACAGATGTGGATGTTCCCTCATTAAAGGAGGGAATATCTTGAAAATGAAACTCTATTCCACACTCTGACTTTGTTAGGATTTTGGTGGGGGATGTAGGTTGAGGGTTTTTTTTACAGTAACCAACTTGCCTGACTAGGTCTCTGGGTATGTCAGTGTTGTCCTAGTGGAAATGTAACGGTGCAGCTAAGAGGAAGGGAAGCACTTAGCTTGCAGAAGTTTTAGGCTATTGACTCATGTTCCAGAGGGTTTTGCCTTTTAATAAAGAGAATCAGTCTTCTCTCTATGGCTAAAGATGCACCATGAATTTTGAGGGATGTTGACTCTGCAGTGTGATAACTGATGTGTCAAACTGAAAGTGGTGGAGTGAAATTTGAAACTGATTGAGGACTTGAAGCCTGGCCTCAGGTTAGAGCTGTGGAGTGTCCCAGTTGTGTAGGCCTGTCTCTAAAACAAGAACCATTGGTCATTCCGTTCTGAACAAATATTGAAACCTTCAGTTTTTGGGTTTTTTTAAACACACTCTTTTTTTAAACTCACTTATTTCAGGAATAAGTTAAAAAAGGGCTGTGATGAAAACAGCCATCAAAGTAGCTTTTTGGCTCACTTTATAATGCTGTTCCTAAAGTATTCATTGTAATGATTTGTTGCTGACCTAATATTACACATTTGCACAGTCATGTTTCTGTTTTCCCTTTTTAAAGGCTGTTTCTCATCTCACTACTGATTTATAGGATTAACTAAATGCATATGAGTTGCAAAAAGATAGAATGTTTGACTAGGATGCCTACTCCTGTACTTAATTTTAACCCAGAGTTTTTCTGGCACTCTGTGCTAAGTTGTGCAGACAACTTAAAGAAAAGACTTGTGATGACAATTCCAAGTCTCTGCCAGGGCCTTGTGTTCTTGCAGGTAAAAGGGAATGTAGAGGAAATGTTTATATGCAGTGTAACAGAAAAAAAATGCAGAGATCTTGAGCATCTTCTGGGTACAGATAAGAATACTTCATGTCTGGGCTGTGTAAGAACAGGATAGGATGTTTTAAGTACATTCCCCTGGATAGATTTTTTTCAATGAAAGAGTAAAGTGGAACAGTTCACAAATCCTAGCTTTCCTAGTGTGAAAGAGTAGCTGCAGTCAGAAAAATGGTACTTGGAGCTCTTTATCCTTTTTGTCAGCTTCCTATTCAGCTATGCCTATTTGCAAGCCATCAGATTTTTTTTAAATTTATTTTTGTTTCATGTTTTTCCTTACTGACACAGCCAGCTCTGCAAAACCATCATGCCATCTTGTCCACTCTATCCCTCACTATGTGGTGCCATGTTTTTGTTTGTTTGATTTGTTTTGGGGTTTTTTTTTTTGCATTGAACTAACCTACTTTGCAAGCTTTGCATTCTTCCCAAGCAGTTTGACTCCCTATGTATATTTTAATAGTTGTATTCAGACCATGTATTGTGAAGGAGTGTGCTACAGCTCAGCCCAGATGAGGTGGTGGGAACTGTAATGTGGTGCTGGATATATTGCATGTGTTGGAGAATCTGCATCTCATATTCAGACCTAACCCCTATTGCCAGCCTATTCCTGCTCCTTGAATTAATTTTTCCTGACCTGTACAATTGTGAATAATGAGGTACAAAGCAGCCAAAGTCAGCTTTGTTTTCCATTGCTGCGTTAGCTCCACTGTGGGAGCATGTTTGTTTTCATTCATTGAGTTAGCAAGTCCAGTAAAAAACCAAAGAGAATAATTTTCTGGTTTTACTCAACTTTCTTGAATCATAATCAGATTTTAGGAAGAGGAATTGTGAAGAGCAGTTATAACCAGGGAAAAAACACCTAGAAAAGATGTAAAAAACTGACTGGAATATATAATTTGTTGATTCATGCTTTTTTTTTACCATTTCACACTCAGTCTGTAATGTGCTATGAAAATAATTCTGATGTCATGTTAAAAGATTGCATGCAGCTTTTCTGCAAATAAAGGAAAGAGCTCCATACTGGAGCAAATTCGAGTTTTCACATGAGCTTATGGGTAAAGCAGCAAAAGTTTGAGAAATTGATCCAGGTTTTATATTAAGACCAGTAAGTATATTGGAATGAAGAACTCTTCATGACATTCAGATGAGATGACAAATCTTTCTCCTATTTAGAGTTTTGCTCCCTTCTCCCTCAAGTTAAGCAATTATATGCTACAGCATCTTATTTGAGTTTTGTTTTAAAACATGTTTTTAGAGATCCCAGTAGGAACATGCTGTAGAGGTAATGGAAGTACCCCATGATTTTTTTTTTTTTTTGTATTCTCTGCTTTGTTCTTGTTTTTAAGTACTGGCAACTTGCTTTCATCTCTATGTATTTGAATTTGTAGCACAGGAGTAAAAGGTACTTCTGCAAAATATATCAAGGTCCTACACTGAAAAGTCCTCCAAAGTACAAATATCATTGCAAAGGGACATGCTTTAAAAAGGTAGTGGTGATGTTAGTGAAAGGAAATCAGCTTTTTTAAACAGGGTACCACATGTCTCTATCTTGTAAGCCATTTATGGTCACAGTAAACTATATTATGGCTTGGTTGTAGCGCTGTGCCTTATGTTGGTGTTGTTGCAGGTTCCAGTTGTGAGCAGTGCAGAGAAGGAGCCACGTACTCAGGTGCAGTTATATCTCCCAACTTAGAAACCACTAAAATCATGCGGGTTCCTCACGCGTTGTCAGTGTCCGACTGCATCGCGGCGTGTTGTGACCTCTCTGGTTGTGACTTGTCCTGGATGTTTGAACGGCGCTGTTACATCGTGAACTGCCAACACAAGGACAATTGTGAACCTAAAAAAATTGAAACTGTAAAGTCCTACCTTACCTTTGTGCTGAGGCCTTCTCAAAGGCCAGCCTCACTGCTAGGGTTTGGGCAAGTGATCCCAAGCATGGTCCACTCTGTGGGACTCCAGAATGACCCATCAGAGGAAGTGAGTAGCCTGAAGAAGCTGTCTCTGCTTGGAAAAGATCCTGGCCTTGAGGAAATACCTGAATACATTGATGATTATAAAGAGTTGGAGCAGGACCCCTTTCAGGTGGGCATCAAACACCCACAGAAGGACAGTATGGATTATGCTGACTGGGGCCTGATGGTGGCAGGTGAAAATGGCTTCAACACTTCCATGGGTGATGATGGAGATAACCAGGAAGATTTTGCTGAAAAGAAAGGGGAGGCTGGGAAGGTGGAAAGCCTTCTGAATAAAAACAGCTCTGAACCGACTTCCGTCAGTGAACACTCCACAGAGAGGTCATCCCTTCCGGAGATTACACCACTCCCTGGGAAGACATTTGAAAGGGAAGCAGCTGTTCCACTTCTTGCAGAACCTGAAGATGCTTTGCAAAAAGAGGTATGTTTGCCCTTCAGGAAGCAGACAGAGTGTGGTGAGGCTACTTGGCAATTATTTTAGTTTTCAAATATTTGAAAATCTTAGGTTACTGCTTCATAATATTACAACTCTCATATGACTTACAGTCATGTTGCCATGTACAGGAGGCTGAAGTGGATAAGATTGTCTTAAGAGGTAGGTGAATCACTAAAGGACTTTTTTTTTTTCATCAGATGATAAAGAGTAAAGTTCCTTTTAGGGCACTATGTGGTTTCTTTAAAAGTGTACAAATGAGTGAACCTGGACCTGGTGTAATAGTGTTACAGTGGTCTTTACTTCTGACCTCTGGTGACTCACTGGACGAAGTTAGCAGAGCAGTACAAATAGACCTTCTGGTATCCAAAGGCCGTAAGCTTTAAGTGGGGAACGTAAGCTCCTCCATCAATAAAATTAGGCCTGCTTCATGGGTTTCATGCTACTAATGCACAATGGTATTACAGATGTAAGTGCTGAGTTAATTTTTATAATGCTTTTAAAACATGAGAAGGGCATGGAACTTGAGGAGGGATGATAGCAGTTTTAGACCATGATGTGCAGCAGGATAAAGTGGATAAGGTGTTCTGTTCTCATAATCCTTGAGTCTGATAATTAGAAAAATAAGTTAATTACTTAAAATCCAATCTTTGTCAGTATTAGTAAGATGCACCTGTTCTCTATTTATGCCAACTAGCTTGATCAACTGATGCTAAAGGGGCCTTGGTTTCTTAAGAACAGGGTAGGTTCAGTTTAAACAGGCTATAAGTCCAGCATTGCCTGGGTTTGATTCCCCTTGCTAGAGGAAAGAGCAGATTGATCAATGTTAGCTGACTTGCTCTAAATTCCACAAGATTTTGTAACCAGCAAGTATATCTTGCTGTAAAAATGGTAATTTATTGCTGTTACTGTAGGGAAGAAAGATGCAAGTAAATAAGAAAGTCGTGTGAAATCTCTGACAACTGCAGTTCTGGAAGGGGATGACTGATATGTGGAGAGCAGCAAGTCATAAGAAACAGATAAAGACTTCAGGTAACTGGAAGGAGCCTCCTATTAACAGTCCTGGTCCTCACAGTGGATTTAAGACACCCCAATACCTACTGGGAGGGCAAGAGAGCAGGGCAAAAGCTGTGCAGAAAGTTTCTGAAGGTTGCTGATAACTCCAAGAAGGTTATTGCTTTGAGTTGCTTCCAGGAGGTTGAGAAGGAGGTTGAGACTGCTGGATTTCACCCTTGCAGGAAACAAGGGATTAGTTAGGGATGAAGGAATGAGGTAGAAGCTTCTAAGAGGGGCAGGAATAAGTTAGGAAGCGGGGTCACAACCACGGGCTGCAGTAGAGCCAGTCTTTCCCCTTTTGTGGGATCTGTTTGGAAGAATTGCAAAGGAGAGTGCCCTGGAGTTAAGTGGGGGCCATAACAGCAGGTTGCTTTTTGAGACCACCTCCTGTAGAGCACAAGTGAGAAGAGATTAGAACTTGTCTTCATGTGTAAGGAAGAACACTTGACAACAGAACAACTGCTGTAGCAAGCTGAAAATTAGGTACTGCTTCTGCAAGTAGAGTTGATAATGGGAGAGCTGTTTTAAAAAGTTCCTACCATGCACACCTCAAAATGAGCATAATTAACATGGAGGTTTAGGTGAGAGGAGTAGATAATGGTTGTTTTTTTCTTAGTATACAGAAAGTATATATATATATATATATATATATATATATATATATGTACATATGAAGAGTATAATAAAAAAGTAGACTGTCCCTGCTAATAAAATTTAGAGTGACATTCTGTCATGCACTAGTGCAGCAGTTGGTTCTAACACAGGGCAGTAACTGAGCTGTTCTTACAAAATTAAAATTAAGGACACCCAACCATATACTAAACTCATACCCATGCTGTACTAAACTCATCTCCCATATTTCCTTCCATCTGCTAGGGGAAACTTGCAGTAATCTTTTAGTTACTGCCTGTGTAATGTGATGGAAATCAAGCCACACTAAGAACCTGCAGTAGCTCTGTGCTTCTTCATATTTGTGCATTTTAGGTGTGCAGTAAGACTTGAAACTTGTTTTCATTGCATTTTGCTGTCTAATGGAAGACACATTAGTGTGGTGCTAATCTTTAGCCAATTGTCAGGATCTCTGCTGACTGAACTGCTTAAACCTTGTGCCTTAGAGGAGTCATAAAACTTCGAGTTCACCTAAACTATGTATCAGATCTGAGCAAGTTTGTTCCCTGTCTCTGAGGGATCATGTGAATACCATTTTACGAAAGTTGAGATTTCACATCCTGCAGCCATGATGAAAATATATGGCCAGGCCTACTTTGTAGGTCTCTACTTTGGTTTTCCCACCCCAGCCAGAATCTAAAGATTTTGCTTTCTCTTTGTATACTGACTGTAGATGGGAGTTTATTGTAAAGTGAAATGGAGAGAAACCTATTTCTCACAGTGACACAGAGGAGTCATTCTTGTGTGCTCTTTATATTATGCTAACATTATGCTAGCACAGCCATTGAAATTCCAATAGAAAGGCTGAGGAATGAGCTTGCTGCTTTCAGTGCAGAAGGGTTGAAACTCTAAAGCTGGGTCAGTCTTTAGCCACAGCCGACAATGATGCTGAAGAACTGATAAGACAAGTGTCGTTAGAAGGTGTTTGGGACGTGCTCTGTGAGCAGAGCTGTAGAAAGCATGTTAATGGGATAACATTAAAAGCTGTTCATGACATGTATTGAGAAATGGCTCTAAAGGCTCTCTATTAATGTAAAGAAAGAATCTGGGGAAGCAGAAGGCTTTCAGAAACTGCCAAAGCCTAAGCAACCTTTGTTTCCTAGGTGGGAATCCTTTGAATTTAGATGTGTAGAGAAATGGAGATGATGAGTGGTTTTAGCAAATATTTTTCCCTAACCTTCTCTAGAATCAGCTTCAGTCTAGACACATCTACTGTCCCTTCTTAGTCTTCATTCCCCTTCCTTTCACTGCAGATTATGCTCAGTTGCTTTGGTGAGGAGACAGGTGGCACAGGAGGTTGGGGTCAGTGCATGGCAATCTCCTTCTTTCCATTTGTCACTTATCTTTTCTGCCACTCTTCCTTTTTGTTTCATCTGCACTGGTGTGGGCTTCTCTGTGGGCCTCATTTCCTTGGGAGGTGTCATGGAGTGCATGTTTCCACGAGGGTGTTGCCAGCCCTATGCACAGTAATGTTTGCTTCCAGATGTTTTCTCTCATGTATCCTGTGCATCCCCCCACATCCTCCTGTTTCCCCTGCCCACAGAGGCTGTTGCCCTTTTTTAACTAGATTTGAGAGGTTGCAGTGTTGGTGCATGGTGGCTTGATTCCACCCACTGCCAAACTGACTGAGGCCACCTAGGTGGCCCCTTCAGCCAGATATCTGCCACCTAAGCCCTGCCAGGTGTGCCTAACACAAATTTTCAGCTTGGTTTCAAGCTTTTATGGTTTGGGAGCTTTACTTGTGACCCTAATGAAATAAAAACTGTCTATGATATGTTCTGGTGATAGGATTTCCTTCTTATGTGTCTCTTTCTCCAACAAGCAAACATTTTCATCAAATCTCATATGGATTGTTTAGCACATATTTATGTTTCTTTCTGAAAAAAGTTGGTTTTTGAAAACCAAATTTTATTATGAAGGAAATCTTAAATTTTTACACTGGATTAAAAATGCCAAGAGGTCTCCAAATAGTTTTTTCATTGGTATATAATCCAAACAACCTCTCAAACTGTGGTGTTTTTGTATAGGCTATGAAAAGATGAAGGTCTTAAAATCATGCTTGCTCCTAAGTTTAATGAATTGCCCTGTTTGTTGCACATTATACAATGTTTTCCTATCATCCTCTGAGTTCTGCCACAGCAATTTTATATCTCTATTCCTGAATCTGTGCTGACACGCTCTCTTCTGCAGCTTCCAGACAAAGCTGTTTTGACAAGCCAGACAGAGCAAGGTGGCAAAAATATGATTCCCTGTTTCCCACCCTTCACAGTAGTCAGCAGGATGTTGTGTCCTCAGGTGCTGTGTTCTTTGAGCAAGGACCTATACAGAGATTTTAAACTGAAAAACCAACCAAAGACCTCTGGTGTGTGTGCCCTTGGAGCATCCTTGTCATAAATGCAGTCAGATTCAGGGATTTTCTGTATGTGATTTTGGGAGAGAGAATATGGGGTTTGTCACTTAAGTGAGTCACCTGACTGTTGGGTTTACATCAGAGGGAGTTCAGAGGGTTCTTATGGACTGTCACTCTCTGACAACTCAATAACATGAGTACATTCAGAAATCTGTACAGAGTATATGCTGTCCAGCTGCCCAGAACAGAAATCTGAAGTGCTACCCATCCTTGAAGTGAGATATCTGCAAATAATTGATTTTATTTTTTAAATTTCCAGTTAAACTGCTGATCTGCTAAGCCATGTCAAGTTTTTCAGGTCTTAGAGTCTAGCTGCTACTATGTTGATGCTGCAAGATTCCAAACATTTACTCAATAGCTAAGGCCTGACTTAATTCCTGTGCTTATTGTATTTGCAGAGATAATGGTGCACTCAAAATGCATAAATCTCTACCTAAGAAACCTTAAGATGGCTGACAGTCTCTATGTGATGGTGAGCCTTTTAGTGTCTGATTGGCTTGCCTTCAGAATTCATTTTTAAGACTTAGAACACAGTTGAATATCATAGACATTCATCTCTTGTTTCAGCTTTGAGGCCTGCAGAAGCTGAACAGTTCTTTTAGTTTAAAATACATTGACTTGATCCAGAGAGGATGTATAAAAGCCCTGAAAGATGCTTGGATATTTGTTTACCTTTCTTTCTATTTTGAAGTCTGTGCTTCATGTTATGTGATTGTTCTTATTTTTTGTTGGAATTCTCAAGATATTTGCACTCAAGTCAAACCCAGAGAACTGGAGCATGTGGGCCCTCACCATTGGTCTGTTTGTATTGAGCAATAGTGGCTGTAAAAAAGAGTAAAAGCAAACAATCCACAAAGCCCTACCAGCAGAGCTGCCTTTCAGACTTCCAGAAGGAATTCTGTCCTTTAACTTTCACTTCCCAAGCTGGAATTTAGGTTAATCTTGTCTTCCACATCTGTTCCAGAAAATCTCTCAGTAATAGTCTCTGTCTGAGAACTTAATTTCTGATATTGTCCCTACCCCAGTTGTCTGCTGTCTGCTAACATTTTTAGTTTGTCTTTTTGGCTGTGACACCGCTTCAGATGTGACAGTGCCACAGGGCACCTTTTTTGACTGCAGTGTCTTGCCTAGATTTGCTAGCTGAAGTGATGTTTGGTGCCACTGCAGAAGAGGCACCCTGGAAAGGTATGTTTGAGGTGACTTTGTTCTCCATCTGTCCTACAAAGCCATGATAGCTGGTTTTCAGCTGCTGGATTGGCAAAGGATGAGGAGAGAGAAGCCAGAGGAAGCTCAGGAAAGTAGACCTCCCTCAAATTCAGAAGGCAAAAGAACGCGGTTTGCCCAAGTGTGGGAAGAAAATCCTTTATAAAGATGAAGGGTGGACTGAGTATGTAAAGGAGACCTATCTGGAGGAAAGACCTTTTGTCAGGATACAAAGCAGGATGGGCTTGAGGATCTCCCTGTACATCATGCTGTCAAGGGTGAGTTTGCTGAAGGCACTACTTTAGAGGAGCTGCAGTCCCTGATCCTGCTATAAGTGTCCAGCTGCTCAGAGAGTACTGTCTGCATATGGAGCAGAGCTGGAGGTGTGACCACAAAGGTGCTTATGTTGTCTGTGTTATGGACTCACCCAAAAGTGCAGCTCTTGGTATGGTACTCAGCATCCTCAAGCTGGACAGCCACAATCCCTGTCACTGCACAGGGATCATTTCTCTGTGTCCATTGTTGAAGGTTGAGATGGAATTGCAGATGACTTCCGTGCTCTCTATTTCCTTGCAGGCTGAGAAGGAACAGTTCGTGGCATTGCTTTCACATTCCCATCTGCACAGGGAGCTTTTTCTCCTGTCCAGAAGGCAGAGCTGCTCTTATTTCCTAGGGAGACAAATTGCATAGGCAAAGTAGAACACTGAAATACAAAGAGTAGAGAACTGGGACTGTTCAGCCTTAAATGGAGAGGGTTTGGGGATTTTACAGATGTGTATAAATAACTCTGATGAGTGTGAAGAAGATGGAGCCAGGCTCTTCTCAGTGCTGTTCAGTGGCAGGACAAGGTACAATGGACACAAAATGAAATTCATGGAATTTTATTTAAACACTAAACCTTATCTTTTTTCCTGTGAGGATGGCCAAACACTGGAGGTTTTCCAGAGAGATGGATTCTCTGTCCTTGGAGATACTCATAACATGACTGAGCTTGGTCCTGAGCAGTCTGCTGTAGCTGACCCTGCTTTGGGGGTGGGGGCTGAACTGGGCTATCTCTAGGGGTCCCTTTCCACCTCAGCCATTTGTGATATAAGTGTACACTTTCCCAACTTTCATAATCTTATTCTTCAGTTAATAGATGATGTACAAATAGTAGTATTTTGCTGTACCTTCACATGCCAAACACAGTAGCCATAATTGAAAAAAACGCTTTTCCCATATCTTTAGGTCAGAAATAAGTCTTAAGAATATTAAGGAAAACCTGCTGGCCCATTGAGGATAATGTGTTGTTGAAAGGCATGATTAACCCAGTGCTGAGTTATTCATGCCACAATTGCCATGTCCTTTGCTGCAGTTCTAATTTACTAATAAAGTGAGGCAATTCTGCTTGATGCCTGAAGTAGAGACATGTAGGATGTTTTATTACTGTTGAGGAGATAAAAAAGCATGAGCAGCTTGTGTACTGAGCAGATGTAGTAAGAAGCAAGGACTTCGTTATGTTTGTGTATGACACATAGACAGTAATACCACACAGACTTTCTGACATCGGCTTTTAAAGGTTTATGACTGTATTTAGACCTGTCATACTGATTTTTTTTCACATTTTGATAACTGGTAGCCTTAGTTGTATTCCAGGTTATCTCATGACTGTTCTACATCTAAAACTTGGAAAATTATTAGCATTTGTTACAAAGCCTCATTGGAAACAAAAAGTCCTTGTTCGATGTGTGTTCTGTACATGAATAGAATCTCCTAGTAACATAAATCGCTAGAGTCATCCTACATGCTGTTAAAAAAACAGCATACCTCTAAATTTGGAAATGTAGCAAATATCTCACAACTCTTCCTATAATTCCTTTTTTCAGGCTGCTACACCTTCCTCTTCTTCAGATAAACCAGGTTTCTCCCCAGGCACGTCAGAGAAAACCCAGACTCCCACAGTGGCCCCAGAGAATGCCACTGAAGGTGGGATCATGCTGTTTCCTACTAATACTGCACCGCCTGAGCCCATGCAGCAGTTCACACCACCTGCTACTGCAGCAAAAGCAGGTAATGTTTCAACAAAGCTGTCGAGCTGAGGGTATCTGCAGGTTGGGCAGAGAGTGGAGTGGCTTTTCTACTGTCAGGTTTCCAACCTGTTGTTATAAGAGCTCATTCTTTACCCAACTGTTACATAATCCCACTTTAAACCTGTAGACCTACAGTAGCACTGCAAACCCCAGACCTTGTAGTCACTTAATTCTGAGGCAAAATTCTGACCAAGTCCGCCATTAGTGGGAAATGACAACTCAAGGAAATACGGCAAAGTAAAAAGCAGAGATTAAGACCTATTTTAAGTGATTTAGGTTCTTTTTTTTTTTTTTTTTTTTAATTGGTAAGCAATGCCTGAGGCTTTCTGGGGTTTCAGAATAGTCTCTTCTAGCCATATTGTTACTTTTGGTGTGACTCTTCAGAACATTGTTCCATCTTAACCATTCTGCAGTAGAAGCCTATCCGTATTTGCGAGGTACCATGCAGCAACATAGGTGAGACCTGAGAAAGCTCAGTCCTTAAGAGTGGAGAACATGGCCTCCAAATCCTGGAAAAACAAAGTTTTGCTCTAATTTCAAATCTATGAGGAAGCTTTTCACACTTAGAGCTGCAGCTTTTGAAAAGGACTTTTAACAACCATGACCTCTAGTTGTGTTAAATTCTGTGCATGTGTTCATGTATCTACTCCTGCTGAGTTTCCTACCTCCCTGTGCACACTGACAAAGGATTAGAAGGGCCACAAGAAGCAGAGAAGCACAGATGTGTGTTTTTCTGCACTCCTAATGTACTGAGGGATGTGGAGAGCTAAGCCCTTTGCTTCCTGGTAGAGAAAGTCGGTTCGGGACATTCTTGACCACCTCTACAAAATACAACATGCCAGCCAGGATAGCAATAGAAGATAACAGGAAGAGATGAGCTACAAGAGATTCCTCTCCAAGACAATGGATCATCATTCCCACTGACTGTTGACTAGGCAGCTCTTCCTCCTCCTGTGAAGAAGGAGGTTGAGGAGGGCCTGAAAAGGCGTTTGGAAGAAGAAGCTGAAGGGAAGGCTTCAGGCTGAAGGGAAGTGAATCTCACTGTAGGTACTGCTTTATACAAGGATTGCATAAAGTTCGTGTGTTCTCAGCCAGACTGTCTAGAAAGTCTCAATGACAGTCCCTCTTTCTCTCTTTTGGCCGTCACCCTCTTCTAGCCATTTTGTTATCATCTCATGTGAAGGTCAAAGTGCAAACCTTCACTCCACAGGTGTTTAGGGCAACTTCTATGATCAATTGTGAGGCCTTGGGTGAATTTAAATAGCAGTGACAGAAAGTGTGCTGTCAGTGTCTTCATCCATTTTTAGACCCATCAGCTGCCGCTGCTGAGTAGCTTCTTTGGCATCTCTTCTAGGTTTGTAAGTTGGACATTTTGACACTTGTGAATGCTGCCTTCAGAGAACTTTTGTTCTGTGATTTCCCAGTATTAAAAGTAAGGCATTTAAAACATTTGAAATACAGGACTAAGCGAAGTTTCCCTAAGTTGTGCTTTGGTATATTTCTGCTGGGGGCTGTTTATGTGTACTTCGGCATTTTTTGAAAGAGAAAAGTTTTCACAGACAAGGACTGGATAGCAAGTAGATTGAATGGGCAATTCAGATAAGAAATAACCATTTGCCCTGCTGTGCAAGTGAATTTTTTAAAAGGAACACCAGGTGGACATTGGAACCTGCCTTACATTTTGCCCCACAAACATGGAAGTAGTACTTCGTGGTGAAAGAAAATGTGATATTAAAGTTCTACTATGCTTTTTTTTGTCTTCTGTATTTTTTTAATTACTGCACTTCCAGTTACTGAGAAAAATACATAACTCTTTATGTAGAGCATTGTTACCTCCAATATAAAAGAATGATGAGAATGATTTTCTCTGAAACAGAAATAGGGAAAATGACACTTCATAGCTGGAGACAGAAAAAAACTTAGGTTTGGTAAAAGGTGAGGGAATCATAGTCATGATTAAATAGATCGTTATTTTATAATGCATTAAGGAATTTTTCTTTTAATTATCACTGCCTATTCTCTGTAGAGTGCTTGTCCAATTTTACATAATCCATTGCAAAATTTATATCAGTTTCATCTGTTATAACATAGTGTACTCATCCTGTCTTATATGCAGTTAAAGAACTTACTGTGTCTGCTGGAGATAACATACAGATAATGTTACCCAAAAATGAGGTTGAACTGAATGCCTTTGCTGTCCCACCACCATCTACAGGTGAGTTGAATGCCTTGGTACATAAGGAGATGCACACACTACCAACTCATAAATGCAGACAAATTCTGAGTTTTGTGAACATCCACTACTTGAGATAGAACAATTTTTCACATTTCTCATACTGTCTCTTTTGTAGCTCTAACTGCAGAGAGGATTTCCTCTGTTGGATTTTTAAGAGGAATTTTTTTAGCGGCTTTTACTTTCAGAACCTGAACTCACTAGCCAGATGGTTCAATAAAAAGCCTTTAATTTCTACCAAAAGATGATGTGGCCTAGTTTTTAGCATCTTGCTGTAAAGCTCAGGGGAGGTGGGAAAGTAGGTTTTGAATGCAACATTTGCCTTAAAACTGCCAGCTTCTGAATTGAAGGAGCAAATAAAAGATGTTTCATAAGTAGCTATGTAAAATATGTTGGCTTCACACGAAGCTGCTTTTTGTGAAGAAGTTGATTATTTGTGAAGTCTGTTACATCCTTGCTCCTTTACCAAGTTGCAATACACTGGGAGTTTAACTTGTGGTCATACTGTTTCATTTTACAGGCTTCAGCAGTAGCAGTCATGATTTCATACTGCAGCATTTTATCTGATGAGTGGTGAACTTGATTTCTTTATTTTCTGAGGTTATCTTGAACACAAAGCTGATTGTTACACTGTGTTATTGCCCTTAGAAACAGCCTACACCTATGAGTGGAGCTTAATCAGTCACCCTGCTGACTACAGTGGGGAAATGGAGCAGAGGCACAGCCAGACTTTGAAGCTCTCTCATGTAAGTGAGCTGTAAGCTCAGGCTCATTATGTTTGTGTGGGCCTTTCACAGAATTGTAACCTGTGGGGAAGGGCACCTTGATTCAAGATGTTCAAATGGCTTCAAGCCATCCTGAGTCTCATCACTTGTTTGTGTCACCAAATTTATGCTAGTATCTTAAGAGTGCTCTAATAATTTTCTAAGACAGAGTAAAAATTCCTCAGTGTTTGCTTCATATTCCCCACTTCCAGGCAGTGACTAGTGGCCTTTTATGTATATTTTTATAAAAGTAGTTTGAGGATTCAGACATCCAGATTTATTCTTTTGTGATATGATTGTCATATTTAAGCAAACTTCTTTTGTACAATTCAGTATGTAACCCTGTTTGTTCTGTGTTTGTCTCAGTTATCAGTGGGACTTTATGCCTTCAAAGTGACAGTTTCTGGTGAAAATGCCTTTGGTGAAGGTTTTGTAAATGTCACGGTCAAACCAGGTAAATTAGTTGACTGATATAAATAATGTCTGACACAAGTACAGCATACTTTTCAAACGGTCTCTCAGTTGCTATTTGTCAAGGACATCTGGCAGTCCAGTCATACTGATATATTTCATATCTTGGTGTCTATAAGGGGTTTAAAGAAAGTAGAACTAGGGGTCTTGCTCACTGTGTTTAGGTTTCTAGTCTTTCCCTCTCCTCAGTCAAAGCCTGAGATATCATCGTGTCACCTTTCCTGCATTTCCTTTCCTTTCATGCACCTTACAGTGCATGGCTCTGATCTGATTTACACCACATAGGAGCACTGCAGTGGAACACTGCTGTGTCAGCACACTGCTCATCAGTAACCTCTTCTTTGCCTTGTCCAAAAAGGACAGCAGATGCTGCCAAGCTGTGTTTCTTAGATTTAACCACTGGGGACTATTGATCTGTAGACTTAACATTAGTTTTGTCTGGGCTTTCACTAATATTCTTTTTTCTTCCCCTTTTTTTCTTCCCTGTTGTCTTTCTTACAGCAATCAGAATTAACCAGCCACCTGTTGCTGTTGCTTCACCCAAAGTACAAGAAGTTTCCTTGCCTACAACTTCTACCTTCATTGATGGCAGTCGTATGTACTGGACCATTCTGTGCTTATATTATATATTTTTAATATGCAGTTACAACACTGCTGTTTGTCAATTACAAGTGAAATTTCTTCTTCTCACTCTTCTCAGAAGTTCCCTGAATAATGATTTGTTTTGGGAATATGTGTCCAGTTATAAATTATTTTAATAATTTTAAAACACAACCTTGCACTTGGAGTTTGAGATGCAGTGTGTCAGAGACTGCTACATCCAGAGAGCAGCTACTCTTACAGCTTCTTCCTGTCCTGACCAGAGAGCCTCTATGGCTGTACAGCTGGGGCCATAGTAAACAGCTGACAGATAGAGCATGATGAGATGTTGTAATTACATTTATAATTACTGAGTGCAGACAAGTCAGAACGTGCAGAGTCTGAGACCGATATTCTTTTTTTTTTTTAATTCATGTGTGTGAAGAATTGTTTGGATAAATAAAAGCAAAGGTAACTTGGTATGATTCTGTGGTTCATGAAGCTTATTCAGCTATACTTGTAGAGACAATTGTAGAAAACGAGTTAGGGATGAGCGTATGAACGACTCAAGTATTCATTTCAGCAATTGCTACAAGAAACTGATGTGTTTTTCTTCAATGAATAGAAAGCATAGATGATGTGAAGATAGTGAGTTACCACTGGGAGGAAATTAAAGGTCCCCTGCGAGAGCAGAAGGCATCTGCTGACACACCTGTCTTGCACTTGTCTAACCTTGTTCCTGGAAACTACACCTTCAGGTACCTGCATGATGATTTTCTTAGAGGCTTAACTGTGATATCAGCTAAATGTTTTTTTCTGTGCTCACATATATCTCCTCAAACAAAAAGCTTAATTTTTCTTCTGCATACTGTTACTTTTCATTTTGCACAGTGGAGAAACAGAGTGGTTTTATTAAAAAATTATTGCAGTGATCCTTTATAACACAAAATTACAGAAAAGAAGATACCGTAAATTAAATATGTCCCCACTTCCAGCAATAACAATTGTGACAGACTATTCTTTTTTTCCGTCTTAGAAGCTGGCTAGTGCCCTGAATGAAACTATGAGTCAGGTTGTGAAAGTCATCCTCTGAAGGGTAGTGGCAGACAGAATAATATTGGCAGACTGATCCTCACAAGACATGGTTATGCACTGCTTTTACTAAGAATCATTCTGTTCTTTTTAAAAGCATTTGCCTTGCTACTGGTTTCCTCCATTTATGCACTGCTGAAGCTGGGGGTTGCCCAGACAGTGGAAGCAATGTTTGTGGTTCAAGGTGCTTTAGTAAAAATCAGTTCTTTTTCAGAACTGTTCAACTTAAAGCCGAGTCTATGCAGAGGCAGACTTCCCACTGAGCCATCTTGGGTTTTTGGTTGCCATTGGGTTGCCTGTCAGTCAATATATTATGTATCAGCGTAGCAGCAGCAGATTGTTGAAGCCAGCATACAGCTTCTGCTTTAATTCTGTGTTTTTACTGGAATTGTTCCGTATCAGACAGTAGCAGAAATGAGTGTTAATTTTTTCCCTATTAAAAATGGCAGAATCTTGCTTACAAGCAATGCTTCTAAGTGTGTTCTGAACCCTAGGGAGTTAAGAAGTCAGTTGTTACATCTCTATACATTTGGGGAAGGCTGACCTTCCTGAACAGTAGAGCAGTGTGCTGAAGATTACAAGAAATTAGCTGATCAAAAATATCCAGTGCCCTTGGTACACATGGATGTGCACTCATTGCAAAATGTACATGTTCCCTAATGTCTGAGGTAATGAGCACTAGTTTTGTTCCTGCTCAGGTTCCCTTCCATGTGGTCAGCTGTATGCAGGGGTGGATTAGAGATTAGTTGATCACCACACTGCAGAAGGTAGCTTTCATCCCTTTGAAGTGCCTGCAGTAGTCTCATTTTAAGATGATTTTATGCTTCTGAGAGACAGTAATGTCTGGGGTTTTTTAAAACCCTGTACATTTTTAATTTTGTAACTTGACATTGATATTGAGCTCCATTGAAATTAGTAATGATGTGCCACAAATAAGAAGTGAGTATCTGGTGCTGTTCTATAAGCAGAGCTTCTGAACATCCAGAGTAGCTTTAGGTGTTTCACTGTACTGCTTCATTATAGTTGTGTTAGTAAAGTCTTCTGAATTTCTTTCCTGCCTTAGTTGAGGGATATGTGTGTCTGAAGCAGAAGTTTATATCATATAATCAGTGCCTTTTGTTTAGGTGGTGTTTGAAAAAGTGCCAGAAAACAATTAATATTTCAATTTAGAAGTTGGCAGAAGTTCATCTTAACAGATACTGTTTTTCCTCTTGTAGACTCACAGTGATTGATTCAGATGGAGCAGCCAACTCCACCATTGCATCTCTGACTGTCAACAAGCCAGTAGATTACCCACCTATTGCTAATGCAGGACCGAATCAGGCAGTCACTTTGCCCCAGAACTTCATCACACTGAATGGAAACCAGAGCAGTGATGACCATGAAATTGTCAGCTATGAGTGGTCCCTCAGTCCCAAAAGCAAAGGCAAGGTTGTAGCAATGCAGGTATGTGTATTTCTCCTTGCATAGGATTGAAAAGCTCTTTTATCTTTGCCTTTAACATGAGCAAACACATAACTAACTGTTCAGAAGTACTGAAATACCTAGAGTGATGTTATTGGTTTTTTTTTCTCTCACATATATTCAGCTCTTATTTTAGATACTACTTTTAATTCCTTTTCATATTTCTTTTATTTCTTTGTGACCAAACAAACTTGCTTGTTCCCTGGTGTTTTGGAAAGACTTCAAGATCACATTGTCTGTCCTTGAACCCTAGAGGCTGTTTCACAGGCTCCCATCTTCTGAGGCTCTGGGCAAGCTGAAAACTGTCTATAGGAGAATGTGGGGATAGTCAGAGTTTTCTTGAAACACTCCCTCCTGGAGAGAGTAGAACTAAATAGAAACTTAGTTTTCTGAGTGAAAATGACAAGACCTTTTGGCAGTGTTAATGCAGCCATGCTCTATGGTATACTTTTATGTTCACTGAAACATGGGTTTCCAGTGAGAGCTTACAGAATTTATTCTCTTAATTTTCATGATTGTTTTTGTTGTTCTTGTTTTGTGGTTTTTTTTGTTCTTTTTTTTTAATCTGAGAAGTTAATAAGTATTTTCACTGGACTTGTAAGTTGGAGATTCTTACAGCTCTGTAGGCAGTTGAGATAATTCATGTAATGAATCCAGCTGAAACTCAGGAGCCATTTTTTATGAGACTTGATTTCTGCCATGTTAGCAAATGCTTTAGACCTTCAGAACTGAAAAGAGATCACTGTAGATCTGTTTAGGAAAGAAGCAATGTTATTAATGCAAGACTACACTGTAGAGGAAATTAAAAATTATGTAAGGTCTTATAGCATAATGGCTTTCTGGTCATTCATCAAGACAAAAACTTTCCAAAAGCACCCAATAAACTGAACTTTCAGTTTTTGAGTGCTGTTCTATCTTAAAGCAACCTTTTTGAAGGGAAGGAATGACTGCTCGAGATAACCAGTGGATTCACTGGGTATTTAATGTGGAAATGCAAGTACATGTTACACTTTCTTTTCAACAAACTAGTAATCTTTTTAATGTGCCTGAAGCTGAGGATCATAGAATCACAGAATGGTTTGACTTGGAAGGGATATTGAAGATCATCTTGTTCCAACATTTTGCCATAGGCAGGGATGTCACTCACTAGACCAGATTGTTCAGGGCCCCATCCAATTTGGCCTTAAACAGTTCCAGTGATGGGGTATCCACAGCTTCTCTGAGCAACCTGTGCTGGTGCTTCACCACCTTCTGAGTAAATAATTTCTTCTAATATCTAATGTAACCTTGCCGTCTTTCACTTTGAAACTATTCCATCTTGTCTTGTCACTGTCTATCCATATAAGCCCCTTTAGGTACTGAAAGACTGCAATGAGGTCTCCCCAGAGCCTTCTCTTCTCCAGGCTGAACAACCCCAACTTTCTCAGCCTTTTTTTGGAGAGGTGCTCCAGCCCTCTGACCCATCTTCATGGCCCTTCTCTGGACCACTCCAGAGGATGCTGGTCTGTGGTGTATTATATGATATCTGCTGTTAGAGTGTAATGTAACAAGTACCTCTGCTGGTTAGTTAATTGTTTATCCAGCCTCTTTGTTCTTATTGCCATCTTTATCCAAAAAAAAAAAAACAAAAAAAAGAAAAAGAGAGAGAGAGCCCAACCTGTTTGCATTATGATTTGGTATTCCTCATATAAGAGATGCCAAAAATGTTCATTTTGTTAGGAAAAGAACCTATAGCTGGGCCCAGTCATTTTATGAGCTTCTGTAGGTATCAGCAAATGCTACTGGAAGAGTAAATTCAGGACAGAATTGTTTTGTTTAATATGTTTTCTTTTTTTTTCATAGCCCTGTTTGTCTGGGTTCAAGTCAAGCTTGGTTTTGCATTTAACAGTTTTTGTAAGTTTGAAAGGATGTCATGATGTTTGGTTTTGAAAATATCACTAAGGAAATGGAATAAGCTGTAGGGATTTTCATCAGTGTTTAATTTCCTAATTGAAAATGGTAGTGTTACATGTGTTTCACAATTATTGTTGTGAAGAAATAATGCAGTGGTTATACCAACAGGAGAAATTAGGATTTATTGCCTCTAGGTATTTTTCTGGGTTGGTAGGAAGAACAATTGCAATAGTGAACACATCACCTCTGTCTGTGTGCCAAATTTTAAGCCTCCTCTTTATCTGCAAGGTGCACGAACTCCTTGCTCAAGCACTGTATTTACAGTGACTTTAAGCATTTCTTTTTCGTTACATTTGCTCTGTAAGACCTTTCATTACCCACGACTGTTTCTGTTTTGTCTGGTGCTCTGTCCTTACCGGTGCTGCGAAGGGAGTGCGGACGCCGTACCTGCAGCTGTCTGCAATGCAGGAAGGAGATTACACGTTCCAGCTGACTGTGACAGACTCTGCGCGGCAGCGCTCCACGGCCGAGGTCACACTCATCGTGCAGCCTGGTAAGTCACTGCGGGCACGCCTGGGCCGGTCCTCAGGGCTGGCCCAGCCTGGTGCCTTGGCGCCCTTCTCCTCCGCCTCCTCTCCCCGCATTGCACCACTGATATGGCAGCCCCGGTGCCTGGTACCCCTGGATCAAGGACTTGTCCATTTTCTGTCAAAGCAGCAGTTAAGTGTAGAATCAAACAAAATCCAGGTGCTGATCCTGAGGGTTCACACCAGCCTGGTTATGTAAGGCAACAGAGCTCTGCTTGAATGTACTTCTAAAACCCAAATTGTAGCTCTTGGGTGTCATGTCCTACAGAGTCTGTTTTGAAAGCTGCTCTGTGTGCTTCACTCAGTTTTCTTATTGTTTTGCAATTCTCCTGCAAGAGTCCTTGTGTGATTTGAATTCACTCAAATGAATTACATTGTGTTTCCTAGGAAAAAGTGTCAACCAAGGAATTTTCAAAAGCTGCATCTTTCATGTTTATTTAGGTTTGGGAGCCAAACAATGAATAAGCCAAATGATCTGGGCCTCGTGTGATTTTTTTAATGCCTTTTTTTTCCCACACTTTGTTTGCCTTTTACATCCACAGTGGCCTTGTCTGCCCATGTACAGATCTCATATTTCACCATGGGGAAATTTTTTATCTTCCTGTTGCTGCTTAATATATATCTTTTGTAGATGATCCCTTCTGGGGCAACTTTACAGCAGTCATGCACTGTAGAAATCAAGAACATGAATTGGAAGTGTGGTATGTGGTGGTGCCTTTTAGACCTATTATAGTGTGGAGTTAGAAAGATGCTATTGCTGAAGTCAGGCCCAAGGGTAAATAAATACCCAGGAAAATGGCAGTGTTGCCAGTTTTACCATTTCACAAAAGCAGAGGCTGAAAACAGAGTAACAGGTTATGTTTCTGCACTAAATTCCCAAAGGCTCTGATTTGGCATTAACTTAGTGGCCTTGAGCAGCAGACAGAATGGGTCAGTATCTTCTCTGCGAGCAGAGAATCATATTTATCTGGGAGTTTTTGAAAGAGATGGACTGGTAGGACCAGGAAAATACCCCACCGCTCATGTTTTATGACAATTCATATAATGCATTGAGAATGCAGCAAGATTTTTGAGAGTGTGACTGTGCCTTCAGCTTGGACTATGAAAAAGGAAGTACCTGCTGTGGGACTTGAGATCCCACTTGCTGTGGGATTTGGTTTGCTGCAGAGCTGACCTCTCTCACCTGCTGGCTTGTGCATGTCATACTTGAGGTTTGTACCTTTTGAGCCAATCTGTCAAAATTTTATTAAAATACCCTGTGTAAAATCTGATTGGCAAGCCTTGCCAGTGACTACCTAGAAAATGTCATACACTAAATACTAATTTTGCAGAAAATAACAGCCCTCCAGTAGCAGTGGCTGGCCCTGACAAAGAATTGACCTTCCCGGTAGAAAGTACTACACTGGATGGAAGCAAAAGCCAAGATGACCAAGGCATTGTCTTCTATCACTGGGAAAATATCAGGTATCCAAAGATTTTACTAATCCTCAGAAAAATAGAGAAAAATGAAAGTGATTGGGTCTAGAGCCTCTTATCCAATCATATTGAAAGATGAATCATGAATTATATTTGAGAATTGCTTTCAGGACAATCCCACTTAGGTGGTAATAGCATAAGAAATAGCAATTTTAAGTTGAACTTGAAAAACTCAGGCAGTCTCTGCATATGTTTTGCAATGTTTCATTTTGAGGCCTACTTTTATAAAATTCAGAGAAAATAACAGGAACTTCTGTGTCTCCTGTTAAAAAGTAAGTAGCAGGCTTGGTTTGCATCCAGTAATATACAAAGCTTTTCCTTCTGTGCTTAGAACTAGGGTTTCTCAGTCACTTGTTTATTGAACAGTAAAGTGTCAGTCACTTTGCCCTGAACTTCCAGTAACAAGGGACTAAATCACTCTTGAATGGTGATTGAAAATGTTTTACAAAAGCTAATAACTGTGTGTTTATGAGCAAACCTAACTGATCCTTAATAAAAGGGCAAGGTATTTTAGCTCATGCAGCTGTCGTACCTGATACAGGAAGAGGTTTGCTGGCAGCCTGTGCAGGTTATGAGTGGGTCTTAGAGCAATATAATTTGCAAGAAGTAGTTATTAGTTATAGTTCTATTTTCATGCTCTCAGGAGGTAGAACCGTGATGAGGTTGAACTTCTGGGGGGTATTTTCTACTCTTCTGATAGGTGGGGATGTGTGCTTGGGTGCTTTGAAAGTCTTGAAAAAAGGTGTTAATGAATTCTCTAAACTAAACTTATGTCTCAAATAGTTCTTTAGCCATCAGTGCTTATAGCAGTTGTAGAACTACAACACATAAAATCAAAAGGCCTGAGCAATGCTGCTGAGCTCATCGTTGGGCTTCCTGGGTGTGCTTATTTTAGTGACATGTTTTGTTTCAGTGGTCCAAGCTCTGTACAGATGGAAAACGATGACAAGGCAATAGCAACTGTGACTGGTCTCCAGGTCGGTACCTATCACTTCAGGCTGACTGTGAAAGACCAGCAGGGCTTGAGCAGTGCATCTGTGCTCTCCATTACGGTGAAGGAAGGTAAGCCTGGCTGCTGCTTCTTAGGGCATGGTGGGAAACTGGGTAGTTCATTCAGTCACTGAAGGAAGGTGAAGGAAATCAGAACAGAAAGGTGTAACATATTTGTTGTTATATTTCAAGTGTGTTTAAGAAAACTACTCTTTTGTAGTAAAGTAGCGTTGTGAGTGACTGGCAGAATTAATTTCATTTGATGCAAACTGTTTTAATGTTCAATATATGCAAAATTAGTTGCAATAAACATGCTCCAAAATAATATTTTTGACAATTGTATGTCTACATCATTAAGAATAAATGTTTTTATTTTATCTCTGAAATTAAGCTTTGAGCAGAAAAGCAGTTTTACTGTGGATTTTAAAGTAACATCCCAGAAGTGACATCTCAGTGAACCAAGTTCCACTTAAAAATTTAGTATTAAAACACCTGCGTTATTTGTTTGTTTTGTTTTGTTTTGTTAATTTTGGTGGTGTGTTGTTGTGGTGGGGTTGGTTGTTTGGTTTTTTGTTGGGTTGTTGTTTTTTTTTTTGTTTGTTTGGTTGGTTGGTTGGTTGGTTTGGGTTTTTTTTAATTATACAGAGAAACGGTTGCTGTAGTGTGGGGTATTTTAGGTTTTTTGTTGTTGTTTTTTTTTTTTTCCCCAAAATGCATGCTGTGGAAGGGGCTTTAGGATAATCATATAATGGTTTGGGTTTGAAGGGACCTTGAAAACCATCTTGTTCCAAAGCTGCTGGAGCTGACACAGCTTCCACTAGACCAGGTAGCTCAAAGCCCCATCCAGTCTGGCCTGGAACACTTCCAGGGAGTGTTGACATCAGCAAGCCCAGGATACAGTTGACTTTCTGGACTACAAATGCACATTGCTGACTCATGCTGAGCTTCCTGTCAGTCAACACCCCAAATCCTTCTCCTCAAGGCTTAGTGGCATTATGCTAACTACTCCCAGTCCAGTCTCTGCCCAACTTATACTTGGGATTGCTCCTGCCCATGTGCATCTTGGTGAAGAAGCTGGACTTTGTTTTACTCATGTGCATCATTGCTTGAGCTGTTTCAGGGTTTCAGTTAGTGTTCAGTTAGGAATACATGGCAGCAGCTCTGCCCAAGTGTGTCCATGGTCTTGTTTATGCTGTGAAGTGTAGCCACAGTAAGTTCTGTCTACTGTTGCAGGTTTGATATTAAAAATACTCAGTTTTCCAATAACAAGTTTAGTCTACTGGTTTTATTTGGAAGAGACACAACCCTATGCTGTTACAGCCAACACCCTTGAGATCTGCCCAGGACTGAATTATTTATGTCCAACTATTTGTGTCCAGTGAGGTAGTTCACTCCACCCCACAGCTTCCTTGAGCCTTCTCTTAGTAGTTGTGTTCTGAAGAAAGTCAGTAATGTCTGGTTTCTGGAAGGAGAACATGGTCATATATCTTTGGCTTTTTTTCACCATATGGCCAATGCATGCCTTAGTTTTACTGCTAGTGGTGAGCAAAAAACATTTGGGAATTAGACTTACTCTTAAGTTTCCTGACTGCATTTTGCCTAAATACAGGCATTTTGAAGACACAATATCTTGCACAAGCTTCTGTTGGGTAATAAGTGATTTTCCAGATGAAAAGGTCCCAGCATGGTGATCTCACACTGGGTTGTGTTTCTAGGTAGGCAGAAAATCTTTTTGTTCGACTGAGAAAATTTGATGCTTAAGTTATTCCAAGACTGCAAATAGAATATCCCACAATGCTTTTTGAAATAGATCTTTCTTCTCAAATGCAATATGCTCAGAGCCAGATTTTGTATGCCCACTCATCCTTTCCCTGTAGCTTTGACATGAGGTTCTGTTGTTACTGTCTGTAATCATCAGGTAAAGAATTACAGCGTGGGTGTATTGGCAATGGCATGTCACATGTTTTGAAAGCAAATCCTTCTTCACTATTTTTATGGCTAGAAAACAACAGTCCACCCCGGGCACATGCTGGTGGGAAGCATGTTCTAGTGCTTCCAAACAACTCTGTTACCTTGGATGGCTCAGGGTCTGCTGATGACCAGGGGATTGTGTCATATTTGTGGATTCGGGATGGTCAAAGCCCAGCAGCTGGGGTAAGTTTCTTTCAAAATTTGGCTTTTGTTATGCATGTAACTACAGCAGGGAGAGCAGGTACCACCCACAAGATGCTGTCAAGTGTGCTCCCTGTTTCTGGTTTATCTCCCCTGCTCTCTGTAATGCTGTGGTCAAGAGGCTGGTGATACTTTCAGTACAATTAAAGAATATAGCAACTAAAGACTGCAGCAATGCAGAATAATTGGTGATAGTATGAAGCTAATGTGTTTGAGAGGAAAAAAATATCTGAAATCCAGATACTCCAAAGGAGGAAGAGTCTGAGAGAGCAAGTACCAAAAAAGATTAAGGAATCCTGCCTGGTAGCATATGAGGTAAAACTTAAGTTTAAGGTAAAAATGGTGTTTGACATTACATGTGTAGGCTCCTTCCTTGGCAGATGATGGTGATTAGCCTGGGGCATTAAGGGCAGGGGATTCTGCTCTCTGAGTGAAGCAAACAGCGGAAATACCTGAGGATAAACTTCAGTTATTTGTCAGCTAATAAAACTGAGATAATTTTTTCCCTATTTGCAAAAAGTGTTGTAGAAAGCAATTTGGTCTTAGGAAGATAGTGGTAAATCAGCAAGTACAGGGAGAGGAGAAAAAGCAAAGTCATAAAAAGACTTCTAGAAGCAATTCGCATGAAGAGGTTTAGCTTAAATATAGCTGGCAGAGCTGATAGTTGAAAATGCATGAAGCAAGGAGAAGAAAGTAGGAGTTAAGAAAGTGGAACTAAGGATACTGGAATACAATTGAGAAATAATAATAGTATAACTGTCTTGGATTTTCAGGAAGATGCGTTCTTCAGATTGTCAGCTGTTCTCTCTTGGGGTATTTTTAATGAAAATATCCACAGTGTGCAGACATCCTCATTAACTGTTGCTTCCAAATTACTCTGCTATAAACTGTGGGTAGGTCACATTTGTCCCAAAAGTCAAATCAAGAATACACAGCACCATACTAGATAGCTGACTTGATAATGAAACCTGCATCTTTCTCTGAGGGTGTAACTGTTCTGGACCTGGTTTTTGCAGGATGTGATCCATGGCTCAGACCACGAGGCAGTACTGCAGCTAACTAATCTTGTGGAAGGAACCTATATTTTCCACTTGAAAGTGACGGATGCTAAGGGAGACTCAGATGTTGATTCGGCAACTGTTGAAGTGCGGCCTGGTATGACAATTAAAAGGTCATCGACATGTTGTGAATACCACATCTTTGTTCTCCTTTTCACTTACTTATTCAGATATTGATGAGAATCTCTCAAGTTAAAACACAGAGCAAACAGGTTCTCTCTCTACTTTCTTACTATTCTATGACTAGGCCCAAGTGTGTTAAAAGGTGACATCAGGATTCTAAACTACTGCAGTCACCATAGTTGGGACCATAAATAAATAAAATTCTACTTACTAGTTAATATTTTCATTAGACTTTTGTTATTTCTCATTCATTGTAGGTTTTTTGTTTCTTCTTCTGGTTGTTAATAAGTTTGGCCAGTAGAAAGAGATGGGAGCTGACCATTGAATTTGAGTACAAATGCTGCTGTTTGATGCATGAAAGTGTGGCTTTGTTTTACTTCTTTCATCCGGAAAGATAAAAAAATCATCAAAGAATTTCAGGGGGTTGTAAATGCAGGCAGAATAGCTAAATAATGGAAGTTGAAGTCTTAGGAGACTTGGGTCTGTCAGAGATATCTTGTTTATCTGGCTCCTGGGTAATGATTTTATTTCTGTTCCTCAGTTTAGTGTTGAATATAATCATAGAAATTGGATTATGATTCTCATGGGGTATTTGTGAAGTTTGTTTTGTTTGTGAGGCACTCTAGAAGTTCAAGCATCATATAAAAGAGACCTCAGCTTGTAAGGGTAGGAAGGATAAACATACCTGATATTTCTCAAATTTACCATCCTCATTTAGACTTACTCACAGTCTTGCATGCTACAATACGAGTCCATGTTTGGCTCCCTTTTCCTGGGTGGTAGTCAGTAGTAGATAACTAGCAGGGAACTTGGTAATTGGGCTCATCTAGAGCTTACCTCTGACTTTAAGATGGCAGCATTTGGGAGAGTGGAAGTTGCCCTTCTGCACAGAAATGTGTAAATGCTGAAAGTGCACCCTGAAGTACTTTATTGATAAGATGGCTTACTATATTAGGACCGACTGGGTTTGTTTCACAGAGAACATAACATAATAAGCTGAGTGCTTCTCTAAGAAAACAAAAGAATTGGCTTATCAATGATATGGGTCTTATGCAGAAAACTGTAGTATTAATAAATACTTTCAAGTACTGCATGCTGGTACTGAAATACTTGCCTGGCTCTGAAGGAATAGCATGTTCTTCTTCTGTCAGATCCCAAAAGGAGTGGTCTGGTGGAGCTGATCCTGCAGGTTGGAGTGGGACAGCTAAGTGAGCAGCAGAAGGACACACTGGTGAGACAGTTGGCTGTACTGCTGAATGTTTTGGATTCAGATATCAAAGTTCAGAAGATACAAGCCTACTCAGATATAAGGTAGAAAGATGTCCTCCTGTGCCAGAAAGACTTGTGACTTTCTTTGCCTCTCTCACAGCTCATAATTAGTTGCAAAATAATCTTTCCTAACATGACAAAAAATGCTGTACTTCTCAACAGAATATACTTTAAAGGGTGAATTTCTTCTGTGCTAGAAAACTGATGAAGTAAACTCTGTGGAGGCTCAGAACTGAAGTGTTTTGTTTTTTAAAAATCCCACTTTTTGTGTACAGACTTTTTCTTTTTCCTTTAAAGAAAATGCATGCAGATATATTTCAGTGCCTTTGTTCCAAATGCTGGATGGAGTGAGATAAACAGGCTTTCTCACAGTGAAGCATTCAATGTATTTCAAGATAAGGTTCCAGCTCTATTTAATCAAACCTATTTTATTTCCCCTTTTTTTTCCTACTTCTTCTCCATGGTTTTTATATTCTTAATATTTTACAAACATTTTCCCAGGTAACTAGTGATGAAAATCCATTTTTTGTACAGTGAATTCTCTTAGATGTGGTATTTTACTGTGAAGAAGAAATACTCCCTCTGCTTGGTGTAGAGTGCTAGAGATGGCTATGTGTACCCAGAGAAACTTCTCAGCATGATTGGTAGAACCTGTTTATTTGAGTTAGTTTTAAATTACTTCTTGTCAACTACTTGGTAATTTAAAATCCATTTTGGTATTTATTTAGCTCTCAGGGAACCTCTTAAAATGTAAAAACGCAGTGTGGAAAGTCTACTAGTTATAGCTGTGATATTTTTAATCACAATTTTTTAAGTTAAAATGTTCCCTGAAGTGTCTGATAACAGGGTGAGATCAACAGCACCCAACTTAAAAGTTGTAGATGGCAGGGCAGGAGGACTTCCACACGAAGTTCTCTGGATCCCTTGCTTCTGAGCTTTTTCTCCTATTAAATTCAGTTTCCTTAAGTTAGTGACATTTCTTCACAGTGTTTTGTGACAGGCTCTGTGTGAGAGTGGAGAAAGCAAATGTATACATACTTCTTAAAGCAAAAGTCAGGAAGACCAAGAAGGAAATTATATTTGCTGTTATCCTCCTCTGTTTTCTGTGAAATTGAGAATCCCGAGAACTGCTGGTGCTCCCAGCTCAGAATGAAGATCAGTTGACTGCTCCACAGAGCTCCCTAATCTTTAGCAGTGGTGACATTGGCTTTCCAGAAACAAAAAAGACTAAATGCTATTATTGCTTCATTGACTTTACTATATTTATTATTTATTAGACTTTATTGCTGAATGCCTGACAAAAGTGATCTGTGACAGCAGTCTTGACGTTAGCTGTTCTTTCTGCAGCACTGCAGTTGTGTTCTACGTGCAGAACGGGCATCCTTCCACAGTGATCAAGGCATCAGATGTCTCACGGACTCTACACGTGCAGCTTTTGAAACAGAAGGCTGACTTCTTGCTTTTTAAAGTCCTGAGAGTTGACACAGCTGGTATGTTTTGGATTGTGCTTGCTCATCTCAGAACTTTGCAGACATTTGGCTAACACAGCACCTGGAAACGGTGCATGAAGTCCTTCTGTCTGCCATCTGGTGTCTGTGCTTGGTGGGTATAGCTTTACAAAAAATAATGTTGAGGACAACACCTAAAATGCTTCATGATTTGTGGTAGGTAGTCTGGTGCCAGTCACTCTTAAAATACATCATCTGTATCAGCAGGCAAAAACACATCTTAATCTGGTCTGCATCAGGAAGGCCTGTGGAATGAGAATAAAGATACCTTACATACTGTCTTTTTTTAGAAGATGAGCAAAACTTAATATAGCCATACAGTAGATATGTGTCATGTCTCTGCTTCCTTCTGGGTTTTTAGAGTGTAGTAAATAGGCTTGTAATCTAACTTGTTCTTGTCTGCCTGTATCAGGCAAAATGGATGAAAGCTGTGTTACCACCTAGTCTTCTAATCTTTGCAATTTATACAGGCCACTGGGGTTTCCTATAATGAACTCTCTTGCCCAAAAAGATGCTTGAACTTCACTAGTAATATCAACTCTTTAAGATCCTTAGATATTACAGACATGACTTCTCCATAATTTAAAATAAGGACACAACAATTCAAGTACAAACAAAATAAGCAAGCTCTGGTGATAAAATAGTCACTGATTTTGAGTAAATTCTGTCTTTATTTACTGATTGAAAAGGTTATTCTTCTGTTATGAATGTACTCTGATTACATTCTTTCTCCTCACAGCCAGCAGTCTGCTAGACTGTAGATCTATTTGACACATAACCCCAAAAGAAAGGGAGTCTCAAAACATACCCACAGTATTTTGAACCAGATGCTTTGCCACCAGTCTAGTCTAACATTAAGAGGATGTATGAGAAGTTGTCCATTTACACAACTGACCCTGTGTTTGGTTCTGTTCTTAGCCTGTCTGTTGAAATGCTCTGGACATGGTCACTGTGACCCCATAACAAAGCGCTGCATTTGCTACCAGCTGTGGATGGAAAACCTGATTCATCGTTACCTAAATGATGGAGAGAGTAATTGCGGTGAGTTTGAGTGTTGAGGGATGTCTTTCAAGAGTAACTTGTCATGTGAGTCTGTTGATTATTTGTTCTCAGAATGGGGAATAAAGAGGTAGATGCTGAGGGAAGACTAAAAGTCTGTTTTCCCGCCCAACAATACCTTTCTATAGACAGATATTTGAATAATTTCTTGAAATGATGTCTTGACAGTAGTAGCCTAAATTTTAAAGAGAATCACTATTTGATGAAAAAAATGTGAAAATTTGGTCATGGGAGGAAGATTGTGCAACAATTTGGGACCAGTTGAAGGAGTTGTTGAATAATATGGGCATTGCAAAGCTGGAAAAAAGGCAGCAATTTCAATTTCTCTGAGTGGGTGGTTGATGCTTCTGTGCCAGAAGTATGAGCTGATCTAAGCAAAGAAAACATCAGTGTTCCAGACTGACCAATACTGACCTTTAGAAGCTGATAACACTGACAACTGTAAGTATACATATGTTGGAGTTCAAATTACCTCTCTGTATCCTTTCCTATTTTCCTGAATTTATAAATATAAATGTGCAGGTAGAAGGATCTATCTCTAATCAGTTCCTCTTTTGAAGCACTAAAGTGCCAGACCCAGAGTACCTCTGTTTATTTCAGTTAGAGAAGGATAACTGGGGTGGTAACCAGGACCCTTTGCAGAACTGTCAATTCGCACATAGACTTCAGCTATCTTGGGATGGTAAAAGGTATTTGAGACGAAGAAAATTTTCTAATGTACATTTCTAACCTTAAAGCTTAAAGATTTTTAGGAATTAATCTAAGAATGTGTTGGGGCTGAGTTTTCCTACGTACCTCTTGCCACTCCCCATTCCTCAGGATTGGTTATTTTAATAGCATTGTATTAGAAGTTTTTCTATTCATATGACCTTACAAAGCACTGTTGTATTTCTTTTTTCAGAGTGGAGTATACTCTATGTGACCGTATCTGTTTTTATTCTGATTGTGGTCATGGTAGGGCTTGCCTGGTTCTGCATCTGCTGCTGTAAAAGGTACGTGATTTGTGTTTAATTTTGATGGTGTGTATGCAAAAATTGCACAAAACTGTCACGTTTCAGTCCAGTCCATAGCCTTAAACCACTGAGCTCATTTTGGACATGTGAGGAGCTTCCTGTAGCTGTTTCTGTAGACACACACTTCTTTTGAAAAAAAAGGGAATATTCATTTGTGTGTCTGTGCTCTTCTGCATTACGAAAACCAAAAAGCTAATGTTCATCCTCCATGTTAAGTGATAGTTAATGTTAAAATGCCGAGAATATGCTGCAGATCTTCTGTCTCCTACTGAGTCCTGCAGGTACTCCACACAAAGAAAAAAAGATACACCCTGATGGTCACTGATGTAGAAATGTTCTAGGACATGGGGAAGGATCTGCTCCCAGTCTGGTTTCTCCCTTTACAGGGAAGGGTGGGTGGCTGTGCTGCATGTGGCTTACAGGCAAGGAGTACTCTAGTGATCTCAGTCGTGCCGACTTCTTGCTTTCTCTTTCCTTAAACAGGAGCATTCATACTATTGAATGTCATTTCCCTTCCTGCCTCCCCTCCAGTCTTTTCTAGTGAGCTGATAAGAAATTCTCTTTCAAGTGACAAGCCTCTGCAAATTCTGTCACTAGAGCAAGTGTTTTTGCTGCAGCTCTAACAGCTCAGCAAATAGATAGCTTGTTCGGGTGTTAGCAAAAATAAAATGCCATCAAAATCTTTCTGGATTTTCAACTTTTTCTAGTGTCTTTGCAGGATGTAAAGAATGTGTAGGAGTCGATACCAATTTTATTTTTATGGTTGAAGGAACAGTGCTGTTAGTAGAAAACTTTAAATAGTAAAGTGTGTGCCATTATGCTCCCACAAAGTGGGGTGGAGCTGCACAGGCTTGTGTGTATTGGATGATTATTTGAGGGATTTTTTTATGACTTCAGCTGCTTCTTTCCTTTGTCCTCATATGGCTTGTGCCTCAGAGTGATGGCTGGTTGATACAGATCCATGTGAGAAAAAGAGGAGGGAATTACAGCGTGGTTTACAGCACATTACAGTCAAGAGATTCCCTTTGCCTTGTGCAAACTACATGAAAAAGACAGTGTAGACTCAAGATTTTGCTGGAGATTTGGAGGTTTTAAAGCCTTTGAGTTGCCAGATGAATTCTACAGGAGATCGTGGAGGGAAGGCCAAGGCTGTTACTCTAATGCTGGCTGAGCAGTAAGATGGTTTCTCCACTGTGAACTGTGGGGGCACATGAATTAGCAATTGTAGTTACTATGTTGAAATTGAACAAACTGTGGCTTAGGAGAGCAAATCAATCTGCCTTGCTTTCTTCGTCTTTCTATATCAGCGAAAATTATCTGTTCTGTCTTGTCCATATTGTACAACTGCCTTATTCAGGTATAAACTGGAAATATTTTTAAGTGGAGGTGAAAAAGTACAATGACATTCTTTATATTGGGGTATGTATACGAAAAGGAAGGGAGGGGACATTTATGTGTGTACATGAGAATTAAATGTCTTTTTGGTTACTATTTTTTTTAGCAGGAAGAGGACAAAGATAAGAAAGAAAACAAAATATACCATCCTAGATAACATAGACGAACAGGAGAGAATGGAGCTACGGCCCAAATATGGTACGTGCTATATGGCAGCCAGGGAACTCACCCACCAAGTGTGCAGCAAATGTGTCTGAATTGATCCCTGTAGGCAGGAGGAGCCCAGAAGCAGGCCTACAAATTTGAGAATGGCAGAGATAAACAGACAGTGAAGTGGTTGGGGGAGAATCAGTTAATTTTTTAATAAAGCCTTGGGCTCAGCCTCTGCTCTAAGCTTCTGAGTTTATCTTAAATTAGAACATTGAATTGCCCCACAGATTTCCTCCATGTAAGCCCTCCTCCTCTGCACATGCTTTAATTTGAAGCTGTTTTTGTTGCTGTGCAGCAGTTCCCTCCTGACCCATCAGTGCCCTGTTAGACATCAGTAGATTTCAGCTGCTGTGTACGTATCTTTTAATTTACCTGCCTTTCAGTTTTTAGCAGGGGAAATGTTCGAATCCAAGGAAACAAAATCATTCTGAGAAATTGCTGTCCTAGAAAGACAGAGATAATGCTTCTGTAGAAAACATGACCTTTCATTGCCACTCATGATAATAAGGTCGTTGAGTGGACAGACTGATTTCCAGATTCAAGATACTAAAAATACATTGGGTGCATACTAAGATAATCTAGTTGTTTAAATACATATATTCACATTTCAGAGTCATAAACTGCTGGGCCTGCAATGAAGTCGTAAGAGTATCTCAAATGGTATATGATAATTCTTAAGCTGTTTTTTGTATTGGTGTATGCTGTTACATTGCACTGCAGAGAAAGTTTTCACTTACCATTCATATCACAACAGAGGACAAGATCGTTATAGGTTACTAAAAACCCAGTCCTTTCTAATGAGTTTGTTTTGTTTTTTTATTGTCAGGTATAAAACACAGAAGTACAGAACACAACTCCAGTCTGATGGTCTCTGAGTCAGAGTTTGACAGTGATCAGGACACTATCTTCAGCAGAGAAAAGATTGAAAGAGAGAATTCTAGAACACTTATAAATGGATCTGTCAGAAATGGAGTTTCCTTCAACTACAGCTCCAAAGACAGATAACTGAATGAGGGTAAAAGCACAGAACACACTGTTGTGACACATCTGAAACATGTTGACCCACGTCTGTTTTTCCAGAACCGAAATCTTCCTAAAATATCAACTAATTGCAGATTAAAGGGTAAATTTTTAGCACAGGTAGGGAAAGGCAGAAGGAGAAAGAAAGGATTAGATGGTCAGCTAACTCCTCACTGTTACAGGAACAAGAAAAAGCACATCTTACTTCTTTCATGTTCTGTGCTGAATGCTTGAACTTCAGAAGGCCTTTTTTTCTATATCACTGCTACAAAACTAGCTAGAGTTGTTCTGCTACAAACTATGGTAACTAACAATGGCGTACAGATTCATATGTGCTCCTAATGCTCTCTTTGACAAGTAGTGTGATTTACAACAGCAAAAGCCATTTTAGATGAAGTTCCTTACAACTATAGAGAGCAATATTTGGCCACAGGCTCCATCTTAATTTTTAGTTTAGGGTGGAAACACAAAGAGCATTTTTAGTGCATTGTCTTTATCCAGCTGTACTTTGTGACTTCCTTTTCTAGGATAGTGTTCATTGCGAGAAAACATTCTTGTGTTTAGAGAAAGTTAACAACTAGAGCAGTTACACTGGATCATCTGTAATGTACATGGTATATCTGTGTCCTGTAGGATATAACACTCCCTGTATTCACATAGGAGGTGTGATGTCTGCAGGGACAGCCAGCCTTAGGTTGCTTCTGTAATGATCAAGTTGCTTTGGCTCTGCCATGTCCATCCAGGAAACTGTAGCAGGAAGGACTTGAGAAGCATTTTGAACACCCCAAACAACCTTTTTAGATCACTTTGAGGAGCTCTGGATCTTTTAAGACTGAATCCTCAGCTGAGGTGAGTTTGCATCTGTCAGCATCAAGTGCTCAATTGAAGAATGTGCTGGGCACTTGTGCAGGAAAATGTTTATGGCAAATACCCTGTGTGGAGCCAGAGGTTCATTGTACTTCATTTCTACGTGTCGTGGTAGTCAGTACTGAGCAATGTTTTAGCTTGAACATGAGATTGATTGACTTTTTTCTCTCTGGCCATGAGTGGCTGGATGTGTTGGCCTGAAGAGATCCTTTTAGGTCTTTGGCAAGGGAAGGTGTATCACAGTTCTGACATTCTTGTTCACAACCTGGTAATTTCTTCACAGTCTACTTGTTAAGCTTTGAAATCATGGCCCCAATACTGCCTTTGAAATCCCTAACTGAACACCTGACTTCTATACAGAGGCCTCACTTGTGAGGGCATCTGTATCAGTGGTACTGTTTGGCCATGACATCAGGTTTTCCTGGGGGCCTCTACTGATGTACTGAAATCTAGGTCTGAGATGGAGAAATTATGTGTTTTGATGGAGAAAGCATTCCTCTGGGAGCATTTTTTAAGAGTTTTTTTTTCAATATATTTTGGGGGTTTGTTTTGTTGTTGTTTTTTTTTGTTTGTTTGTTTTTTTGTTTAATCCAGTGGTAGAGAACTTGTTATCAGAGGATGGAGCAGTATAGAGGTCAAGGGGAGCAGTTTAGAAGGGTTGGGGAGGGGTCATAGCCCATTTCCATCATGAGGAATAATGTAGAGAATTTTGGGGCTTTCTCTATCCTTTCTTAGAACTCTGACACAACAGAGTATCTGGGTTGAACACTGTGGCTTCTTTTGTTAATGGACTTGGGCAACAATCAGAACTGTCTATGCTGGAAGAAATCAGTGGTCAAAAGTTGCAGCAACCTGTCATGCTCATGACTTATTTCATACTTTTGATTCTCAAGTGCAGTCAGCAACAGTCCCTAAGGCTGCTAATTCAGCACTGAGGAGTATTTACCCTATGTCCAGCCCTGCATTTTTCTGGAGATCTTTGTGTGGCTGCAGGATTCACTGTGGTGGGAGAGGCTGTGAAGAGGTAAAAAGGGCTAATGCAGGTATTGTCTATGTTTTTCCCATACACACCAGCAAAGTGCAGTATGTATGGTGTGATTTGCTTTCTTGAGAAACCAAGTTTCAACTCTGTGTATGGGGGGTTTAGGCTATTTCTTGAAAGATACCTACTTTATCACACTCTCCCTCTTCTTGAGAGTGTGCATGTATATATATATATATATTTTTAAATAACTTGGTCAACAAAAGCAAGGTCAGCTTCTGATGTCTTTCAGTTCCTGTTCTAGGAACTTCTTTATTATGTGTTAACATAATAAAAGTAGTGTTCACTTTAAAGTATTCCTGAAAAAAGTTAAAGCCCATTCAAAATAGTAATTTATTTCTTTCCTTTGAAATCCAAATGTTGGGCTTAATGCATTATGAACAACTACACAGAATGTTCTAGCAGGAATTATTCTCTTGAAAACATACATTTTTAAACAAGCAAATAAGTTGCTTAAATAATTTCAAGTTTGTATGTGCCATGCTGCCATTGATGCTTCTGCTAAGTACTGTCTCCAGTGTGCCTTTATCTGTAAGCTTACCTTCTAGGATATGTCAGTGCAGTCAGCAGCATTTGTGAAATTAGTGACATGTCTTTTGGTTTTATGTTTTTAAAGCCAGTGCTGAAACCTAGGATGTTCTTCTTTGAAGGTATTGAAATATCTTTTTTAAAAACAAACAAACCCCATCAAAATGAAAAATTGTTTCTCTAGTAAAACAACTCCAGGAATGATAAACCTGCATTCCTTAGTGCTGCAGAATTTCCAGGACTGTTCCCCTGTCCACGGATGCACACTGGTGAGCCCAGATCTTTGGATCTCTGGTAAGTTCATGGGCCATGAGAATGTATGCATGATTTAGCCAAGTGTTTCTCACTCTAACAAGTTAGAAATATTAGACCAATTTCTCATTGTATAAGGCCCTAGCAAGTGGAAGTTGCTTGGTAAATTCAGTCCCTAGATGATACTTGGACATCTTTGTTGCTAACTATTTTAGCTATGTTTTCGAAGTTGAATATAGTTTTAAAATTTTTCACCTGCTTCTGATTATACCAGTTTGATTATTCCATCTGCTTGGAAAGAGAAGTTTTTCTTCTTAACAGAAGAGCAGGCTTGCTTTTAATATATGGCACTTGCACAGAAGCTGAAAGCAATAATTCTGGCTCTGTGAATTTGTGCCATCATGTTTGTGTCACTTGGCCAAGCATGTTTGTGTCAGGAATTTAGGAGAGCCTATAGCAAGCCTTGTATCTTGATTCAGTATGATTCAGAATGTCAGTTCATACCATGAATGAAAGGGTCAGAAAACTGACTGTAACGGTGCAAACACAGTGGCAGAATTTGGATTCTAACCCTTTGGTTTGGGTTATTATAGGCTCCAAGCAGGTTCTTAGTCCTCATGTTCACATCTACACACTGTTCTCCTTCACATACCCAAATAGTATTGGCAGCTGATTTGTAAAATAGGGATGGTGCTCTTTCCAAAAGATTCATCTGCACTGAAGAGTAGAGGAGAGACAAGATAGAGCTTGTCCTGTGTGGCTCAGAGTCTACTGAAAATAAAGAATAATTCAGTTTGGCACTGCTAAGATAGTGCCTCTTGTTGAAGGCAGACAGTGTGGTGATACTTGCAGTATCATTGCCTCATTGCCTTGAAGTGTAAGCACTGGATTTTCATTTGCCTCATGGTTTTACACACACAAGCAGGGATTGTCCAGCTACGTAAAAGGACTGCCTTTGTTCGCATTTTAAGGAAGGAGTGTATATAGGAAGAAATCTTCCTAAGCATTAAGCAGATTCAGTACCCAATTGCAGTATTCAATGCAGTACATACACAGCATGGAACTGCCATGGCTGCACATACGTAATTGTCTTATGGATTTTATTTTCCTAACCAAAATCATACTGCAGTATGAAACAAAATTTATCTTGGCAAATCTGTTGAGATCCACATCCAAATTCTCTGTGCTATGGTTCAACCTGTCGTATTAAGTAGAGAAAACAAAATGTAAAATGCCTAATTACAGACAATTGTTTATTTGCATAGGGGAAGAAAGTTTATTCTTGTTTTGTGTCTAAGAATAGATTATCAACTCTGTCTTACTCTCCCTCTGTCAGATGCATGAGATAAAAGTACTGTTCAAGCGTTTGTTTTGTGCTGTCAGCTGTTTGCTTGTATGATGTTAGTTTTCCTTTCTTTGGTCTCCTATGGGCAAACAGAAGTTAACACACTTGCAAGGAACTTAACAGTGAGAGAGTGCATGCATGTGTTCTCTGTGCTGGTGCAAACTTTCCACAGATAGTCTGATGTTATTGAAATAATTGAGTTCCTAGGCAAGTGTTCTATTCCTGCTTTTAACCACAAGTGAAACTAATTTTGCCCCCCAGTATCCCAGTTACAGGCAGTAGTCAGGTGGAGCTTCAGGACAGTAGTAATAAAATAACAGTAAATGTAATCTTCTGACATTTAGGTGAGGTTTGAGAGAGGAAAACGGGATACAGGTGAAGTAGTTTCTTAATGTCAATTATTGCTTGTCAGGGATCCCTAACGAATACTAATCCCATACTTCTGCAGCAAAGAAAAACCCATTTCATGTACCTTTTATATCCTTAACCCCCCAAGGCGAAGGAGGGAAATACAAAGTTTAGAAATAAAATTTTAAGAAAGAGGCAACAAAGGCAAATGATTTTTGCACAGGCTATGAATCAGGTGCAGGTGAGCTGCACATCTGTGTTTTATCTCTGTATGAAAGCACTTTTCCCTGTGGGTGGATGGGTGAGCTATTACAGAATTTATATTAGGAATCTGTTTCTAGAAAATGTTATTTATTGCAAATGCTATTGTATTGTATTTGGAACTATTTCTGAGCTGAAATTGCTACATTTATGTAACATTAATAAAGTTTTGTCTTTCCTTTTAGAAACTTGTCAGGTACTCTTTTAAGCATGGTATTCTGTATTGGATCCAACAGTCAGGCCAGGTTAAGAGACATATGTTGCCTTCCATAGCTTGTCTACACTCAAACATTAAAGCAATGCAGTAGCTGATTCCTTCCCTCCATACTGACAGAAGCATCTTTTACTAGAGAGGTGACATAATTCAGTAGATTAGAGAGAAGGAAAAAAGAAATTACTGCAGTGGACAGTAAGTTTTCATGTGGTGCTTGTGCTTAGTTGGTTCAATTAGCTGTGTGTAAGTAATCACCAGCTGTCATGCCAAGTGTGGTGGTTTCACAGGTGTTGTGGCTTATTCTATAACAGATTCCATACTTGAGTCAGCTGCTTAGCAGTAATCAGTTAGAGGTGTGCAATATAACCCAAAATATGCTGTTAGAGAGGGGTAGGTTATGCTGCTTGTTTCTGAACTGGAAAAGAAAAATCCTTCCATCGTTGTGTATTAAGTTTGTGCTGAATAGTGATAATAAAAGGTTCTATGAGATAAGTGTCTTTCTGTAAGGAAAAAATCATACACCATGAAAGCTACTTTTAAAGTCTGTTTGGATACATGGTGCCACAGTCGATGTGGTACCTCAAAGCATTGCCACTGGACTGCAAGGGAATACTGGCAGCTGGATGAGCTGATGAGATACGTGTCCTTTGTTTAATGATGGAATCTGCCCCTTTGTTATTGCACTGCACATTTTGATAATAGCAGTAACCTTCCCCCATCCCTGTCAGTAGATGGTGCAACAGAAAATAATCGGCATGATTCCAAAACAACTTCAGCCAGTTGTGCTAAGCAGCTTTGGCACTCACTGATGAAGTGACTAAGCCACCACCTTCTCATGGTTCTCAGAAGGACCTAAGCAGGAAGTTTTGACCTAGAAGCCCTTTAAACAAGTGCTAAAATGTAACTTAGAGCTTCTGAACACCATACTTAAATCTTTAAGATAGCTAAGTTGTTAATATCAGGTTGAACAAGTAAACACAGTTTCTTGAGAGCTTGTTACAGAGAAGAAGGGCAGTGGGGGTGGGTGTGTATGTATGTGTGTGAAACAGCTGATTAAAGAGTAATTTAAGAAAACAAAACAGAAGTTGGCCATGACTGTGTCAAGTTGGAAATTAAAAGACAGTTTCTCAGGCTTCAAGACTATATTAAATAAATAGAAATAAAAGAGCTCCCAAAACTCTGTTTTAAAGCTTAATGAAATAAAGAATTATGCAAGTAATCACATTACAAAAGCAGGGAAGACACTGTGATCTATTTTGTGACAAAATGTTTGATTCAGCATAAAAGATTGGCGTACAAAATGACTGATGTCATATTATTATGCCCAAGTAGTCTCATCTATTTGATTTAGATTCAAGGGACTGTAATTGGGGGTATCAAAATCTTACACCGTGTGAACATGTGGATGCAAAGAAGTGGTGTCTTTTCCAGTGATAAAGCTGTCAGAACAAATATGAGAGACTGAACTTAATGTGGCTGCTGTCAATTTGTCAATTCAGCACTGAATAAGGTAATAAACCACAAAATCCGGTGCTTTCACAGAAGTTATTTATTAACTGAAAACATTTTTAAATCACAGTTTTTATATCCAGAAATTGCTAAACTATCACAAGTGCAATCAACACAATTGATGTGTGAGAATTCAAGTATGTCTTTTGTTGAAGGATCCCAGCTTTTGCTATGAAGACTACTTTGATTATTCTGTGCTAAACTGATGTAGACTTTACTGACATGAGTATCTTATGCTGGAATCCAACCACAATCCAATCTAGACAAAGATATTTTTAAGTTTCTTACAAACGTTATCTTTAATTATTGTTTGTGCTTGTTATCAGGCATTGTAAAAGGTATTATTTGCCAAAACAAAAAGTTAATACTCATTAGAAGTGCTACTATCAGAAAAGACAAAGATTTTAAATGTACCAGTGCATCAGATCAGTAACTTTGCAGTGAAGAGAGCAAAGGTTAAATTATTTATCCTCCAACTGCACTGTCCCAAGAAGTACACTCACATTAAATACTACATTGTCATACAGGTGTAAATAAGATGATTTTAATTTTGATCTTATACTGCAGTTCACAGGCAGACATAATTGAATTTCAGTGGCAGATATTCTATCTGTGTACAATACCTTTAACTATGCCTGCATCATTGTGTTGTGGAGGCCGGGAACCAAGGCATGACCTTATTCTACCCAGTTGTTTTTTCCAATTAATACTAAACACAGCGGTAGCCAAGGCTGGCAAACAGCTTTCTCCCACAACACTGTATTCCCCAAATTCAGGCAGCCTGTGTATGCTCAGTAGTGTCATCTTAGAAGTTGGCTATAGGAAAGTTTCTTGCAACTAGAGTATAACAAGGCCATCCTTTTTATGTTCTTGACAACAAGCACAGATAACAGTACTAAGTCCTCACTACCACAAATACGGGGATTTGGTGCATTGGGAATTACTGGAAGGGCAGAAAATCCCCTTTAACTGCCCTTCAGTTGGCATGATACACACAGTAATGACAGATAATGTGCTCCAGACCCACCTGGTCTCAAGTGCTGCACAAATACAACCATAACAAAATATTTAAAAATAAGGAGTAGCAGTCAAAGCTACTTCATGTGCGCTTTAAAAAAAACCCTGTGAAACTCGGTTCCAGCTTGCATTCCCTCCCTCACCAAGTCTTGTGTTACCTGGTACCTCTTTGCCTGATGCGATAAAATATTTTAAAATATTTAATTTCATAGGGTACATTCATTACTTTATAAGAAGAAGGGCTCTGTTGCCTTCTTTTATTTATTTTTAATGAACACAAGAAACAAAGTTTATTCCATTTAACCTCTGCTGTGCTGATTTATTCACCAAATTTACACTGCACATTTTTTAAAGTGCTTTTTTTGACTGCCATTAAAATATTTAAACAACATTGTTTATTTCATACTGAGGAAGCCTTACATCATCTTTTGAAGATGACAGAATAGTGAGGTGATGTGTCAAAGCCTCACCTCTAACCACCACTATTTAAATCTTTATTAGGTCACAAATGAGCCATGTTCAAAGGTTTTTAAACCTTCCTCCCTAAGGGACCTTCACCTGTGTAACCACAAATCCAATTCAAGGCACAAAGCCCACAGCGATGGATATCTGCTCCTATTCTTTGAAAGGGGTGAGTTATGTTCCTTTAGACATTGAGCAATATTTACATCAGGGTAAATACTGTACTTCTACCCAAGGAGAGTCATGGTCTTTTCATGGAAGGGAGAGAGTTTATCTGTATCATCATGTCACTTGTGTTTTCTTCACACAGCCCTTATAGTCTCCCCTTACAATTCTGCAAGCTGTTCCTGTGAATATCTTATCTTCCTCCTGCTTCTCACTAAGCCAGCAATTCTTTGTCCTGAACTGTCCTATTCCCAGGACTGCTGGGGCTAACGGGCATCAAACAAGGGCTCTACTTCATCCTAGACATGCAAGCTGTTAGGCAAAAACTACACCTTTTTGCTCAAAAACCTAAAGCTGAACAGGCAGCAGCCCTGCAGTCAGTTTGTTTAACAGTGCTGAAAAACCTGTCTGTTAGGCTATGTGGATGCCTAGATTTAGCTCAACAACAATTCCTCACCTTTTGTAAGCAGCAGATTCTCCCACAATTAAAAAAAAAAGAAACAACCCCCCTATACACTTGCTTCTAAAGGAGGTCACATAACCACATTAGAAAGTCTGAGTATTTACACAAAATTCTAAAGGAAGACTGCCATCCCAAAGCCTCCCTTACCCACACTGAAATACTAAATGTAGTAAAAAATGGTGGTCTAGTTTAGATAGGTTACTATCTGCTTTTATTATGCACAAGTCTCAAAGTTTTCCCAGTTACACAGGGATAATCCAAGAACAATAAACATATATCCCTACTCATTACTAAAAATAATGGACATTGTGATCATATTGCTGAAAAACTGGATGTATAAACAAAGACCACATAAAAACATTTGGCAGCACAGAATACTGTAGATATCTATACACACACAGGACAGGGTTGATTAGTTCTAAAGAAGGTAGAAGTTGCATTCATCATATTTCTGGCTCAAGAAGCTTATTAAAACAACAGCACCCTTTCCCAAATTGTGGGGACTGTGCTGTTTGAAGGCTTTTATAATCCTCCTAAGCAGACATATTTTATTTCTAAGTATTCATCGATGCCATATTTTGAACCTTCTCGCCCTAAGCCAGACTCCTTTACCCCACCAAAAGGACATTCCACTGACGAGATTATGCCTTCATTAACACCAACCATTCCAACTTCCAGCTGCTCTGCAACTCTCCAGATCTGAGCTGGATCTTGGGAGTAGAAGTATCCTGTCATGCAGACACAGAGATACAGGAGTGAAAATCAGTAAGAACAATCGCAGTAGACTGTGAAAAAGAGACTTAATGACATTCAAAATCATCACCCCATAAACTAAAGCTCACAAAACCATAGAAATACACTTATCTGACAGAGAAGCATACCTGCTAAACCCACATTAGCTGCATTTGCTATAGCAACAGCTTCTGCTTCAGTGTCAAATCTGTCAATAGAAAGAGAAAATATTAAAATGAGGCCCGCAGTTCACCTGCTGTCTTGCTGACTTACCGACAAGAAGTAGTCTTATCGGGAATTAAAATGTCAATTTATTTTTCCCAGAAGTGTACATTAAAAGGTATTTTAACTTTCATTTTGACACACTGATGTGTCTACCTCTTCTCTTAATTTAAACTGCAGTTAAGTAGTTAAGATTGCCTTTATCCCCCCTAGGTAGCTGGATGTTACCAAGACATTTACTTTACAAGGGTTAGCCTACCCATTTCCCCAACTACACAGCACTCTCACCTCTGAGAGATAACTGTATGTTCTTCCATCACATCCAATTGCTCTGCACAAAGGCAGGGAAGGCTTCAAGGAGAACAGACAGCTCCAACTCATCCTCTGTCAGAAAAGCTTAGGACTAGCAAATCACATGACCAACTCAAAGTCTTGTCTCCTATTTCATACCACAGATCATGAAGCCGATGAAGGTTTTGCTGCTATCTAGCCTTACTTAAACATTGAGATACTTTAATTTTCAAAAATTGCCAAGGTGCTAAGATCAGGTCAAGAAAAAGAAACAAGGGAGCCACATTTCCCAAGTATGTTTTCACATGTGTACCCCAGTCTTTTTACAAGACTTGTGTGATCATATAAAAATATTTGTCTTTCAAATCTTGCTTATTTAAAATAATCTTTTATTTTTTTCAATTGTTAATTCTAATATGTAGAATTAACAATCTTACCTGATAACTGGTGCCAAAGGGCCAAATGTCTCCTCTTGGGTGCAAAGCATTTTTGTTGTAACATTAGTAAGTAATGTGGGCTCAAAGAAATTCTTCCCCAAGCTGTGTCGTTTCCCTCCAGTCACAATTGATGCTCCTTGAGAAACTGCATCCTTAATGTGTTTCTCTACCTGAGGTATGCGTAACAAAAATCTTCAAGTCAGCATTTAAGAATGAGCAATAATACATTTATCACTAAAGAAATAATAGTCTCCCAATATTTAAGAGAAAATTTTGAGGACAGGTTTACACTTGCAGAGGATCACTTGCAATATTATCTAATTTCTCTTCAATTCTTGTTTCTCTCAGTCTGACATAATTTCAGAGGGTAAATTATGAACATGGTCCCCAGCCCATTTTTCTGTAGAAATTAAAAGCCTACACCTAATGTGAGAAAAATCCTTTGCAGGACTAAAAACTGAATCTTATATCAGTGCTCAAGCACTATGGAAATTAAGTATATGACTGTCATGGGGAGAGAAACAACTCTCAAGATGGAACTGGCAAGAACATTTCCCAACATCTATGATTCTACCTATCCCCTGTATTTACAATTCACCTAAAGACAACAACGTAATAAGAAAACTAAAGTAGCAATCCCCACCTGTCCTTTGAAATTACTTTGAATACTGTCCTTCAAAATTACAGGAAGTAACTATATACAAACTATAAAAGTTTATTTGTTTATATAGTTGTACCTGATACACATACAACACTTTTGTGATGCAAGAAGAGAAGGCATGAAGGAAAGAAATTCGAAGACTGTATCCTTTGTCTCCCAAATAACTGAATATTTCCCCATTCTTTTATAAAGAGAATCTGGCAGCGTCCATGTATAATGGATTCAAACCAAGCCTGCATGCAACAGAGCTGTAATATCTTACAAAGTATGGGCCACTTGACTCAATAATCTTTAACCTTAGGAAGAGCGAAATATTATAGAAGATGTGACTTATTAGGATTTTTTAGAAAAGAAATATTCCTGGAGTTGCATGTCAGGCAAAACAGAAGACCCAAACCATGCACATGAAGTTTCAAGTGATTACAACATCCAGAATTCTGGTATTTTTAACCCAAATAAATTATTCTATCAAGCTTTTGCAAAAAAAACTTCACTGTTCTTCAAAAGAAATTGTCAATCACAGTGCTTCAGAACTGCAGGATCACTGTACAGCTCTCACAGCGTACCCAATTTCAGTGAATGGACTTGAGAACAGCTAGGGAGTAATCAGGAGGAATCAGTTTCTCATAAAGGAGGCCTCGTTCCCTTAATGGCAGGGGGATGATACATGAACTGTCCACATCTGTTTGTGTATATGTACACATGGACTTGGGAGACAGAACACACTTCCAGCTACAATGCAAATATGTTTCAATAAAACAAGGGAAAAAAGGTGAAACAAAAATGTAAAGTTATTTTATGGATCATAAAAAGAAAATTAGGATGTTAAAAATAAAATATTTACTTATACCTTCTCCACTGCTTTTTCATTTATAAGTGGTCCTTGGGTAGTTTTTGCATCAAATCCATTTCCAACATGTAGTTCTTTCTCTATAGCTTTAGCCAACTTTTCCACAAATTCATCATGAATTCCCTTTTGCACCAGGAAACGGTTTGTGCAAACACAAGTCTGAAAACAAAAAAGATAAGACAAAACCCCACTAGTTTATATTGTATTTAATCCATCTATTGATCAATTCTGGCCTTCATGGCACAGAATCAGGTTACTACACTGATATCCCCTTACCTCTCCTCACTCATCCTAAGCTGTTACCCAGCTATGACATTTCTTTCACCACCCATTTCACTTTAGAAATACAACTTCAACAAGCTGTCAGTGGGTGTGTGAAATATGTCACACTGCTAAGTTGCTTACACTGGGGAAATGTTTTGTGAATTTTGTGAACTCAGACACATGGATCAATCAGGGTTCAGAAGCTGCAAGAAACACCTTCTAATAAGACTGTAAGAATGCTAGACTGACCAGCAAAAACTCAAATCACACTTAGTGGTCTAAGGTCTTTTTTTCTAACTCTATTATCTGAGTCTGCTTTCTTCTGGAAAGTTGTTTCTAAGTGCTTTCAATGGTCTATTTATTTGTCTATTTATTTTTTATACCCCTTTGCTCTGACTGCATCCTATTTTGATTGCTACAGTATGTGAAAAGTAATAACAGCCTCTTATTTTTCTCTACAGAAGCAGAGGTGCCTTTTATGATAGTCCAGTCTGGGTAGGATCCCTTAATGTTCCTTGTCCACTTTTGTTTCCTTTCTTTCTTCCCAAGATTAGTCATGTCTTCTTATGTTACTCAGGTAAAGTTTTCCCTACCAAATGACCTCCCAGACCCACTGAAAATTTGGTGCTTCTCAAAAGCTGGAGTTCATCAGCTTCATGTTCACATGTACATGTAAGGCTGGAACACTCTCCACACAGCCCTCTTCAGCTGACTGTTCTGGAAAGTCATGCTCTTACAATTTTTTTGACAAATGAAATACATCTGAAGCAATGCACACTTGAATAATCTATCACCTTTTTAAAGCTACTCATTGTAGAAAAAACTATCTGTGTCTTAACAGACTAAAGCAAGATGGTGTCATTCACGGCTCTAGTTCTCCAATAAATTTAATGTCAGCAAAACATATGAAAAAAAATACCTTATCACTTCTCAAGCTCTTGCAAGGGGTCCTAGAGAACATCATCTTCTCTAATAGTGATGTTACTGACTGTCACATATGTTGTGAAAATATATGGGATTCCAGTGTTGCTATTTAGATTTGCTAGTAACTGGCTTTAGTGCCCAGAGCTATGTGTGAGTGTAACAACTTCGCGTCACAATTAAGTGTTCTGTGCTTTCCTTTTACATAAAATAACTTATTTACACCTTAAACTTTATGTATAGCTCTTCATTGTCTAGAAACATGGACAAAAATTCTCACCTGTCCTGAGTTTCTATACTTAGAAGCAAGGGCTCCTGCAACAGCCCGATCCACGTTGGCGCTGTCAAACACAATAAAAGGAGCATGTCCTCCAAGCTCCATGGAAACTCTCTTCACAGTGCCAGCTGCATGTTTCAGCAAGATCTGTAGGCAACAGAAGAGACACACACATCTGTACCTCTGACAGATGTGAACAGTGGAATCATGGATGCAAGGCAGCGAAAAATTAACTCTGGCAAGGAAATAATCTGCATCTTCTCTACAATGCTAGACCATCTCCTACGACAAAAATGAATTTCATACATTAAAATCCTTCAAGATTAAATTCTGGCCAAGGACTAATGCAGAGAAAGATTTTGATCAACTTCAGGTCAGGTCAAGCTTTTATATACTAATATTGTCAACTGTTTTTGTTTGTGCTATTATTTTTTGACAATAAAATCTTGACTACTCTTACAAAATTTGTTAACTACTCTGACAGAATTTGGTATTATGATTTATCTTGATACCAGACCTTGTCTTCATTCTGCATATAGCCATCCTAGAGAAGTCTGCCATTTTGTAGCCACACTTTGTAGTGATGCATTTAGGGATGGTGACAAGATTACTCATTGACTAAAGTTGAGAGCAGATATTCCAGGGCCTCACTCCTCTAATACTTTCTCTCAACTACTAAAGCCATTCTTGAATGGCATCTTTGAAACTCAGTTGCAGTGTTCTTATTAGTATGTTGTCACTTTATGATATAAACCAAGAATATCTTGTACAGGACTGTTCACATTATAGTTTAATAAAGGGCAGTTATCAAGAATTGCAGACAGCCATCCTTCTGTGAAGTACTGATGCAAAAACATGTAAGGAGTATCTCAAGAGGTACACAATTATTTGGACAATCAGTGTACAGTAGCCAGAAAAGAAGGCTCTGTATAAAGGCACACATTTTCCCCCTACCTTTCTAGTATAACCACAGTACTAATCTTCAAGGATATTCTGTCCATGTATGTACCTTTCCTGTTGCTGTAGAGCCAGTAAAAGATATTTTGGATACCAATGGATCAGTGCATAGAACTTCCCCTACAGCTGCTGTCTGTTGTCTGGAACAAGGGACAACATTATACACTCCTGCTGGGATTCCAGCCTGGTTTGCAAGCTGCAACAAAAGAAAAACAGAATTTGCATTATTAGTGCATTTTGTAAGAGGAACAGTCACTTAATGATTGTTCATTGTTTTGAAGAAAACAATCTGTAAGTCAATAGAAGCCAAAAGGGCTCAGAACAACTAGGCACAGGTGCCATAGGTGCTTGAGAGAGGAGCTTTGGTTCGTTTTAAGCTATGTGTGTGTTCAAAAGAACCAAATTAAAGATATAAGGATATTTTGAGTATCAAAATGGCCCGATCCATTTCGAGGCTGTAGACCATATTGGAGGCAATTTACAAAGATTCTCACTAAACTAAAAGACCTGCATCAAGTCAGTTTGTCCTTTCTTCACATATGAAGATGGCCCGAGCTACCTTCCAAGCCCATCTGACTCCCTGTCTACAGTATCAGTCCACTGTTGAGGTAAGGCTTAGCACTGAAAGCTCACCTCCCCAAGAGCTAATGCTGATAAAGGTGTGTCCTCTGCAGGTTTCACCACCACTGTACAGCCAGCTGCCAGAGCTGCACCAACCTTTCGGGTAATCATAGCGCTGGGAAAATTCCACTAGGAAGAGAGAAAAATAGTACAATCAAAGTTGGGAAAATTTTGCCTCCTGTTTTTGCAGAAGTAAGTGGTATTTTGAACTGGGGGCTGAGCTGAAAACCTTCATGTGATGCAGAAGAGTTCAGCTATGCTTACAGGGGTTATAATGGCTGCCACTCCTACTGGCTGCTTCAGCACCAGGACTCTTCTGTCCTTTGCAGATGCTGGAATAACATCACCGTAAATCCGTCGAGCCTCCTCCGCAAACCACTCCAGAAACGAGGCTGAATACACGATTTCACCCTGTGCTTCTTTCAGAGGCTTTCCCTTTGATTAAATCAGATTGAAAATACATTGTAAGTAGCAAATGGAGGCAGTATAAACAAATTCAAGTAATTTTGGAGTTTCTCTTGTTTTCAGAGTAGTTGATGATCCTCTCCCTCTGCCATACACTGCAATCTCCAGCAAGGATTATATGACTGCAGCAGCAATAGTTGTGTGGATTCAGTATACCATGATTGTACAATCAATAATTTGTATGCTGTGCCCGGATTCATACCTGCCCAGGAGAAGGGAAAAAAATAGCAAATCTAGTGTGCATTTATTTACAAACTCTGAGTTAGCTGCTATTACCACTCTGAAGAAAGACACGAATGATGGGAAAACAGTTACAAGTTTACGCCAAGATCATTTGTTTTGGGAGTATTGCTTTGGACTACCCCCAGGTCTGATCCCTTGGACTGAATGACCATTAATTAGCAGCTGTGACACCACAGAGGAGCTGCTGAACTATCTTCCAGCAAGGTTTTATCCAAAAGGACCCCAGTTTGTGAGCTCCCAGACTACTCAGTGAAACAGACAGTGTGGAGCCAACTTGGCAACTTGAATGATTTTTCCCAGCCACAAACATTTCTGCCACGTGGACCATGGTTTAGGTGGATGTACACTTTTGCATGCCATGAAGTACAACATGGCTCTAGTTTCCTCTGATTAGGTACTACTGTCATCAAACCAACGCGCTTTATGTATATCCGGAGGAGGGATGTTTGAAACCTCACCCACTGACCTAGCAGAGCAATGTGAGTACACAAGATGCCCAGAGTTATTAAAAAGGACACGATGGCTAAGTGGTGAAGCGCTCAGGGACAGGTCTGACGGCTGTCAATTTTACTTGGTGTCATCATTGTTCGCCTGCCTGCGTTGGGCTCTCCAGCGGGAGTGCCAGCCCGGGGCAGTGCCCGTGCCCCCCGCCGCCGCCCCACTCACGTTCTCGGCCGTGATGATCCGCGCCAGCTCCTCCTTGTTCTCCATCATCAGCTCGTACCATCTGCGGAGGCGAGCGCTCCTCTCCTGGGAGGAGGAGGGAGAGACAAGGCTGCCGCGGCCGCCGCAGGCAGGGACGGGGAAGCGAGGCCCCGGGAGACCCGACGGGACCGGACCGGACCGCCCCGGGGCCCCCTCGCCGTCAGCTCCCGCGGCCGCTCACCTTGGCGGGGAGGCGGCCCCAGGCGGCGCCGGCTTCGTGCGCGGCCCGCACGGCCGCCCGCGCCTCGGCCGCCCCGCAGTCGGACACCCGGCCCAGCTCCTCGCCGCTGGCCGGGTCCTGCACGGGGAAAGCGGCGGCCGTCTCCACCCATCGGCCGCCCACCAGGCCGCCTCGGCGCACCAGGGCGGCGGACAGGGCCTGGCTGGCGGCCCGCGCTGGCCCCGGGGCGAGCGGCGCGGGGCGCAGCAGGAGGCGGCGGCGGGCGGCGGCGGCGCCCCGCGGCAGCAGGGTGGTGGCCATGGCCGCGCTCCGGGACAGGCGGCGGCGCCCGGCACAGCGCACGGCTCGCCCGCTCCGCCCCGCGGGAGGAGCTGCCGAGGGGCCGGGCCAGAAGCGGCCCGGGAGAGCCCGGGAACGGGGGCGGGGGCACTCGGCCAGGAGCTCCAGGTCTGCCCGAGCAGGGGGGGTGTGACCGTGGCTGGGGAGGGAGGCTTCTGCTTCCCGGAGGCTCATTTCCCGCGCTGTGGCGGGACCCCGGCTTCGTAGGGAGGGGGGAGGCTTAAAGTCACAGAATATCCTCTGGTATTGGAAGGAACCCACAGACATCACCGAAGTCCGACTCGTGGCCCTGCGCAGCGCACACCAGGAGTCACACCATGTGCTAAGGGCGTTGTCCAAATGCTTCTTGAGATCCATTAGGCTTGGTGGTCTGACCGCTTCCTTGGGGAGCCTGTTCCAGTGCCCAGCCACGCTCTAGGGGAAGAACCTTTCCCTAATACCCAACCCAAACCACTCCTGACGCAGCTTCATGCCATTGCCTCGGGTCCTGTCGCTGAGCACCACAGAGAAGAGATCAGTGTTTGCCCTCCCCTTCGTGAGGAAGTTGCAGACTGCGATAAGGTCTCTGGGCTCTCCATCTCCTCTAGCTTGTGTTCTACTGCAGGAGCACTGGGGGCCACTGGGCCCCATGACAGCTGGCCAGTCTCTGGCACGAGTGCCATGCGAAGCCGCTGCCAGTGCCACCATTCGCTGGGGACTGGTGTGGCTGTGCCACATGCGTGAACGGTGGCAGGGAAACACGGAGTGCCCAGCCTCTGCAGCCAGAAATTCATAGCAGTGTACTTGGCAGGTGTACTTCCATGAGTCTCCCACATATCAGCTGGGCTTTCAATACTGATCGTAAGACCCGGACTTAAGTGTGCAATATCCTATCAGCTCACTGAAGGTTATGAATTTGTATTACCTGAAACTCAGGAGCTAGTGTTTTTCTATTAATACTGTTTGGCAATTGGCTTTAATTTCTTTTGTGAAATGGGATGTAGTTGCTGTAAAGCAAGCACACCATGAGCTGGACAAACTCTGAGAGGATATTCTTGGCCGTGTTGTTGGATTTAACAGAAATCTCACTGCTGCTATGGAGTGATGCACTGATTACACTGCTCAAATCCCAGAGATATTACAGAGGTGGGGAGAATACCCACAGTTTTTTTCTTTCTATATATAAATTACTTTATTTGCAGTAAAAGAAAGCACTGGTATAGAATAGCCTTTTAAATTTGGCAGTCATTTGCTTGCTGTGTCAGCAATATGTGTAAAAGAAAAGGCATGCTCCGTAACCTACATTTCAAAGGTCACAGTGCTACTGCTCCAGGCTTCTGAAAACCACAGTTGGAGCCAGATGGCATCATGGTTGGTCCGAAGATTTGGTTTGTCTTGCTGGTTATACTCTACAGTTTCTGTCAAAGATGTATCCCGTGTGGAATTTCAACACATGTTGAAATAGGTAAGACATGTTCAAAATGTTTCCTTGTGCTTTGAATTTCTTGTGAAGAGAAGTAAATTCAGAATCAGCTGGAAAGCAGAGGGAGGAAATAACATTAAAGTAAGGAGCAGTCTACATAATTTTAAAAATGTGAATAACAGATAGGATAAATGAGTAGTTTGACTTGGAGTTTGAAATTTTACTGTTTTTGTAAGTAAAATGCTTGAATTGACTTGGGTTGCGTATTTCTCCGTCTCCTAAGACACGGGCATTATGTAACTGGAATGTTTTTGTCTGTGAGTTGTACGCAGACAGAGTTTGCTTTGGAGAAAGACAAGGAATGTTTTAGGCAATTCATGGGATTCTTATATTTAAACTAAAGAATAACACAAGTCCTTTGTGGTAACTCTGTATTAATTATGCTATACCTGCACAAGTAGATAAAATTCTGTAATGTGTTTCTATCTGTAACTAACATAATAAAAATTTTGTTCTGTGTCTTTTTCTGGTAGGTTGCTCTCTGTAGCCAGAACAACTTAGACTTGTAGAGAATGAAGGAGAGAACTGAGTGAACATCAAAATGGAGAAATATTTCTGTTTTGAACTTCTTGTTTGCCTGTGCTATTTTTAAAATCTGGTTTCTTCCACAGTTATTGCAAGCACAAACATGAGCAGTGTGAGGTTATTCTGAAACAGCTATTCATAATAATTGACAGTTGTAATTGTTTTTTCTTCTGTTTTTGATTCTAAATCCATTGTTAAAACAGAGGGTAAAATGTAGGATGTTCCCTTTATTCAGATAATTATCTCAGACTTTAAGTACTGAATACATGTAACTTTGAACAATTTAAAGACTGGGATTATTCATGGCGTTTGAGATTGGAGTGTGTTCACTTACTGTTCCACTTACTGAGTGTTGTACCCATGGTCAGCATCCTGGAACAATTTGCTTTTCCTAACAATGTGTCAAGAAACCCATTATAATCTGTAGGAGAAGTCATGCTGCCTGAGGTTAGGCAAGTGCACACAACTCTGCAAGCTCAGGGCTCTAATTACCGAGTATGAGCTTCTGAGGACTTGAAATAACAGATTTGCCAGAATAGATTGTGTTTGAAAAAAAAAAAATCTGCCAAGAGAAACAAGCTTACAGATCTGTTCCGAAGCAGTCTTTTTTTTTTTTTTTTTTTCTTTTTCTAATCAAGGAAGCATGCTGCAGAAGACTTGTGTTTACATAATATAAAGATCTTGGTTGTCTGAGGATCTGTGTGTACACTGAACTATTGGGTCCTAGTTTACAACAAGTTTTGTCCATTTGTCGGAAAATTACATTAAACTATGATCAGCTCTGATGCTGTTAAAATGAGTGCCCTTATTGTTGTCACATAAAAGTCTATGATGATAAGATGAAAATACTTCCAAAATTCAAACACTGAGTGCTCCAGGAAGACAAAAACAAGCAAACAAAAAAACCTCAAAAAACCGAACAACAAACCGTAGAAAGGAATTCCTCTCACTCAAAGCCAGCACCAAAGACATTCTGGGCAGCGTTTTGAAAGTACTTTTAAAATGGAGAAAAGCTGTGCCTGTTCAGAATGTTGATTGTGTTCAGTGTGCTTGGCAGAGCTGTGCTGTGTCCCACTGGCATGGCCGTGCCTGGAGGCAGGTCCGAGCGGGGAAGCTCTTTGCCCTAGGGGTTCCTGTCAGACTTGTGAGGCTCTGTGAGACTGTGGGGATCTGGCATAAAATTCCTTGTAGAGGTGGAGTTGTAGAACCTGGGCACACTTGAGTAGTGAGAGAAGTGCGGGGGAGGTGTGAGGCAGAAGAAGCAAACTGCCAAAATGCAGCTCTCCCACACTGGAATCTGAGATGTGTGTAGAAATGTCTGAGCCTTAAAATTTTAGATTACTACTTATTATTTTGTTGTTTCTTTTCTGGTGCAAGGCTGGTCTCTAAGGCGTGTTTTTTGTATGAGGATGATTTAGATTACTGGGTAAAATTCAAAGTGAAAGATCATTTAAACCCCCACAGTTTTGTCTAGATCTTATTCCAGAATAGTAATGGATTGGTTTGGATTTGGTGGGAGGAGTTTTTTGTTTGTTTTGTTGTTTGTTTTTTGGGTTGTTTTTTGGAGTTTTTTTTTGGGGGGGGGTTGTGATGTGATTAGTTTGTTAAGAAACAAATTAACTTCAATCTTTGTAAATAGCTTTAGAGGAAATGTTGGGTATTTTTAGAATAGTGTTGATAGATTATTCCTGGGATCTAATATTAATTAGGAGACCTCATTAAAGAAAAGGATGTCAGTTCATTTCATTCACTTGTTATGCCAGCTAAATAAAAATTTTGGCAGTAAGAATATCTGCTGATTCTGTGAATAAATAATGTTATTTACCTTGCTGACTTTACATTTTTGTTACTTTTCATTCATGTTAAAAATTAATCAAACTGTTAAACACCCACATTGATTCCCAACATCTTTCTCACTGTTAAGGGCAATAATGAAGCTTGAATACAGAACTAGAACTTTATGGTCCACGCTTTACATATGCTGGGTGTAGTCCAGTCAGTTCATTGCTGTAGCTCATTTCTGGACATGGGGAGTTCGTTTCTTTTAATTTCAAATTATTTCGGCTTGGTTGGTCAGCTTGGGAGCTAGGGATTAGACAGAGACTGAAGATGTGCCACAGAAAGAGCACTTCCTTATTAACTCCCTCGGTGAGAAAACATGCCCTTTCACAGGTACACAGTATTGTGAGAAATGGTGTTTCATGCACATGGCACTTGGCTTAGGTATGAAAATGTGTTGTCTTCTGGTTCTGCTAGTTCTTCTAACAAAATGTGGGCCTGGACACAATACCTATAAATCAACACTTCAATATATTGTTTTTCAGCACATAGAGCTCTGGAATTTTTCATTAAGCATGAAGGGAGTGTTAATTATAGACAGGTAGGAGGCATGTCTAATTTTGTCCACCTTTCTCTGAACGTTTTTATTTCTGTCTTGCCTTTCGTTATTATTCTCAATAACATGTGTCAATATTGTTCCCAGACTGTATTTTTATCTTTTTTTATTCAAAATAATTTGAATCTTTCTGCATATTATTACAGAAATAGAGCAATTATGCCAATGTGTGTATATATAGATATACTCTGTGTTGTTTCTTGCATGTTTTCCTATCTGCTTTAGTTATATTCTATGTGAGCAGTTTTATTATAAGAATCAGTAGAGGACTTTGGGAAAGCAAATTTAATAAACCTAAGGACAGCAAAATGACTGCAAGGTTTTGTGCACCACATGGTGTATTTTACCAAGATAATAATTGTATTTTGCTGGCATTTAGAATGTATCTTTGGTGCTGGCAGTAAAATGTGGTTTTGTGCTGTGCAATAACATTCTGATTCATTTTCCTCCCCCATCTTTTCCCCAGTTATTACTAAATCACCAAGATGCTTTTCAAGCTGGGAGCATTTATCCTGATGCCTTTTATCCTCCAATCTGCAAACGTGGTAAGAGAAGCTTTATAAGTCCAATGTTATAACAACTGCAATTTTATGTGAAAATCCTGCAGAATTTAGTGGGTTGAAAATGGTTACATTGTAAGAAATGAAGTGTGGCCAAAAATGCTTTCTTGCTTTCCTGCAAAAGCTATCCACCATTTTTGTTAGAACCTTTTTGGAGACTTTAGAGATTTTATAATGAAATAACATATTAATAACATATTTGAAAGTGTTTTAAAAAGTAACTCCAGTGTAAATTTAACTATTTAATGGGTAGGGCAATTTGATAGAAGGATGCTGTGTGACTAAATTAGGTCAGATTACTGACTATAGAGAGGACAAAATTATCTTTTTTGAATAAATCTTAGCTATAGCTATTTCCATATTTTACATAATTAGTTTCTATTAGATCAGTCAAAAAGAGGATAGGAGAATCTAAGAATCCCTGAAATGTCTAAAAAGAAAATAGTGTAGGACTTGCTGGGGGATGGGTGAGCAAGTGTTAATAACATCCCCTTTTAAAGCCTTTCTTTTCCAGAGTGCAGTCTTTGCCTTTTACTCTTCTTATTAGAAATTAATGTTGGTCTTAATTTTGCTGCTTGCAGATCCAAAGACTGCACTAAAAAATTAGCACTCTCTTGCAATAGCTGTAAAAAATGTCTTGACTTGCAAGTGGTTTCCTGATTTTTCAGCTCTGAAAGGTCAGCTCTTGATCATAATCATCTTCTCCAGCAACATTAGAGCTATAAAACACCCTGCTAGGCCTTGCTGTAGCATATTTGCTACTGAAAGGGTAAATCTGGAGCAGCTAGGAAATGGGTTAAAGAGCCTGTCCTCTAGCTATTAGGGTGTTTAGGCAGATACCAGAGACAGGGCAGTGATAAGTACTTTGTGTGAGGATATCCGGCCTTACTGGCTTCAATATTGTTGATATATTAGTCAAATTTAAAGTACTGAAAGTAGCTTATTTTAGTGGACCATGCAAATTCCATTAAATTTGAGGTGTATCCTAGATCTTTGTTTGGTTTAGAGCCAAATCACACTGTTGAAGCCAAAGTTCTATTTTTTCTCAGACAGAGGTTGTTGATGCTGCCTGTTGGTTATGCCAACTACAGGCTGCTTGGTTCATATCCTAATGTGTTCAGTTCACATCCAGATCACCTCTCTGTTCTGGCATTTATTACTGGTTTTGTCTTCTGTCACTCATCAGGTCACTGGTCTTAGTTTCCTGCCCAGCTCTGCCAACTTCTTGCCCCAAACTTCAGTCTTGCTTTCCTTGTTTTCATGACTGATGTTCTCTTGGGATTTTTTTCAGTTTTACTTCTTCTTGGTTATATCTATCTACCTCGTCTTTCCCTTCTAACCATTTTGACCTGTCTTATACCAGGTCAGAGCTTCTGTAGCTGCAGTATCCAATCTTCATTCCTTCACTAACGTTGGAGTCCATCCTTCCTTGTTAGAGCTGGACCACTTGTCAGCAGTCTCCTTAGCCAATATGGAAACAATAGATCCTTCTTCAGACCTGAGCTGTTTTAACTGAGTGTGACAAGATCAAGAAAAAGCCACCCAGACTGCCTCTTTGAACAGGAGACAAGCTTATTTGTAGAAGGCTACTCTGATTTTGGCTGACCAAGTACCATCCTTCTTTTATCTAGTTTAGCTGCACTGTAAAATGTTAAGGGGCCAAAAGGTAACTGAATTACTCCCAAGGTATGCTCTCTCAGTGTTTAATCTACCCTTACATTGTGCAGTTTCACACTGCTGTGTCAATAAACATGCACTCTTCCTCCAAGAGTACTGATGGTCTGAACAATCTTCTTTCCCCCTAGAGAATTCAACATTGTGTGCTACTTGATCTCTTTATGTCAGCATCCCTTTGCACTTAGCTTCATGTAGGTACACAGAAATTTTTAGGCAAGGCCACTGTTAGATCCTGCACAATCTTTTCTGCCTAAATTCAGGCGACAGTAGTAATTGAGTCTTCAAATGAAATCTGATTTTTCCTGCTTTCCTCCCTTTTTCTCCTTCTACATTGACTGTATCTTGGCTAGTTTGCCTTTCTGTTGAAAATGATTGTGGTCATAATGATGACATAGCCCTCCTCTGTCCTGTGGAAACTGACACCTGCCAGAAAACATGACATTTTGAGTTGGCTGCTATTCCCTACAGTTTTTCTGCCATTCAAGTGGATGCATTAATTTAGTCAACAGGTTCTCTGTCAGCTCTCATTATACCTCTCTGCTTGGGAGGCAGCTTTTCATTGTACTGTACCTATTCTCAGCCACAGAGAAAAGGAGCAGGCACAAAATTTTCAGATGCTTCAAACCTAAATCATAGAAGGTAAATCTAATATCTGTTTGGATAGTATAAATCAGATAAAAATAAGGCTCTGTTCATTACCTGGAGTGCAAAATGTGTCATCTGTCTGACATAACATTGAACAAAAGTCTATGGGATTTTAAATGGAGAAAACCCTTTCTTTTTCTTTTTTCTATTTCATTTTTCTCCAAAGTATAAATCAAATATTGATATAATTTTATTGCAATAGGAATGTTCCATGATGTGTCTGAAGACACTCACTGGTCACCATTTCTCAAAACAAGTATTGACTACATCAGAAAGAATTATCCTCAGCCTTGGGAAGAGGTAAGAAAATTAATTAACTTTTGCTTGATTTACTTTGTTTTTCGGCTGTTTTCTTCACCTTCACTTGTTGTAATTTCATCCTTTGTGAGGTGCAGAAAAAACCCAACATTTTTATATTAAATTCTCTACTTATATAGGACCAATTGAAATCCTGTTTTAATCTTTACCGTACAAAACATTTAGTGTCCATATAAAGCCTTTCAGTTGTCTCCACTGTGGTCTGGTGCTTATGATACATTTCATAGGTCTAAACTTTTATATATGATTGGTGGTCTTGCATTTCTGTGAGATCTGGTTGAAGGTTTGCCATTTGAAAACCAGATACCTTTTAGACTTCTCGCTTGTGAAATCTTGAACTTAGTCCAGATTTGCTCTTGTTAATAGTCTGTGAGCTATGTAGGAGGAAAGGAAAAATCAATTTGTCAAAAGTGGGTGTGCAGAGGAATATATTTCTCTCCTCTGTCTGCCTACACAACCATGGTAGCAGAGGGAGTTTGGTCCTTGGAAGTGGAAGTGTTTATCCTTGGTCTAGAAAAAAAGTTTAGTGCACATTTAACTTGAAGTATGCAAATTACCCTCATATCAACCATGTAACCATGTAATTCTATGGTCTTGGACTGGATAAACTGCTTTAAGCTTCTCAAGTTACAAAAGTTGACCACAGCACCAAACAGTGAGCAGTCAGCACTTTGTTCTGGTAAACTCTTGGACTTGTAAGAGCTTCTCACCTGTATCCTTGCATAATGCACATACAGAAAATGCTAACATTTTCTAAAAGGAGTAAAATGACAGACAAATGGATTGTTGTTGTGTAGGCTACAGAGAAGCTGGTGGCTTTCCTGTTTGGAATTGCTTCACATATGGTGGCAGATATTAGCTGGCATAGCCTGGGCATCGACCAAGGATTTCTAAAGGCCATGGGAGAAGTAAGCCTGTATTATTTTATTTATTGATGCAACTGGATTTGTTGGGATGGATAGCTTCGCTTTGGACTGTGGTGGGGAGGAAAGAGAAAAGCTGGAGCCCTGTTTCAGGATGATTTTTGGAGGGACACAATGTCACAAACTTCATACAAGTAAAGTTGGTCAGATTTGGAACCTGTAAACATTAGTGTTGCTTGGAGAGTTTGTTTCTGCTCATATTAAAAGAAACAGGCAGTTCTCTTGTTTTTCTCTTTCTCCAGATTGATTTTCATGGTTCATACTCAGAAGCTCACAGTGTTGGAGATTTTGGTAATATTTCTGTTTGCCAATCATAGATCCTTGTATTGGAATGACTAGTCCTCTTCAAAACCATGGTGGTTGATTCTGGCTATTGTCCTGGGCAATGCAGGAGTTAAGAATGACATATAGACACTGTTTTCTTGCCCTCCCCCATGGCTTGCAAAGCCCTGCTGTATCTGTCCTCAGGTTTCAGGAGATGTGATAAGGATATGGACACTTGGATTAAAGCCAAAATGCAGACCAAAGGATGCTAAGATTTGGTTAGAGTCACTACTGTGATTTTAAATTGTACGTAATTCTTGGGAGGAATAAAACGTGCATCATACTTCAGGTGAACCATTTGTGTACTCTAAATATATAGCTGGAAGATCTGATACATAAATGCATACAGAAGACCCATAATAGCTTCATGCACAGTGTTACCCATGACAGATAAGTTAACAGATTTTGTTCGTTGGGATATGTGGGGCTTTTTCATTCTTTCATCCTCAGGAGGAGATGTAGTGAGTCAGTTTGAGCTGGACTTCAGTTACCTGGCATCGAGTTGGTAAGATAATGAGGTTTCCTTCTTTAATATTTTATATTTATTTTTCTATAATCATATATAATAAAATTGCGTATAATATCACATAATTCTGTATTAATCTGTTTTAACAAAATGCTGCCCTTTATTTTTCTTTCAAAAGAAACCCTTGCAACTATTTTAAATGTTATGAGTTTGGTGTCCCTTATATGCGTATTTACTGTTCCCGGACATGAAAAACTAGTAGGACAGAAGAGAGTTTTATGTATAGAAACACAGCAAAAAAAAGTAAATTATTTATGTCTTGAGTTATAAGTAGTTATATATAAAATAACTAGTGAAAACCTTTTGCTGGAATCTCCTAGCAGCTAGTAAAATAACTCAGTTAAGTGGCAATCTCAGTGAGATGTGAAGTTTTGGAAGCTGAGGATGTTGAATTCAGACAGTTTTAAAAGCATAAAAATTAGCAGAAAATTTAGATATCCACTTCCCCCGCCCCCAGTTGCATGTGCAATCCTGGTATTTGTAAATCTTCATGACCTTGTGTATTCTTTTGAAATTTGGAATATTTTATAGGCTGTTGTTATTACAAGAACTGCAATCTTTTATCAGGTGATGTGGAACATCCATTGTTGTAATACATTCTTTTTGTTTCTAGGTATGTACCTGTCAAAGACCTAGCAGCTATCTACAAAGAATTTTATGGAAAAGAGATCATAACTGAAAGCACAATTGCTGAATGTACTTATCTGCTATTTTTTGAACTGTAAGTTGAAATATCTCTGCCTGAGCTTTTAAAGTGAAACATATGTAGGAGAAATGTGATAATTGTATTTGAAGCACCTTACACATTGATGTCAGCAACATCACAGAACATCTGAATTTTTTTAATGAATATGATTCAAATTTGGACTACTTAATGACTGCTAAATTAATTATTACACCACAGATGGTGAATCTTAGCTATTTAATGCATTTATACATTTAACAGATTTATGCCTATTTGAGAGTGGCTGTGTCTTCAAATACTGTTGCACTGTGGTCAGTTAGCAGTATAATTATCATGCATGGAAGGAGTCTCTAGATACATGCCTTATCTACACTTTATGTAGATCCCTTCAAGTCCAAAAATAATTCAAAAGAGACTTTGGATATCTACAGTGTCTGCTTTTGAATATTCTGAGCAGCTTAACTGTATCCTGTATTTCAGTTAATTACCAATAGTCACACAAAATTTAGAAAAACTGTGAATCCTTCAAATTTAAGGGCAATAAAGTTTATATTGTTACTTTTTACATTGCAGCTTTAAAAATATATTAACAACGAACATGGAAATGTAGTGACTTGCATAATATTTACCATATAGAACTCTTAAGAAGAACTATTTAAATAATTAAGTATTAAATGAAGCAAGTTTTATTTCTGATTTTTGTTTTCAGGCATGGAGAAAGGCTTCTTGTTGGCAAGGTTGGTCTTCTGTTTTCTTTATAAAAATGAACATGTAGCATGGAGACAATATAACATCTTACTGAGTATGTTGCCTGTCTCTTAGCTTTTTCCATCATTTGCTAGTAAATCTCCATTTCTGGTGGAGAAGTTCCATGAATATTTCCTTGGAGGAGTGGATGACATGGCATTCTGGACCAACAACATTTTTGAGCTGACGAGCCATATGCTAGAGAATGGAACCAGGTACATTGTGTATCCTGAACTATGGCATGCAGTAGTCAAGTGCTGATACCCACTTAACTATTCTTCTTAAGGCAGGATCTTTCCTAGAAGAGGTGCTAAGCTTAGATCCTCACTTGGATAGTGGGATTTCCATGTCAGCCTTTTACCTGGGTGCACAGGATTATGCAGGCCTTGAGTTTGTATTTTTTATGTGTTCATGCTCCTTTCCCCTGGCATGACTCTGGCATGCCCAGGTGATACTTAGCAGGGAAAATTTGGGGCATTCTTTAAGACATACTCAAAAGTTTGCTTAAATGTTGCATATCCACGGCCTGAGGTTCTGCCTGAACTGGCAATCTGAGCCTGCACCTTTTGGCTGCTGCCATCAGTCAACAAAGATGTCCCTTTTGATGAGAGGTCAGATATTACCTTCAGACTCTGAATGCAAATAGGTTTAGAAACAAATACAACCTTTCTGTAAATAACTTTAGAAGACCATTTATATGAAAAATATCACTGTTACTACCTTGAGAAATTATGTTTGAAATACAGAATGGCACAAACTGTTATGTTCTTTGTGCCAGAATGGCACTTTCATTAAAAGTGCTTTAGGTTCATCTATGTGCATGTTACAATACGTTTCCTTCAAGAGCTCTATAAAGAAATGTGATATTCATACAGAATCTAATCAAGTAATCAAATAAACATCATAGGGGTTTCTAAGGGTTATGATGATGCTCTAATTTTGATTTTCTTGAGAAAACTGATGACTTTCAACAGAGGAATCATAAGCATAAGGAATCATAAGTAAGGATAAAAGTTGTATTTTCAGTTTCACTTCCATTGTGGTAAAATCTTTGAAGTGCATTCTGTGTATTTTTCTTTAGTGACTGCTACCTGCCTGAGAACCCTCTGTTCATAAACTGCACAAAGGAGCACAAGGACAGCCACATGTAAGTATAAATCTGATGGTTTAAAGCTTCAGTGATGAGAGTCTTCTGCTAATGTGGACAGTGAGTGACTGAAAATTAAAGATATTTTGGGTAATTTTTTTGTGTATGAATTTGAGATTCTCTTAGCATGAATAACTAAATTTTGTATAAAGGAACTGTGCAGAACCTCAGAGTGGCTTTTACCTCGAGTGATTATTTCAGTTCTATTAATTCTTATCACTGCCTTCTTTATTTTAGCAGAAACAAACAATCACAACATGAACATCCCAAGAATACAACTTCTTTGCTTACAGAAACATTTGAGAAGAATATAAACTATACGGAGAGAGGAGTTCAATTCAACATACAGGCTTGGGCAACAGTAAGTGAGAAGTAACAGATGTGTCAGGTAAAATTCATCTCTATATAAAATAGTTTTTGTTTCTATCTGAAATGCTGCGTGATGGAGCAGGGTCTCTGAATATTAACAGTAGATGACTTCATGGACATTCCAGTACCATTGTTAATCAATATATGTACATCATAAATACTCAATTTTTAAACTTTGCTCATTGTATAGTGAAAGCATCTGCACATCCTGCAGTGCTAAATATGACAAAATATATATTTAGTGTTTACATTTTTCAGACATATGATGGCTTTTTTGGTTTAAGAGCTCCCAGTAGAGCATAGCAGTGAATTAGTAGTGCTCCCTTTAGAGCATACAGATTTTTGTCTTTCTAAAATGGTGCTTATGATCTGAGACAGACTTCTCTTAAATCCATGTGGTGATTTCTACTGTTGGTGACTTGATTTTTGATGTGTCCCAAAATGTTCTAGAGTTCCAACCTGTGTTTTAACCACTGTTGCATCCCTTTATTATTTTTATTTCAGAAATCTCTCCGCTTGATAAACCATGCTTTTAAAACCAATGTCTGGAGAGCATTAGGAGCTACACATCAGAAATCTTCTAAGCACATCTCCAAGCCAGCAGCTTCATATTTTCTAACTTCACCCTATGCTAGGCTTGGATGGTTGGTAATTTTTTCATCCCACCTTCCTCTTAATTTCTAAAAATTTTGAGTACCTACGAAAATATTATTACTGATCCTTTGGATAATACTCTTTAAAGGTGGCAGAGCTAATCAGTTAGTGGTACAAAGCTGAGGGAATGGCTTATATTGTATGTCCAGAACAGCAAGTTAATGCATCAGATTTTTCTTTCAGATGTTGATCAAGCTCAGAATGGAAGGAGCAAACATTAGAACTAACAGTGGCTCTAGTTCTGAACAATAAAGGATTGTTGCTACCCTTTATTGATTGTTGGATGATGTTTGTGCAAAAACATCAACCCATCTGTCATGGGTTGATGACTGATGATGTCTAGCAAGATTTCTTGGAAGTACTCATGACTAGTAGGAAGTTCAAAGATAGATTCAGGACAGAGAGAGGCATATTCTCTCTCCTTGCCAATGAGGTTCTACCTTAACCTGCAACAGGAAAGATTAATAAAACGAATTTGCATTGCTGCTTATCTAACTTCCCTTATTCTATCTCAAAATTTGGATGTAATTCTTGAGTTTACTTCACACTGGCTAAATTAACAGTAGTTAGTTCTTTCCATGTTCCCTCTCTAAACTCCAACACATTACTGAGACCTGTGATCCTTTTGTTTATCTCCTGTTAAGTCCATAAATTAAATCAGATGTTCAGTTTAAAAGATATTTTCATTTCTTTTTTTTTTGTTTTTGTTTTTTTTGTATTTGTCATATGCAAGCAGCCCTTTTTCATGCTCCTTGCTCTGATTGCTCTCAGGTGCCCAATGTCAGTAAAAAGCAGTTCATGCAGATCTCACATGCATTGATGAAAGATGATTCTTCTGGTTTACTTAATTCAAGAAAACACAAATAAATATATGATATAAAAAATGCTGTATAGATCTTTACAAAACAATATGGGGAAACACAGCTCCTCGTTTATCTGAATTATGGGTTTTTTTTCCATTAATGTTGTGGTAGTCTGGGAACTAATGCTGATTTTGTTGATTCCCTTGCTGTACAGGGCACTGATTTCAGCTGACCTCAACCAGGATGGGTATGAAGATCTGGTGGCTGGAGCACCAGGGTACAGCACCTTGGGCCATGTTCAGATAGGAAGGGTGTATGTGGTCTATGGCAACCAGTCAGGTTTGCCACCAGAGGACATGGATCTGGATGGAAAAGCTGACCAAGTACTACAGGGTCAGCAGGTAAGGAGTCAAGGCAGATATTTGTCACTTAAGTTTTCTTTGCCTGAAAATTGATGAATTTTGAATGAGCAGTGGTATCGTTAATGTGTATGAGTATTATTCCTGAAACACTCCTCTTGATGTCATATGGTGTTGTATGGTTTTCAAGAAAAATAATCATTATTAAAGTCCCAGGAACAATTGAAATGATGGTGATTTGTAGGTTCATCTCCATTACTGTACAAGCTAAGTGAGTATTAGACTATAAAGTGCCTTTAAAAAATAACCAGGTTGTGTCTCTGTATGTAACAGTATAGCTCATTCTGGTCCCTGCATTTAAGAAAATACTGTGTTTCCTGTCCTTTTTAATCTAAAATTATTAACTTGATATGTTTTAATTCCTTTGAGGCTACACTTCTTCATTAATTGATAACTTCTCCCCAAATAACTTTTTCTATAGTAAGAGCACTGAAAAAAAATATGGAAAACTCTGATTTGATATGATGGTGGCTGGTTTGTAACCAAGAAGTAGGAGCAAATGACACTTTTGAGTGTTAAATATGATCCTCTGTAGAAAATACCTTTATTAACAAAGGAGATAACAGGGAAAAATGAGATACATTTCCTTTCAATTTGTTTCTGTGGTTACAAACTGTGCAGTAGCAGCTGCTGTCTTCTTACAGAGTGTTTTAGTGGTTCTCATTCATAATGCTGTCAACAGGAAAGGCCATAAACTTAAATTCAATGGTGCACTGGACTCAAAAGAGGAAATAGCAAAGCAACACCATATTATATTCAGTTGTCCTTAATTTTAACACAGTTGATTTTGAATTAGTGTGTTGTCATATTATTACTTAGAAGAAAAATAATTGTTTGGATAGACTTTTGTCATCCGTTTCCAGTTCATCCCTCTGCAAAGGTACATTTAGTTTTCATGGTTTTGACTTGAAAACATGAGAGCAACCCCTTTTCTTTTAGCCTTCAGGAAGATTTGGTTCTGCCTTGGCAGTCCTGGATTTCAATGAGGATGGAGTGCCAGATCTGGCAATTGGAGCACCTTCTGTGGGATCTCAGTTTCTTACTTACAAAGTAAGCAACAAACATGGGTTTTTGTGTTTTTTTAACTCTCCAAAAGGAATGTTTTTATTGATACATATTTTTTTTTTAAACACTGAAATGGAAAAGAGAATTTCTGTTGTTGTTCAATGTGACATTGTAATCTAAACAGTTTATAACCTTTGTGGGTACTTTGACTAGAGCAATGATAGCTACCTGTATTTCTCTTTCAGTGGCCTTTTTGCACATTATAAATCCAAACCAGATTGAAACTTTGCACCACTGACTGCTGGAAATGTAAGGGGCCATTCATGAAATGCAAATGTACCCTTTTTGTTTAGGAACAGAGAGTCTGGAATGGACCTCATGGGTCAATGACTTTTTTCATATGCTGTCACAAGGCCAACAAATGATATCTAATTTTTGATATGAACACAGACACACTTGCTAAAATAATCAAGTTACTGAGGCTTTAATAACTTGCAGCTTGCCAGATAAGCCTGTATAATGGTCACTGAGTATTTTTAGGCCATATAAACTGAGAGGTAAAATGTTTTGATTTAAACAATATCCATTAAGCTTAAAAGTCTTCAGAATTTTAGATACTAATTTAGCTGTCTAATTTAAGTTGCTTTTATTTAGACTCACCCCCTGGAAAATTGTGTGCATCTGTTGTGCCTGGGACTGTTTGCCATTGCATTAAAAAATAATTATCAAAATTTTAGCCATCTGCACAAGTGTGTTATGAGTATAAATATACACTGTACTGCTCTTGCTCCTTACATGCAGTGTGATGAAAATGTACTTCTCTACTTTGTTGCTTGGTTACAGCAGTACCCATTATCCATGGATATTCTTAGGTTTGGGGTGGGAAAGAAAGTATTATGGGAAGGCTCTGAGAGGGAAAATGAAGTTGTATGAATAGCCCTTGCAGAACTGTTCCACTCCTTGTGATTGGCCTTGGATTGAATACTTGATACTGACATGCAGGTGCTCTCATGTTTTATTTTCTTTTTCTGCTGTTTAGGGTGCTGTGTATGTCTACTTTGGAACAGAAGGAAGAGGCTTGGCACCTCAGCCAAACATTACCATAACTTGTCAGGTACATTGATAATGTAATGTCCTGTTTATAATATCCTGTTAGCCAGGCTAACACAGGGCTACACAAGCAGAAGGTGAGATAAAGGGGAAAAGAGCTTATGGGCTTAAAAAAAGAATGTTAAAATTCAACATATCATTACAATGAAATTTAGACTGATGGGGATGCAGCAAGCAGGTGCTTGCTTAGATTGATTTTATTTGGGAAAGACATTTATACCCCAGTGCAGGAAGGCAGCAGAGTGAACAGAAAGTTGCATAGCCCTCAAAACTAAAAAAAGTCACCAAAAAACCCCGATCTAAACCAAACAAAAGACCAAAGAAAACAAAATGGAAGCCAGGGAGTGGGAGGGTGATTTGGTCAGAAGCAAAGTTAGCTCTTTAGAATTAAATTGCTCTATTTTGCTACAGAATTGATGGTTTCAGTTCTATTTCAGGCTTAAACTAACTGTCTATTGCAGTATTCCTACTGTAATTTTGGTTGGTCCCTCCTGGCAGCAGATGTTGATGGAAATGGAAATGCTGATCTGGTTGTGGGCTCTCCATATGCACCAGGTGGTGGGAAGCAGAGAGGATTTGTTGTTGCATTTTACTCTCATTTCAACAGGAGTGACCAAGGTAATATTTGTTGAGTAAATGAACCCTCCCATAGTTTATGTGACTGGTTATTTGTTCCTAATTAATCATGGCATAATTCAGGTCTGAAGTGATCTCAGAAAGTGTCCCTCCTATTCAATAAGCTGTGAAGCCAGACCAAATTGGTCAGGTCTTTGTCCAGTTGCATCTTAAAATCTCCAGTGATAAAAATTGCACAGCCACTCTGGGCAACTGTTCTACTTCTTGGCAGTCCTCATAAAGAAAAAATCTCTTGCTACAGCCAGTGTGAACCTTTCTAGTTTCCGTTTATGTTCATTGTCTTTTGTCCTCCCACCATGCACAGTGACCTTTTAGACGCAGAAATCATGGAACACCCCTACTAAACTTGCTCCAGTTTGTCAACATCTTTCATATTATGGAACAACATATTATAGGTGTGATCTAGGGAACAACCACTTCTCTCAATGTCTTTGCCATGCTCCTGCTTTCATGGTCTGAGGCACTGTTGGCTGTCTGCTGTCAGAACCTCACACTCAGCTGTGCCTACCAGGATCTCCAGGGCCTTTTCCACACGGCAGCTCCTCAGCCAGTCTGTCCCCAGCTGTATCAGTGCAAGGGCATCTCCTTTCCCAGGGTCAGGCTTTGCATTCATCCTCAGTGAATTTTGGGAGGTTCCTGTCAGCCTGTGTGACAGCTACAGCTGATCTGAAGCTGTATAGATAAATTTGGCTGTAACAGAACTCTAATTTGTTCAGCTTAGTTTGTTAAAGAGTAGAAGTAAACAAGTTGAGTGAGGTAATACAGGCTAGATTTAAATTTAAGCTAGGGACTTTAGCTAATCTTATTAAATTTTGAATGTAGACATTTAGTTGGCTAGTGAGTTGGGCAATGTTGAGACTAATTGGGTGTTTAAGAACAGGAATTTTGAACTTTCTATAAAAGAGAGCATCCATGAATAAACGTTAGCTGTTGTTGCATGATCTCAGCATGTTCAGCCATGTGTCTGCCTCCAAAACTGTGACCAAATGTAACAAACCTGTTACTCCAGGCTGCCTGAGTGCCTCTGAATAGGAGCACCCCCTGCAATCTCCTATTATCTGCCAGCTTCACAAAAGGGCATCTTGTTGCCCTGTCTAAATAATTTATAATGAAGTGTCCAACAGGATGAGTCAAAAACTTGATCCCTGAAGACACTCCACTTGTTGCAGGCATTCGGAGAACAGCATATGGTTCTCTGAACCTCTTGTCAGAGGGATCATCTCAACCAGGTCTCTCCTATCTGGTTTTCTGTTCATCCAGACTGCAGTATCTCAGCTTGGATGCAAGAATAATTGCAGGAAACTCTGTTGGAAACCTTGCTAAAGCAATGGGTTCAACTATGGATTGTGAGTCCAGGGTAGGCACAATGCTCTTTCTTAGAAAATTGCAAATGAACCTCAACAAATGAATCTTTATCATTCTGTACATTCCTTCATGTGGCTAAAGAGGAATGCTACAAGTGAATACAGTTAATGAGTACAGGTGATAAGGTTTCTAGTGAATGAGAGAAAAAATGTCATATCTGGAACTAAATAATAAAGCTTGGGCAGCTTTGTCAGAATCATGTAATTGAGTTTTACAATAATGCTTAATTGTTGCAGCTTATTCTAATTCATGTAAAATTAGAAACCACAAGAACGTGGGTTTGAAACACTGCTAATTGACATTTTTGTAAAACCAAAGCACAGAATGAGTTATTTAAATAATAGCCAGAATGATCTGAAGCTCTCCCACCTAGCACCCTTGAAGAATTACAAGTTCTGATAAACAGTAAGTAGTTTAGGGCAGGCTTGAGTGGTAGCTTTCATGTACTTCATGTCAGCTATTGGAAGGATTGAGAAACAGGCTGTGTCAAATTAAAGCTTTCACCAGCCAGAAGGGCTGCAGGGTGAGCAAGCATAGTGAAAACTACTGATGCCATGTCATGGACAGTGTATTTTTCACAGAGAAACTTGTTGTCATAGGATGAATCAGTGGAGGATTGCAAATGGGTTTTTCAATGCCAGGGCACACCAAGTTTAACTCATATTTTTTTCTGATCTCTCAGGACTTCTGTCAGTACAGGATGCCAACTGGATGGTGGAGGGGGAAGAAAACTATGCTTGGTTTGGATTTTCACTTGCCAGCTGCCAGCTGGAAAACGTGACATTACTGCTTATTGGTAGCCCTACATGGAAGACTTGTTCTAGGTGTGTTGCATGTGACTGCTTGGTGTCTTCTCCACTCTGTTCTACTTCTGCAAGGTTTAAGATTTGCAAAAGATTAGACTTCCAGCTTTTTATGAAGTTTCCTTTTTGTTCTGCTTAGAATATTTTTATTAGATTAATATTTTTATGTCTTCACCCTTCCTTATTAAGACAAGGGTTTTTAGACCCTCTCTAGGGCAGGTCTTTGTTATTTAAAGACACCCAAGAATTTCTTGGGTTTCCTTGGGGAGGGAGAAGGGTCACAAAAATGCTGATGGCTAAGTGTGTCTAAAATAACCATATGGATAGCTCTTACTTTGAGATAGCGTTTTTAAAAGCAAAGATGTATTGGATGATAAAAAAGTAGATAAACAAGTCTGTGCTCTAAGTATTGTGTAATTAGTTAAAACAAGTATGGGAATTACTAAAGTAGATTTCTAGAATTTGTCAGGCACTAATATTGCAAAGTAAAAAGGGAGAACATGGACAATAATATATTGCGTTGTAATTCAAGCTGCAATCCCCTCTTGCTGGATGTCAGACAGAGTGTTGGGAAGGTGTACGGGTATAACCCACCAAGTACAGAGCGCTGGTTTGAGATAACTGGAGACAAGGTAGGGCTACTTCTTTAATATGGGACCTATGAATATTTGAAGTAAAGTGATATTGTGTAGAAATTACATAGGTGTTTTAAAAATCTAACAGGAGATGGGCAGAATGGGTTTGTCTCTGGCCAGTGGTGTGCTGTCTGTGGCCGGGAACACAAGGAAAGTTTTGGTGGTGGGTGCACCTACTGCAGGTATGTCTTGAAAATTGGAGACCATTTCTGCTTTAGGATGTTTGTTTCTGCTTGACTTGAGGAAAGATACAGTGTTTAAGGGAAAAGGGACCTGTAAATTGCCATGTAATTAAAAAAAAACCCCAAAACAATTAGAAATCATTGTAATCACCTGTATATGCCTTATATATAGAGTCCTCTCTACTGTGCCTCAACTTCACTGGGTCTTTTTCTTTCCTTAAAATGGGCTTAACAGCATTACTACTTTGCATTATTTATGTAACAGTGATTTTCAAGCAGACTGCATATTTCTTGCAATTGAAACAACACAGTATTTTGTCCTCACTCTGGCAGCAGACAGTAAGGAACTGAGGATGTCAAACTGCAGAAGTCTAACTTGAGTGCATTTGTCCCCTGGTATTATGACTAAAATATGGGGTTTCTCTTCCCTATGCTAATTAGCTTTAATCTCTTATAATTGTTGATGCTATTTGATACATTTTGTCCATTTTATGTAATGCCAGTGTTACTTATAATTGTAAGTATTAAACCTGAGTTCCTATGTCTGATGCTCAACATCTGGTTTGTTTTTGTTTTGTTTTTTTTTTTTTTCCAGACAGCCTGTCTAGGATTTTATTTATGTCCTCAGTGCTGCATCAAGCTGGATTGGCTCTGGTATATGACCTGTCAAACAGCACCAAGCCTTCTCTGCTCAGCACATTCAGTGGGGACAGGAGGTTTTCTCGTTTTGGAGGAGACATATACTTAAGTGATCTGGATAGCGATGGGCTAGGTAAAGTTTGGTGAATCTAGACCAGAAGGGAAGTGTTTAGCTTTGGCAACAGGAAGATTGGTCACCTACATATTCATGCAAGTGCTTAACAGAGTCTTCTTTCTCAGTTGTGTTGTACAAGTATTCCATTGTGCCTTACAGGGAGGCCTCTCTAAAATCCCAAGCAACTCAATCAGAAATTGAAACATTTTAGTTGCTATCATTAATAGGAATTGTGGCATCTAGAGACATGTAAATGCCAGCTCTCCTGTGTCTTGCTCTACCATTAATTCACTTCTGCTGTGTTATGTCCTCTTTGTAATATGTGCAGATGAAATGATTGTGGCATCCCCACTGCGAACTAATGGTGTCAGCTCGATCCTGTCTGGTGGGGCTGCTGGCCGTGTTTATATTTACAATGGCAGACAGACATCCTCGGGGAATGTGACAGACCACTGCACATCATGGACATCTCCCTGTCCGGAGGACTGGGTAAGAATGTGAAATTCACATGAAAGTGAATCCTGGCCATAAGTTTAGAATGACAACTAATTAATTACATCCAGTACAAATACCAAGTGTGTTCTGCCTTGGTTCCAGAAAACAAAAGGTTTTCTCAGGTTTCTGAATTTCTGCAGTTTGGCTCCTCCTGTGTGTTCTTAAATTACTTTCCTGTTTAGGAGCCAGGGTTATCATACTGGTCTTCTACTCCCTTCCACTGACTTTTTATTTCCTCTTTTTTTTTTTTCTTCTTTAGGCACAGTATGTCCTGATTTCTCCTGAGGTAAGTAACAGGTAAACAAACTACTCAGAGAAACCAAGAAGTCCTACTTAAAAAAACCTAGCAGCATTATAAACAGAAATGTTGTTTTACAGGAACTGTCAAGATTTGGGAGTTCCATTACCACTGTGAAATCTGAAAGAAAGGTGAGAGAAATTACTGTGGTTGGTTGTTTCATAACATCCTTCTACCTCACTTGCATATATTAGCTAACACTTCACATGTATCTTACACATTTTCAAGTCTTAAGTTCTTTACACAGTTAATTAAGTCACTCTCTGAACTGATAATTAAATGTGTTTTATAGATTGATGAGCTATGGAGTTGCCAAAACTTTGGCACCTAAATTAAAAAATTTGAATCACTTTAAAGCAGCCTGAATTCTGAACTGCTTAGGAGTATGCCAAAAGGTTCCATGGGAAATGCAGCATAGGTGCCTCCTGGCTTTACTGTTCATGCCAACCTGGATGGAAAGTGGATGTTCAGCTGTGGAGCAAACCAGGCACCCAAAACCATCCCTCTCATTTAGTCTTTACAGGCTTGCTGTCCTGGCTATCACTTGCAGTGAACAATGATCATATGCCATGTGTTTCTAAACACAGAGGGCCAGATCCTACCTGACTGATTTAGGATGTATTTGTGCACCTGTTTCTCTTTGCTTCCCTTAGATGCCTATTTTTTTACCAAACACCAATTGCTGCATTTTATGATGCACTGAGGAGCCTATTCTAGAGCTGGAAGGTTACTTAGTTCAGTGTTAGTGCTGAGTTCCAGTGTTCTGCTCACTCTAGCATCACCTCCATGAGGACTGGGGCTCTCTGTGTGAGTACAGAGGAAGCCTCAGCCTCGAGGCTGAGGAGCTCTTCAAGAAATGGTGTTTCACTTGTGTTAAAACATGCCATGGAGAAACACCTGGAAATTCTTCTCAGCTAGATTAAGGTGAATAATCCAACACCTGAAACATAGGCACTGCTAAGTGCAAGTGAGGCCATTCTCCAAACAGTCGTGTTCTGTTGCTATAGCACCATCTAGTCCACACTCCTGCTTCGTCCCTATTGATCTTAGCCCCGAGATGCAGTTTATATGGGCAAGAGACTCATTTCATTTGGCTCCAGCTTGCTCCCGTTCCCTAAATGAAACAGTCTGTTTGTCAAACTATTTTCTTAACTGCTACTCTGATGAGGTGGGCTGCTCTCTCATTTCCCATCACATTTCTGTATGACACTAAAGAAATAAGATTCCCTTGTGGATTTTGATTAAGGCAGCCATGAACCTGCAGTTTCATTTTGCTAACCTTTGCTCTTTATCCCTGCAGAAAGAACTTGTAGTAGCAGCAGAGAGAAGTTCTGCGAAAGCTCGACTTGGTGGAAGGCTTTTTGTCTACTCGCTCTAAAAGTTCATAAAAAAAGTTCTTAAAGTCCAGGGCACACCTGGTCTTCTAGTAAAGAATCCCTGTAGTATTTGTGCTACTTTCCTGAACCCACACAAACCAACATACCGTGTCAGCAAGCTTTTTGCTGATATCTGTAGTGGGTGGCAACATCACTTCTTCAAAACAAGCACGCTGCTTTGAAAACCTTCTAGAGGTCGAAATGAACAGGCAGCTACATTTTTGGTAGTAGTATTTGTCTGTACAACGAATGTTCAGTGGTCATCTTCTTTACTGGCCAGATCTGAGTATCTTGACAAAACTGGGAAACTGCAGCACAGTATTTACAATTCCTTACATAACTTTTCTAAGTTATGGAAAGTAACTGTCAAAATAATAAGCATGAAGCAGGGGCAGCTTTTAGACTAACAGAAAAGGAAGTGCTGATCAACAGGACTGTCTCTCTCTCTCTCTCAAATCTTGAGGTCTGCATTGAGGGTGTAATGCAGCTTGGATCTCCCAGGGAAAAAAAGAACAAGCAAGACTGATGAAGTTTTAGGAAATGCTTTTGCAGTTTGGCTGATTACTCTGACATCCTTTCTGCTTTTGTGTAAATTTCCACGACCATGGTAACATAGAGCTGTTAATGGCTTTTATTGTTAACAGTATTGTCTTTAATTAACACTAATTTTGTATGCTGCAGGTTTAACAGTGTGCATCAATTATCTATTAAACAACTTGAGCAGCAGAATGTGTTGATATTATTATTACCAATGCTAGTCTGTAGACACATACGGGTGTTTTCTCTCTCTTACCTCCTTCACAAAGGCAAGGCATTATTTTTATTTTAAATAAAATTGAATTCTAAAGGTCATACTCCAAAATTAAACACCTCAACTTACTTCCTAGCAATTCTCTCTCAAGGATGTTGTGTTAAATCAAAAAAAGCAAGGTGAACATTAGCTTGATGTACAGTGCATTCTGGTATCTATTTTGAGGATTTGCCCAAATAGCAAACACTTTAAAAAATAAGCTAAATCTGAACTTCATGGAAGAAGTAACTGAGATTGCAGTACCTAAATTACAAATTTGTTAATTGCAGTATGAGGCAAAACACGCAGTGTGCTTTTAAGGGCAGAATAAAGGTTCTTTCTTCAAATCAAAATTGACAAAACCATTATGTTCTGTAGCAATTCCATTCTGAACATACACTTTCCACTGGTTTGGTTTTTTTACAATGTATGACCTCCACGTAATTTCATTGCACTTGACTGCTTTTTGATTACTTGAATTGCAAGAAAAACTTTAACCATTTGCATATGTCTACAGTGATAAAAAGCAGTCTTGTAGAAGATGTGTCTACATGTTTTTATTGCACTTGAGTCAGTTATGTACAGGTAAAGAGTCAAAAGGAGTTCACAGAAGCCTCCCTGCAAAAAAGCTTACAAGAAAGCTTCTCAAACTGATGCACCAACACGTATCAGTTCTGGCCTAAAGTAACTACAGTTCATTTAAAAACATCATCCATCCCCCTTCACACACTGAGATTCCTGGGGTTTATCAGCCGAGGTATGTGAGCCATTGTTTTTTTCCATTGGATTGCTCAGTTTGGAGATTTTTTTACCACTTTACCTGCTAAGATTGAAGGCTGCAAAAAAAATCAACCAAAAAACTCAAAAGCATTACAAGTCCCATTATCTTTCTCACCTTCCATGCCATTAGTATCTGTACTTGAAGTCATGCACAGAAGAACTGGTGGAAAATAACTATGTACAACTGCCTTTCACCAAACCAGAATCACAGGCTTGGACAACTTTAATTTATCAACCTTTTTTTTTTCCATCTTTGACTCATTAGTCCTGAGAAGAATGTTCACAGTTATGGCTACTGTCTTTTCAACCCCTGCCAGTATAATGATTTATGTGGTGGCACCTAAGGAGCTGCTGTGTTACAGATAGATTAAAAAATCCCAAAGAAGAAATGGACAGCGTGTGACGTGATTTAGACACATTTCATGCTCCCTCTACAACCTGAGAGAAAGCAGTGGAGAACTACATCCTTAAAGAAAAGTCTTAAGAACAAACAGAAATAGTTGGCATAAGGCTTTTACTCCTTCCTTCAGCCCATCACAGGACATCAGGCTTCCACACCTTTAACTAACCTGGCTACTTACTGTGGTGCAGGCTAGTCCATGCTTTGTCTTGGACGGAAGAGAGAAAGCAGAGCCCACCTTAAGAAAAACCAACAATCCATCTGCTGATTTTTACCAGAATTTCAATTATGGAAACACAAGGAGTTGTTAAACTGCAGCTGTATCAATGTGTGTTGAAATAGTGTCAGACAGAAAGTGCAAGTGGGCATTATCCATAGGCCTGCTTGCCCCGTTCCTAGAACTGCTGTTTTGGGCCTAAATTAATCGATAAGGAATATACAAGATTAGCAGCTACAATTCAAAGCCTTTTATTGCTCCTTTTTTCTCACTGCTGCCAATCTAGAAGTCATGCTTCACGAGAGATGCAGGTAAGCTTTTTACTTTGGAAAATGTGTTCTCTGCAATTAAATAGGGCCTTAAAAATCCATTAAAGAAGCCACTCTTGGGGTGGATTGATTTTTCTTTGAAGTCAGATTTCTAAATCTGCAGTTCAGAACAAGAATTATTGATCAGTGCTGACTGCTGTCCTTCTTTAAGCCAAAAATTATGTTCTCTGTAAGAAAGGTCATTAAGCAAAGCAGCATTTGACAGAAATACTAAAAATGAGAATGCCCAAAAAGTAAGTACATGTATGTGATACAGAAAACTAAAGGCACACGCACAAGCTGGAAGTGAAACTACTGTAAGAAAGCATTTTGGTATTTTCCCTTGTGTCTCTCCTTATGTGCATGAGCATTAAAAATTTCATTGTAGGTTTTTGGCACAAAATATATATTAAATTAGTAAGTTTAGAAATTCTTGCAGTTTTCAGTAAGGAAGAACAAATACAAGGAAAGTGTCCAAAGTCCACCCTCTAACAACAAAAGTCTCTTCATTTCTGCTGTTCCTACTGGTTTGTTATTGTGCTTCTGCTCAGCCCAAATGTTTCTCCTTTAAGGCTAGTCTTTATCTCCACTCTTCCAGCTGCTGGTTGGGATTTTTTCAAAACTGGAGGAACCTAGGCAAGAAACAAAGTAACCTGTGATTACATAAGAAGCTTCTCTACATGTGGCAGAATAAGGCTCCACAGAGGACTGAACCCTAATTTTGCTCCCCTTATTTTCAGAACAGTGTCTTTGGCTTCTCCCTCCCTAATACCTTCCAGATCTTTCTCTGAGTAAGTCAGCATGTGCTGGACTTGGTTTTGAGCTACACTTCAGGATATTCTAGTTAACTGTAGCCATAGCCAACAATCCACAACTACTTCCATCTGCCTCTTAATAGCAAAAGAGGAGAGGGAAGGGGAATTTATCTGAGTCTCCCTTTGTCACTTGTAGCAACTTAACGTTTGACTCTACTGATATGTCTGCTAAATTACAGTGCAGAGATGAGCTAGACAATTCTGTTCCACAAGTCCTAGAAAGGGTAGTCAATAGGGAAAATGACCCATACATGCTAATCTGAACACGGTCTCTTTGGAAGTCTTCCTACAGATCAGTACTATCAATGACAAAGATAACTGGTGTGTATGTGAGCAACTATTAGAAACTTCAGACTGAGAATCAGGATATCACAACCACGGCATCATTCTCCAGAGAGATGTTACAGCTAGTGCTTGTCCTCATCATCCTTTTAGCTCTGCTTACTCTTTTACAAGACAGGGACTACAGATCCAGAGTTAGTATGTGGGTGGGAAGATGAGGACTGCTTCTACCATTAGCCTCAGCTTTCCTTGGACTTCTAGGTGAAAGCAAATACAGCATTTCTCATAGAACAGCCTGCAGCTTCACTTTGCCCAGGGCAGGGGCTCCCCAGCTCCTTCAATCCAGCTAGGGAGCACTTTCTGTCATGGAACAGACCCTGAGCTGAATTCTGCCGTCCTTTGTGGCCTACCCCTCTATGCCATCTTATTTTCTGCCTTAGGGATGGACTGTACTTGCAGAATGTGAGGCAGGAGCCCCAGACGGCCATACATACGTGAGGAGGTAGTGGAGGATCCAGGTGCCGCCCAAGGAAGGAAAGTAAGCGCCGCCAGATGAGACCACTTCCCAGAAACATAATCCCTGTCACCAACCAAAATATCCTGGGGTCCTACCGACAGAACACTCCCATTAGTCATCCAATTATCTCTCCAGAAAAGGGATTACCCAAAGATAATCTCTCACTCCTCACCAGTGTTTTCTTCCTTTACAGGAGAAAGCAGTAAACTCTTCACCATCAATAGCCAAGCCCTCCCTTTGTTTCATAGCAAAGCACTTTATTTAGGATCACTGTACTGTATTCTGTTACTGTTCCATGCAGTTTTCCTTCCTTCATTGGAAGTTGGAAAACTCAACCCTTATATTTAAGTAATTTGAAAGGGAAGAAGTCTTTGCTTTGTTTGTTTGTTTCAAAAGTAGCATGTGCAGTTTTAAAGTTGTTACCCCCCAGCCTGTACTCCTTCCTCCCAGTTTAGGTATAAACAATTACTGACAGTAGAGTACTTCCTCTGATGTGCTGGAAATGCCCTGGCTGCTTCACAGATACCCTTGTATCTGTAAGTCAAAGCTGCTCTTGTCGGAATAGATGATCATTAAAGAAACTTTAATACTACTTTATAATCAGCTACTTACACAACCAAAAAATTGTCTTTCCATTTCTTTTCTATGGATAATGACACAGAAAAAAGGCTGCAATACTGTGCAGTTTGCCATGCAGTAATTTGCTTAAAAAAGAGATGACTGTATGAACACATGAATCACTGGAGCTTTGTCTATGGAAAGAATGAAGCTGTACCAAATATGAAATAAGTTGTCAGAGCAGGACCCATATTTTATGATAAATGCAGGACTTGTTCCTTACCTCTTCAAGAGATGACTCCAAGTTCATACCAAATGCAACTCCTATGAGTCCAAAGAGAGAGACAGAGAAAGTCCCCATGGTCAGCTGCAAGTTCAGCCTCATCATCACATTACGGTGGCTAAAGAAGGGAGAAACGTCTGTAAGGGGAACCCAAAATTTTATTTTCTGCCTAAATTCTTGAATTCCATATAGCATGCACTAAAAACAAACAGTGAAAGAGAGGAAGTCATGCTGAAATTAGGTAACCCAGTTGCAAAGATCATGAAGCAACAGTACAAAGAGACTATTGTTTTGATGTTGTTACATCTGGACACCTCTAAAGACAGCAGGTTCTGCTTAACCTTAGCATTGCTCACTTCTCAGAGGTGTATATACAGATTAACAGTAAATTTCAGCTGAAATTTGTGACCTCTTACCACCATCCAGCTGGAATTTCTATGTCTATTCACAATGGACAAAAATTTATTGTTATCTTGCAAATTAATATATTTTACAAAAAAATGTAGTCTGCTAAATGCTGCAGACTACAAACTTCAGTCCTTTTGGGTGAATCCATATTGAAGTCTTTCACAAAGAGATTATTGTGGTTTCCTGATAGGGCATCCACTAAGTGCTTCTATAGATAACTCCACCGTGTAGAGGAGAAAGAATATTAAACACCAACCTCAGAGTGGCATGTTCTTGCAAATGCAAGCTACAACTCTTTTTCAGGAAGAAATCTGACTAAAAGTGAAAAATGTAGCATACAGAGAGAAACAGAAAACTTGCTCACAAGTTACTAATTTTTGTATCACTCTACAAAGTAATAATTTAACTTGTACTGGAAACCTGAGTAGCCTAGCCAGACTCTGGCTAGTAATCTTTTCTGAACAGAATTTTAATATGCCTCTCAATCTGCAGATATTTCCTGTCTTGAATAGCTCCCTTGAAGGGTCTAAGAGAAGCTGGTTTTCTCTGCTAGGGAAGACTGATGCCTAGCTAGAGGTACATACTAATTACACATGCTAATTAGGCTATCTTCTTGCTTTGCTTTATCCAGTTCATGATTAGAAAAGCACAATGCAGTTATGACTACAAGTCCATTCAACCCCCACTTAAACAGAATTCTCTAACTTTCCTTGTAGCAAGATTTGAGAAAGCCTAGGCCAGGAATGTCTAAATTCCACTCAGTTTTTGGTAATCTAACAGATGGTAGCTAACCTGTCCAGGTTGATAAAGATGATGCTTTCTGAGTCATCAATCAGTACTCTGAGTTCACGAGCTTCATTTAAAAGATCTTCTGCTTGTCTGTAATAATTCTCCAACAGCAGCTCCATTTCCTCTGCATGGTCAATCCCAGATGTACTCTCCTCACTGTGAGCAACAATTTATATTTTCCTGGTTAGCTACATATTGCATAGAAGTGTATTACTGATGTGTTAAGGTACAGAAGAGTTGTGGGGAACAAGAGTGCTGTTAGACATTACACCACAAAATGAAACCTTTTGGTGAGGAACTTCCATCAGTTCCCACAGCATAATATAAAAGAAATACTTATATATTTATCAGCACCTCAGCATAGGCAGTCAATTATTTTAAATAGCAAAGTTAACATTTGATGTGCTCAAAGTATGAACACTACCACAAATCTTAAGTTTTTCAGATATTACAAAGTTTAAAAGTTATAAAAAAGTTGTATTATATATGATTATTAAGTTATTATAAAATGCTAACTATTTTGATAGATTAACTTTTGGTGCCCTCAAGTGGTGAGAGCTGGTAACAGCGCAGTCAAAACCTCCCAACAATAAAACAACCAAAAGTCAATACACAAACAATTACACAGTGATGGAGATGGTTTAGGGTATATTAAAATGGGTTGTTAGTAGTAGAGCATTTGAACTATACACAGCAATTTCTGCAAAGCATTTTTCAATCCCGAAGCAGCCAAAGAGTGACCATCTTAATGAAAGATGCTTCTCCTTAAGTGAAGTCTGAGAGACTTTACCCTTACTTCAGAGTGCTACTGCTGGTGCATTAGCCTTCCTCTGAAACACATTTCTGGCATTATACAGATGAAACTGAGGCATCTGAGGTCCACAAGAGCTTGGAAACTAAGCAGCAAAGCCAGGAAGGATTGTTCATAATTTTTTGTTTCGTGGTATGATCTCATTTCTCTAGAGACTGAAGTTTTGAACGAATCTCCTCCTGGCATTACTGACTGCTAAAAGAACATCTCTGCAATGGTTTTCCATGAAAATAAGTAGTATGTCTTATAAATCACTCATGTATACTCCATGAGGACCTTTAACAGAGTACCTAGTTTCTCTCTTCTGGGGCACAAACTTAAGTTAGCCAACCTGATTTCAAAGCCCTCCAGACCTTGAGGTTTTCACTGCATGGAGATGAGAAGAGTTGCAGACTTGGAAATCTTAGAGCACTATCTGCAGTATTACAGATTCAGCTCAAGGTCATACCTGACGAGTGTCTTTACACTTACATCACCTCCTCTGGGGATATTAAACATAAAAACAGCCATAAAAACATGAAAATAACTGCCACTGGATGTGGTTTCATTAACTAGCCTCCATCTGTCTCATGACTCTTCCACATTCTGGCATTGCTTCACACAGAGTTAAGAGGTCTGCCTTGTCTCTCTGAGCTAAGCTCACCATTCTGCTGCAAAAGATTTCTGATGGCACTTATCTGCCTAACTGGGCTCCTTCACATCCTTTCAGGCTTCCCGAGTTCATCAAACACCACCTATCAGTGTATGAATCCTGGACCAAAAAAGAGCTGTTCACACACGACCAATGTGCCTGCAAGCGTGTTGTCATGGCTTGTGCTTCCCTTGTGTGTACCTTGTGCACAGACTGCCTCACTGCATCCTGCAGCACAGCTCTTCATACAACCTCCTACTACCTCTCCTGCCCTTGTGTCTGGAAGAAGAGATGCCTGTGTGTTTCTCTTAACATGAGCATAAGGTGCCATTGGGATCTTTCCTGGATCCCCTACACACTGCCTACCGTGAGGCAACAAAGCAGACTGCATTAAGTCCAAAGGAAGGCTGTGAGCAAAACCAGGAAAAAGACCAGCTGCTGACTCAGGAGCAGCTGGAATTTAGAGCTACATCTGATACTGCTCCAGAAGATGCCTTAGAAATGCAAACTATGTCCCACTTCTGGAACACGGAGTTTCTGCTGCACATTTAGATTAAGCTCTGCATGGCAAGATTTCAAACCCAGACTACCGTGTGACCAATATTAATATGTACATGAAATGCAGTTAGGCAAAAATATCATCCAGCAACTTCACAAAGTACCCTGGAAGGTAACTTCCGTTATCTGCTTATATATTAACAGATCTCTATGCCCAAGATTCAAATACAATTCAGCCCAAAATATATTTGGAAACTGTATACACTGTCTTTCAGTTTTTTAGTTTTTATTGAAGTGACCAGTGCTGCTGTTCCTGTGTGCTGTCCTTCACCAGGAATGCAGTAGGAAAATTGAAAAATAACATTTGCTTTTTCTGCCATCCAGCTGCCATCCCATCGCATACTAGATGAGTTCTCCTGTTATATCAAGAACTATTTGTAACTGTAACAATGGAGTTCCTCTCCAAAATGGCAACTACAATGGTTTCTGAAGTAGCAAGCATTAGGGTTAAAAAAAAAAATTGGAAAGAATTTATCTCTCTGGTTTTTAGCAGTAAACACTCAGTTTAGTGTTCAAGTTCTCCTCAAGCAAAATACACTGTTAAAAAATATATGTGGTTTCAAAATATACATACAATACTTGTGGATCAGTCCATTTAGAGAGACAAAGTTCTTCTATTACTTCTTCTTCATCTAAGATCTCCAGAATTGTTTCTTTGAAAACTTTAAGATCTGTTTCAAGTTCTGACAAGCTGAAGGAAGAACAGGCAAAAGGTCAAGTAATTCCCAGTGGCACCAGTGCCCAAAGGTAATCTCTACATGAGTTTGCCAGCCAGCACCCTCACCAGATAGAGTGGCCAGGGGAGACTTCCTGCAGGGTTTTAAGAGCTCCTTCAAAACATGCCCTACAAGCCACACACTTAGCTGTGGCAGTGAGCTGTCTGGGGACCGATGAGGTACAGACACACACTAGGAAGGCATCCAGATGTGTTTCTGGATGCATCTGTAACCCAGAAAAAACAAAACAAGCACTCTTGGAGCACGTAGCAGCCACATGTTTGCAGTGTCATATGAGAGGCCAATACAGGAAGGTAGCATTGTACTAGTAACCTCAAAGCAGAGATTCACGCAGATTTACAAAGGTTTACATTAAGGGAAACATTTTCACACTGTCTGATTCTTTTAGGTGTTATTTTGTTTTGTCAGATGTTATTTAAGAAGCATGACAGTATTTCTGACAATTCAGAATTTCTTTCCCTTTTCCCCCATATCACTAGGTAATTCGTACACTGATTTTTCCATTTCCAAATAAGATGCACAACCCAACGTTAGAGTAATCTAACAAATTAATATCAGATACCGTTTTTCTAACACTTTAATGCATCCTGTTTTCTATGGTCATCTTTGTAGTGTCTTCACAGCTTATTCTTAGTTACCTCTTTCCATTTTGCAGAAGAATGTGTAGTTTACTCCTATCCACAGATAAAAGCTTGGGATCCACTAGGGCTTCCAGTGTCTCAAGGATCTGAGGCTGCAAAGTGTTAAGTCTTCCCTGCAGTTTGCTGATCTAGATAACAAGATGATCCTTCATAAGAATTAAAATAATTCATTTAGAATGATTTTGGCAACTGACTCCTGTCTCTCAACACAGAATTCACAGTAATAGGTAGTTAATACAACCTGCTTTGCAATGCCTGGGAAATACTTCCTATACGGATAGTTCATAAATACAAAGCCAGTGCACAACACAGTATTTAACAAAAAGTTAACTGAAATTCAGTGACAACCACATCAGTAAGGCTGATAAAGCTAAAACACTATTGTCTATAAATGTTATATTAGACTTAGCAAGCACAGATTTCTAATGATAGCGAGAAATCTTATCTGACTCCTGATCAAGAGGCCAAAACCTCAGCACTTTTGTGTGATTTTCATTTCAGCTTGAACATGAATCTAGAAAGGAATTCTGACTTGTTTTTTAATTATCCAAACGGTGGTAAAGCCATCATATCCAAATAGCACTTTATTGGAAAGGGAATGAAAACACACATACACACAAAACCATGAGAACTAAAGAGATTAAGGTCAAAATAAAAGAAGTGAAGAATGTATGTAAAAGACTAAATTCATACTGACTTTTCTGAGTAGTAAGAACTTCCCAAACATTTAAAACAAAAAAAGAGATAGCTCACCCAGTACTGCAGGATTGCTTCTATGGCTCGGAATTCAAAGGGCAGGGAATATGTGACTAGTTGACCTTCCCCAGCCAGCTGAGATGCTAGTTCATTGAGGAGCCAGTGTTCCAGACTTAAATTACGATAATCTAGTATCAGAAGAAACTCTGGTGTTATGACAGCCTTCAAGAACTGAAAAAGACAGTACATGTAAGGAGTCTGAAAAAAAAACTCACTGAAGATTTCTCATAACTCTGTAGCACATTTGATGACTTGGGCTTTGATAAAACCAATCTTCAAATGTCATTTCAGGTAGGAAAATAACAAAATCTCATGCTAATTGCAAAGAGGCTCAGACACAGCACTGCGCCAGGGATTGAGAAGAGGCTCCTCACAAACCTTTACTTCTATGACAATGTTAGTAATGTTTCTTCTGTGCTCAACCAGGAAGATGGTCACTAATGTGTACAGTTGGTGAACTCACACTCTGACTGCTAGGCAGAGCTCCAAAGAAACATTTACTGCTGCACTGTGTGTCACAGAAAGCTGCTGTTTTCTTGCTGTGCAAGAAAATCCAAGTGCAAAGATGAGACAGGGTTTACATTCATTTATATGGAAATCATTACCTCCATTCTCATGATGATCCTGTTGTTCCTGGTTGCAATGCTCATCACATGTTGAAATCTTAGATCTCGAGCTTGAAGACCCAACTCCTGGTACAATTCTGTTTTCTTTTTTTCTATCATGAAAATGTTTTTAGATGAAGACATTTAGAGGACAAGCATGTATGTTCCGAAATTACATCCTAGTGTGTTACCAAGTCCCACAGCAAAACAACCCAGCTATTCTTAAAAGTTTTCCTCCCACTGACTCCTCAATCTAAGTTATTTTCTACAAAATTTAAAAGTCTGTATCTTGAATGGAAAAATTCCAGATATAAGTGAAAAAGTTGGCCACGACAATTAATTTCACATCAGAAACAAGTGACTCCTTTGAGAAAATACATGTAATCCTACATGGACAGACAAGGCAGGAAAAGTAGCATGCTGGTCAAAAAGAAAAAAGGCAAAACAAAAATTATCTTCCTGTGAGAGATGGTAACACATTATTTTCAAAATGTTACTTAAAAATGTAGAAGAACTGTAACAATAAAAATGCTATGAAGGCACAATGGAAGGCAGCAAAACAGAAGAAGTTTTTTTAACCAAGCAGATTTCCAATTGGGCTTTTCTCTATTGGACAAGGAAAAAACTCAAACAAACCCTAAATAAAACTACAATGAAAACTTACCAAAATAGGTAGTATTTCCCTTTTTGTCAAACTTCATCTAGAGGAATGGGAAAAAAAAGATTTTTTTCACAGAATCACTATAAAACAAGAAATCAATTTCTAAAATTATTTGCACTTCCCTAGAAGCCAAATGGAAAACACATTATGAAGACAAAGCAACTTTTATGCTCTCTATTCACAATTAAGCAAAATAATTGCATGAAACAGCCACATTTCACTGTGTTTGTGACCAGTGTCATCTACGTGGCTGTGTTCCTACACAAACCTTGTTAAGGTGATTTACAGAGGATCAGACTTACAACAGACTCTTTCTGTTGGAAGAGACCTACAATGATCAGAGTCCTGCTGCTTGTCCAGTCCAGGGCTGACCAGAAGTTAAAGCCTGGTATTAAGGATGGTGTCCAAATCCCTCAAATGCTGACTGCCTTGGGATATCGACCACCTCTTCAGGAAGCCAGTTCCCTCTTGATAAAGAACTGCTTCCTAATTCATCCACTCTTAGCCTCCCCTGGCACAGCTTTGAGCTACTCCCATTATCCTATCACTGGATCTCACAGAGAAGGAGACCAGCAGGGCATCTTACATCTGGGATTAAAAATTCAGCTATTTGCTCTGGAACACTCTGAAAAATTTACAAATAAAACTTAAAGAATACCACAGATTGTACTGTTAGGCTTTGTGCCCACATCAAGTATTGCAAAGACACGCTATTTACCTTGTAGCCTGCACCTAAATACTTCTTATTTTAGCGTCTGTCATTCATATCATTCATTTAACGCTTGTATGTCCTAGTAAAAATATTTCCTTGGAGAGACTGTCATGTCTGGATTAATCATGAAGTTTATTGTTTTGCTCATAAACAATGTAATTAATTTAATATTAGTGACTTTTAAACTGACTGTCAGTGAATTAAGCCGACCTAATCATGCGTTCCAGTAGAGCTGCAGTGGAGGTTACATGGCACCTTGTTGCAGAATGACTGCTTTTCATTATCAACAAGGAGACCACACCTGCCTTCACTGGCACTAATAATGTGTTTTTTCATAATACATATATTCAAAAGAAAAATATAATGTGCAAACCAAGCAGTTTGCAAACAGCTTTCGGTCTCCTTTAAAAAGACAACTTAGAGAAAGCTCGTTTTTCACCAAATCCCGTATTTGCTTAGAAATGCAGCTATCAAGACACAGGACTAATATTTCTAAAAGGTATTAGCAAGCCTTGATAAACTTAAGAAGAAACTTCTGACTGCAGCACTTCCAAGAGTTGACTTGCCTTCACAATTAGAGCCAGAGAACTTCCAGCAGATGCCAGGCCTTTGAAAAGTACCTTCACCAACGTTATGTACTCTAACTCAGAGCAGCTCAAAGCAACAGTTTAGAACTAGGGATGTTCTCCAAGACACAAATGCATCTGTTTTTATGATGCCTTAAGATTAAAAACCAATCAACTAAACAAACAACAGGAAAAAAGCACCATCATCTTGCACCAGCTGCCCTCTCTGGCACAAATGCCTGCAGTTACTTACCACGGCAAAAACAGGAGACACGCTGGCTAGGGTGGCTTGGGAAGTCTCAGTGGGGGCATGTTGGTAAAATCTACCTGCGGGAAGAGAACACAGCTCTACTTCCAGCTCTTGGCCCTTGGCCTTGAGCTGCGCGGCGCCCCGCTCTCAGGCTCCGGCACACACAGGAGCGCCGCTCACGACAAGGCCCCAGCGAACCCGACACCTCCCGGCCCGGCCCGGCCCGGCCCGGCCGCTCCCCCGCCCGGGTGTCCCGGGGCCCCACAGACGCAGCGCGGCCGCGCCTCTCACCGGCCCAGCGCAGCCCTCGGGCGCCCGGCGGCACCGCCGCCACAGCCGCGGGCCGGTGCCAGGCGCGGCCCGGAGGCAGCCCCGGGGCGGCCCGCGGGTGGGAGCCGCCGCCCGCCGCGCCCGCCCAGCCTCGGGCCGCGCAGCAGCAGCCGCCGCCGCCGCCCAGGGCGCGGGGGAGCAGCGCGGCCCCGCGCAGCATCGACCCCGCTCGGCCCCTCGGCCCGGCACCGCTCCCGGCGCGCAGTCGCGGCGAGGGAGGAGCCGAGCGGTGACGGGCGAGGAGGAGCCCGGCGGGGTGACGGCAGCCCCGGCGCAGCCTGGGAGGAGCGAGGCCGCAGCGGCGCCGCGATGGGGGCCGGTCCGGGCCGCGGGTGCTGTGAACACGCGTCTGTATTTCTAAACGCTCTGAGGTGACTCCGAGACGCCTTGAAGTTCACTGCCGTTGTTTTGTATATGCACAGAGCCATGATCCTTCAGAGCCATGATCCTTCACACCACCTTCTCACCCAGGCTATGTTCAACCCCACTGAAATTAACAGGATCTTGAACATGATGATTTATGAGAATGGGGAAAAGAAACCAACCCAAGAAGCCCATAAAGCTCACCTGAGCTCCTCTAATGAGGTAGGTCCGAATTGAAAGTCCAATTAAATGGATAACTGCTCCCAAAGACATTAGTGTTCCTAAAATCCCAGCTCCAGCAGTGCCGATAATGCAAGCACAACTTACTGTGGCTGGGATTTTCCCTGCCGCATTCGGCCACTTCCTGATGATCTTCTAAAATACGTTTTTTTTGTTGATTTTTTTTTTCCCAAGACAAGTAAAATTTTGTCCCCAGAAAATGTCTTGGAATTAAATTTCCTTGCCCTACTCCTGTATCTAATATAGAGTCAACCTGGTGATGTAAGAATTGCATTAGTAGCATACCAGCTTTCACTGTTATGTAATCTTTTGACTCTGCAGCTTTCATGCGCTAAAGGGCAATGCAAGTAGCAGGGGTATCCTTCCTTTGGCTGGCCCTGCTGAAGTGTGGAAATCGGCCTGGAGGCAAAGCCTGCGTCCAAACCCTGCAGCAGGACATGTTATCAGAATGTACTTGGAGTACTCATTAATCCTGAGTGGGGAAGTAAAAAAGGAAGCGATTAATGAAATGATCCGTGGAGCGTGGCTGCTCCAAAAGGAAGGCACAAATCTGAACACCGGTCTGAGTTTTGAAAACAAAGGTGTCACCAAACAGGACCAAAGGAACTTATCCAAGACCAGTTTGATGTGAATAAGCAGACTTGTTTATTTTGATGCTGGGAACACACAGGATTACTCCTCCAAATATGTTCCACTTAGTAAACAAAATCCATCCACTTTAAATACTTTTTCTGCCAAGCTATCATTACATAAGTTGTTTTATGTACTATGCATAATACGTCTGCCCTTAAATTTAACCTTTACAATAATTGGTTTTGCTAGTTATATAACTTCATTAATATTCCTACCCTAAGACAATCATTGATCATCTCTACTGAACTCTACTGATTGGAATCCTTGACATTCAAATTAAGATGGGAAGGGTTGGGGGTTTCTGAACAGCATAACTGGTGTCCCTGACTGTCTCCATAGTTTCTTGAACAAAACATAAGAAATCCAGTAACTTCCTGGTGAAGTTTCTATGGTTGCATATTTTAAACACACCACTCCTAACATTGCTACACCTTATACTTTACCATTTTTACTTGTAATCATAACTAACCCTTTTATATGATTACATCAATTATTTTATCAGAATATTTACATCAACACTGTCCTGTTCTTTCCTGTACCAGATGACCTGTGCATTTGTATGTTTGTGTGTACATACATACATTAACATACACAGATGAGCCTTTGTTCCAAGTGGATTGCATGCATAGAATCAGAAGGATGGTTTATGCACACCTTGCATAAAGGTGAATTACCTCCTATGGAAGTAATTCAATGAAAAAGTTCCTCAGTTATGGAGAGCATATATATGTAGACTGAAGCCATCACAGGTTTTCTATTTCAGGGTAGCCATGCCTGTCTGCAAATGTTGTCCCTATTTGTACTTGATAAAAAGCTGAAATCTACTCTAAATGGAGTATTTTAGCTCTAGTTTTGGTTAATCTCAGCAGGTGGCAGTATGTGTGGCACTAATTTAACCTCTTGGATGTCAAAGATACTTAATCTTTGGAAATACCAGACAGCACAGAAAGTACCTCAGGAAGGCAGGAAACCAGTGCACACCGTTGCTGGCAATTAATGGCAACTTATGTTGCCTCTGCATGTTGGAATGCAGAGACTAGGGAAGCATCTAAAGAGACACGGACCCCCTTTATGCATCTGAAGGAGATCTCATTATTAGAAAAATCTCTCCCCTTTTATACTTTTAACTTCCACTGGACATAACCAAAACTTAACAGAAGGGCACCCATTGGCTGCTCAGCTGCAGCCTGCTGTCCACGCGTCCCACCATCCAGTCAGCTTCCCGTTCACCTGCTGTCCACCTCATTCCTCCTCATTTGGTTGCCTCTCACCCCCCACTGGCTTCCAACCGTCCAGCCTGCAGCTGTGCCTTCCTACTGGGCTTTCTGGTAAACATAAGCCTTAACAAGTTTAACAATTTTAACCCCATATCCCACACTAAAGGATATCTGCCAGAAATTATAATTTAATGAATGTGCAGTTAAGTCTTACACAGCTGACATTTCACACTCTCCAGTAAAAAGGGAAAAGCTGCTGGGTTGATCTATTTGTTTTCCTTTGGCTGCTAAGACAACAGAAGTGTTGGAAATAAGATGATGTAGCTTCGCACTGAATCTGTACTGATACAAAGTCTGCTACGTAGGATCCAACAGGCCAAAGTATTGTAAGCATTGGCACCGTATCTCATTGCAGCTGCATTATCAGCCACCACTGCAACTGTCTGGAAGGGCAGACAATAACCAAGTGTCACCTCTGCCTTCAGAGGTGAAGGCAGCACATTGGTGTGCACTGGCAGCCAGGGACAAGTCATAAAGCACACACACAATGTCTGATTTTACACTGCTGCTGGCAAAAGAAAGATAACTGGAGATCTAGAAATGGCATCTATTTATTGTAGCTCTAAATACCAATGAGCTGCTTGTTGATTCTGCTGTAGGCACATGTCAGGTGCCTGTCCTGCAGTGCCAACCTTTGGGAGCTCAACTGCTGTTTGTTGAAGAGGCTTACTGACAAGGACAGGCATGATGCCTGTTCTTCATTCGGCCAAAAAGAAAAGATAGTTCCAGCACAGGCTTGCTTAGTCATGAAGCTGCCATCCAAACCAGAAGCTATTTGTGAGGTTGAATGACACAAGCAACTAGTTCCACTGCCAGCTGAATGTCAGCACACTCGTGGGGGATTGCTCTGATTGCAACTGGGCTTTGTGCAAAGGAGCAGAAATACCAAGGAAAAACACACAGAAAGAGAAGGAAACCATAGGTATCCTCAGAGGAGTCCTTATAAATCTCTGCTGAAGAAAAGCTCAGAGAACTTTTTGGTAAAATTATGGTAAAAAGGCATCTTGGTCTACAGACAATTCTCAGTGTATAATTTGTCAATTTGGTCAATCTTTTTTTTTTTAATATGCAAATTTGTGCCTGTACCTATGATCTGTTTCTTCTCATAAAAGAAATGTGCAATTTTATTCACATTGAGAAAAAAATAAAAACCAGACCAGACAAACAACAGATTAACAGATTAACAAAAACTCTACAGTTGCTACCAGACAGTACGTGTTCAGTGGATGATGAGTGAAGCTACACAAGAAGAGAGAGATAGAAAAGACTTCATAGAAAACTGACCAAGAAAACCCACTCATGTTTACAATAATTGCTCTTACATTAATGAATCAGGAATACCCAATTGATAATCTCAGGGCCCTTGATCAAAGGTAGCTACAGTAACACACTGAGAAATCTTTGCTTATGAAGGATGACTTCACTTTCATTACTCTATACCAAAACATTGAAGGTATCTTTCAACCTTTTCCTTACTTAAGGTAAGCCACTGGAATTTGTTTTTCCCTGGAGAACCATTTTCTTTTGTGCCTCTAAGGGTTTGCTAAAGCCTTTTCCCTATGAAATCCTTCAGCATTTTGGCTGTCTCAAGAATACTGTTGGACAGGACCTGCATGATCAAAAGCTGTAGCTTAAACTGTGATTGTCTAAGGTATTTTTTAAAGCAAAAATACTTGATCATGGTATTCTAAGGAGTTTTCGATCTGGCAATTGATCAAGTAGATGAATTTGCTATAACATGGGCTTTAAAATTTACAGCTGCATCGGTATTTTATTTCTTCTAATGTGTGCATGTGAGCTGAACCACTTGGTATTTATGTGCTTTAAACTGCCAGTGCAGACAGTCTGGCTACTCCAGACTTACAGCTGGGAATGAAGTAGCTGCTATTGCTTAGTCTGATTTTCTGATAAGCTGCACAGAGTTATTAAGTGTGATTCTCAGCACTGTGTGCAATAGAATAAGCTGAATTTCATTCTGTGTTTAGAAACGTTATTCTTTTCCCTTCTGCCCATTTTGTTGGTCTTTTCTTCAGCACTAGGACATTTCTGTCTTCATGACTTCATGTTTTGCTGTCACTGAGCATAGCTGGCAAGGCTCTGCAACAAGCTGCAAAATCTTTCCTGTTTCTGAAATGGCAGAGACCTCAAGGCATTCTGGTGCAGAAAAAGTGACCCTGTTTGATGCTACACTACGAGCCATGGCTCTGCTCTCATCACATGTCCCAACATTATGATACGTTATACTCCTTGTGTGACCTCAGGGGATCCTGACACACGACCTGACAGACGTCATGTCATGCACCAACCTAATGTAAGATGAGAGGTCTCATGTTGCTCCATCATAAAGAGATTATGTGTCTGCATTCATCTTAATCATGTCAATGGGCTCAGCAGCTTGTCTCCTTGCTTTTGGAGAATGTGATAGGAGATTGCTTACAAAGTGAAAGAATAGTGGGAATAAAAGGTCAGACCTTGGAAAAGCTAAGAGAAGCAAATTGTTATGGCTCAAGGCACTGCTATTATGGACTGAAGTGTCTAAACTTTTTTAGCTTTGAGTCAGCAGTTGTACTTAGCTGAGATGAAAACAAAGATTTTTGTCCAGCAATTTTAGGCTGCTCTAAGGCTAGCAGTGCTCTGGTACCATTTAAGGGATATTTTATTGCAATCCATAAAGTGATTGTAACTAGTGTGGCCGTAAGTAAAGACCAGCAGTATTTTGAAATATCAAAAGTGTCAAAATGGGTGCACCAATAAAATATTCAGTGTCTTACTCCTATGTCAAAGATGTGTGACTACAAATTACACCCAAGTTCACTAAACGTGGTAGAATCTGGTAAAAAACAGCAGATAGTTGACATATCACCACTTGAACGCAGAGCAGTGTGAGGGTCATCAACATTTTTGGTTTTTACTCAAAAGCATATCTTTAGTAACAAAAATTTCCTTTCAGGTTACAGTAGTTCAACGTTTAATTCGAATATTAATTCGAGGATGGTAAATGCTTGGTTCCCCCCGTTATTAGGCAGGAGACCAGCAGCAAGTGGGGAACTTTAGCTGTTAACCAATAACAGTAGCATGTTTGACTGCCCTCACCCTGAAATTGCTCTTTTTGTAATGGTTAACTGCTCTGTTGTAACTCACAGCAGGGGGGTAATTTTCCCATCAAAGGAGGTAAGATAAAAGGAAAGAAAATTCCTTCCATCCTGCGTGTTAAAACACATTTGAAAACACGATCTTTATTGTACACTACACATAAAAGGTATGAAGGTCTAGTGCACTTTTAGACTTGTGACTATCGGCGGGGAAAAGAGGTTGTTAAAGGAATTACATTTGGATTGAAGGCACTCATGTTTTACTTTCTCTCAGGTTTTACGGCTCCTTGTCCGCAGGGTGTGCCAGAGTGCGGTGCGAGCGCTGCGCCGCCTCGGCATTCCCCGCTGCCGCCGGCGGCCCTTCCTTTGTGGGAACAGGAGGAGGCAGAGCGGGGATTTCCCTCTCTCCCTCCTTGGGATCCTGTTCCCTCTGCCCCCTCTGCCCGCCTCTGGGCACGCCGGCCTCCGCGCTCCTTCCCGCGGCGTCTCTGGGCCGGGCAGGCTCCTGGCTCTCTCCCGCCCGGCTGCCCGGCGGGGACGCCGAGCACACGCGGGGTAGAGTTTCCCGAGGAAAGCAGGGCGGTAGGGCTTCCCGTCATGGCACAGCCGGAGGCTAAAGGCCCCCGAGGCCCCGGGTGCCCGGCCGTCCGTGTCCCGGCTGTACCGATTCGAGGGTCACGCCGCCTTTTCCGCCTGGGCTGGCGCTCCCCGCACCGAGCTCCCCCGGCGCCCGTGGCAGCGCTGGTTGCCGGGGAGGAGCCGCTGTGTACAGGCTACGCAGGGCTGTGCCCAGGCCCCGGCGAGCCGGGATCGCTCCCCGGGAGGTGTGCCCGTGTGCCTGGCGTGGGCGGTGTCAGGGCCAGGGGGGATCCCTGGCAGGAGCCTCTCCCGGGCGCACAGGTGCGGGCGGCTCTGGCGGCGCACGGCACACGGAGCCGGCTCCAGCATGACTAGTCCTGGCACCAAGGCGTCCTGGCTCTCGCAGCCGGCCGTGAAGAGCGTGCTGGTGTATCGCAACGGGGACCCTTTCTTCCCGGGGCGCCGCATCGTCATCCACGAGAAGAAAGTGTCCAACTTTGATGTGTTCCTGAAAGAGGTGACGGGCGGCGTGCAGGCGCCCTTTGGAGCCGTGCGGAACATCTATACCCCGCGGGGTGGGCATCGTGTCCGGCAGCTGGAGGAGCTCCAGAGTGGGGAGCAGTATGTGGCTGGTGGCAGGGAGGCCTTCAAGAAACTCAAGTGAGTGGCTGAAATGTTAGATTTATACAAAAATTAGTTTGGGTTTTGGCACGGTGGCAATACTTCAGACGACCCCTCACCCTGTCCCTTTTATTAGTCATTGAGGAAAGAGAACTCAGAAGCTGTGACCCAGGGCAAAAGGAAAAGAGCTTTAAAGGTGAGCCCAAGAAAGGGTATCTGTACCATGAGTCACATGATGACAACTCGTTGACATGACAGTAGAAAAGAAGAAATAGCCCTTTAACTCGAAGGACATGCAGGAATGGCATATTGTTGTGATGTCTGTGCTTAGCTGAAGAGCGAGTATCAATATTTGTGCTCGGGGTAATAGGGTGAAAGCAGTAAAAGGTGGAGTGTTGACATCCTGCCACGAAGTTGATGAGCCTGGGAATTCAATTCCCAATGCTTCCTTTCTTGTTTATTTTAAAAAATTCTAAAGTATTCTACCCGACTATCTGCATCTCCATCACATCTGTTAGTTTTCGGTACATAGATAGCCTTTTAATGTCCCTCCTGTTATTTCAAAGATGGCCATTTACATTCTTTTTCCTGCCTGGACACCAAGAATTAAGCTGCCAGTTTGTCCGTTTTCCTGTGAGTCACTGGGAGAATAGTGTGAAGGACATCTGGGATTTTAAGTGTGTTTCCAGAGTGGCTCTGCATGTGATCAGTAACTATTCTTAATTCTGTCAATGAATTTCATGGTCTCAATTTTATCTTTTGCTCTGTGGGCATTTTTTCCTACAGTTGAATTTATGGAAATAAATCTCAAAATTAACAGTCTATTTCTGGAGATGTTTGAGAATTTGTATCATCAACTACCCCTTTTACAGTGTCTTCCTCATCTTGGTTCTGTAGAGTTGAGGACACTATATTTTCCAGGAGAGCTCATTAGTGGCTCATTATGTTTCAGGACAAAACTCTTAGTGTAATGAACAGGACCTCTACCGTTTCTGTCACTAGCTGCTTCTAAAGATTTATTGAAGTTTCTTGCATTTCAGTAGGAAAGCCAGAGAGAAAGATATATGACAAGCTAAATATAAACCCTTTTGCAACAGTACTTACTCTTTTCCATGTCAAAAGTGGAGCTCAGCTCTAAAAGAGACCTACCATTTATTTTTTATGTTAAATTCTGTGATTCTATGGATGGCTTAAAGTTGTTAGTTATCAGCACATCATGTAGCACCTCCCTAAATATGTTTTGTGTTTGATAGGCTACAAGAAAGTAAGAAAGCATGTACTGTTTAGAGAATTGGGCACTCTGGATTTATATTGCATGGGAAAAAGCATTTCTTTTTGTCAGTTCACGCTTTATGGTCAGAGTTTTATGGTAAGACTTTTCCAGACTTTTATGGTTGCAACATGCAACAAGTTACCTAGTTATTTAAGGCCGATAAAGAGAATAGTTTAAGAAAAGCTAACCTAAGGGACTGGGTAAAACCAGGCTGTCTTATATATCCCTTGATAATATGTCCTAACCCTGTGCTGTAGAGAGAATAAATGGGATGACTTGAGATCCCTTCCACTTCTGCATTCAGAATTGGAGTTGTTCACTTACTACTATTTGTTTATATAGTGCTGGAAATGTTGGCAGTGCTTTCATGAGCATTAAAGACAAGCTGAGGGGCTTAATGTTGAAGTCATTCTTAACTGGGTAGTAGACAAAATGGTAATTAGGGAGACATCTTAGGCAGAAAAAATTAGAGGAGAGGAAGGGTTAATTGGAAGGAAGTGAAGGAATTAAAGAAGAGTGTGTATGTTTGTGTAATGTGTCACAGGTAAACAGTTACAGTGTGACAGACCAAAACATCTGCCTTAAAGGATCTGAACCTGGTCTGATGGCAGCAAGAAGTTTGATTTTCTTTTTAATTTTTAATTTTTTATTTAATTTTATTTATCCCCCCCTCCCTCCCCAGTGATTCTTACTGGACATATTAATTGCTATAATAGATTATTCAGGGCTGAATTTTGAAATGGAGGTTTGTGGCAGTGATGTGTGGGAGCTGTAAGAGTGTAAAGAAGAAAGTATCCAAGGAGTAGCAGAAGTTGAAAGTGTCATTGTTCGGCTTCAAGCATTGCATTTGTTTTTTCTCAGATGCTTTACACTGAGAAGTGAATCTTTTTCTTTCCTGTTCACTGTGAATTCAAGACTAAACTGTGCTTACCTTTAGCACATGAGCCAAACCCTGACACTTAACATTTTTAGACTGATATTTTTGAGGGCATATATTCTAAGTAAACTGCTGAATAATTTTTTAAATAAAATAAAACTATCAGCATTTAGAAATTCTGATTTTAGAAAAAACACGTAGAAATTTTCTTGAATGGGAGAATTTTTAGTCAATGTCGGTAATTTTTGTAACATACAACAAGTTTTCCAGATTTTTTTGTCATTTAGACGTGTGCTAAGTTACCACACCCTTTTTTGTATATGTCTGTATGTGGTAGGGTGTATATTGTAGTTGTTGCAGTGATGAGTGAGAATGTACATATAGGCTGCCCCTCTCTGGAGTTCTTCCCTAGCTCTCAGCTTCCTGAAAGAAGACTGTCTATGCTGGGGCGAGTTTCGATGTTTAGCTTTTTTTCAACCTGCTGCTCCTCCTTCCTTTGCCCATTTACTTGTATCTGTGCTCATTCATCACTGGTAGATTGTCCTCTCTCCAGCTGTATCTTTCTAAACAATGCTGTAGTTTCATTGCTGGCTTGGCTAGCCGTGGGTTGGAAGCATTGCTGTTTTCTTAGTAAATGAGAATAGTTTTATAAAATTTTTGGTCTGACTTTTTTTGAGTGCCATCATCCAAAAAAGAGAAAGCCTTTACTCCTATTTAGAACTTTTCAGATTTGCAGATCCTTGAAGGTTGATGACTGAATGCCCAGACTTCTGCGCAGTAAATTTAAGCCTTTGACTGTGTATTCACTTTTCTTTGCCACTTTTCTTAGTTATTGGTGAAGTAATTCACAGCAAAACAAGAGCCACGGTGCTTGGAAAACAAGAACTAAAGTTAGCAGGTGTTGTTACAGGCTATTGGAACCATTTTGCCTGAGGCACTTTGCTTTTTAATCTTGAAGGCTGTCAGAGTTCTTGATTTTGATCTAAAGAGAACTCGTTCCTTTTCATACTGAGAGCTTGGTACAGTTGTGATTTGTTTTTAAACACGAGGCTTTTAAATATATTATCCAATGTTGCTACACTCACCATTTTCAAAGCATTGGCATGCACTTTCAAGCAGGCCTGGCAGCTTTGCTGTGTCTTACTGTCCCCTCACAATGAAGCCTTGAAATCCCTGTGACGATTCTGTGGTACCTTGATAAATGATTGCCATTCCTTCAAAGAAAGAATGACGCTTTTTCTTTCTCTCTTTTTTTCCACCTCTGTACTGCTTTTGCACCTTTATTCAATGAATTCTTTACTTTGGCCAAGTAGGAAAGTTTATGCTGGCAAATGAATCTGATCCCAGTCATTAACTACAGAGTGTGATATTATTGAAGGGCTGCAGATGTGTTAAGAGTTTTGAGGTCTTTTGGTGAGCCTGTGCTGATGCTTGGCTTTAGGTATACCTGACTTCTCAAATGAGTTCTTCTAGTCTGAAACGTCTGGTAAGCACCTTCCCACTGGAAGTGAGATCAGGCAACATCACAAGGATAGCATAATATTGTCCAAATAGATGTATTTTGTTTGCTTGTCCAGTTGAGGCTTGTATTTTATCCCTAAAATAATTATGAAGCTACATTTGGTTGATCCAGCCACCACAAACGAGTGTTCAGATGTGTCCATGTTCTATTGAAACCCAAGTGGTATAAATCCTTTCAAACTTTAGCTGATGCCCTGAGTTAAACTTGGGTGTGCAGGAAAACTTTAAATCTGTCAGAGAATTACTGTGAGAAACTAAGAGGCAAGATGATGACTTTGAAAACTCTGGTAAGGTGATATAGTGCTGACAGTTATTGATCCACCTCACAGCTGTAGATGAGCTTCTTTCTGACAAGGGGATTATTGATGGTCTGCAGTGACTTGAAGGTAGGTGGTTGGTTCTCTCCTGTCTTTTATATTAGCCCAGAGGGCTAGCCTGAAGATTTATAGTAAGATTTAATTAATATTAATAATTACTTACCTTTTGTGTTATTTTGAAGCATAACAGGTTTTAAAACCTTCATGTATGAAAAAAAGTGTAGAATATTTGTATTGTGTAATTTAGATTCACCTGTAAATAATCAAACCTGTTTTCTTTCCACAGCTATTTGGACATTGGAGAAACAAAGAAAAAACCTGCTGAAGTCAATAATGAGGTAGGATGGCTGAAATATTGAAGAAGTAAGCCTGCAGTTTATGTTAGTGACATGCCTGCATTTATGCTTGATTTTTTAAATACACATTTATTTTATTTAATTTTATATTAATACCGTTATCTACCATTCTGCACCTATTTCTTCAGTGATCATTAGGGTGGTTGCTCTGAGCATGATATACTGACTGTCTTCTGTTCAGCTTTCTAAATCGCCACATCCAGTTAAAAACTCAGTGAGAAAAAAGATCTCCTGTTGTCTTCATTGAATCTGGTCGTAAACCTAAGGGAGATTTGTACTTGCAGACAAAAATGGTAGGAATGAGAATTTTGGAGTTTTGGGACCACCAAATTTTCTTCAAAACTTGGTATTTCCTCTGAAGAAGGGACATTTTTGTTTGAAAAATGCCAGTCTAAACTTCTAACTAGTTCTAGTCCATAATTTGCGAAGCTCAGTCATTTCTCTTCAACAGCGCTTACACTGTAGTTGGAGGAGATAACTACAAGCTTCAAAAAGCATCATATGTGTATTTGTGTGAGATGCGTGGCTCTGCATTATTTTTACTGTTTTATTGTGTATGGAGGTAGCAGTGACTCCCAAAAAACATTAGAATTACAGCTTCTGCCTCACAAGAAGCATCAGCTCACTTGTTTTCTGCAATTCAATGATTTGTAAAGCAGGTGTCTTCAGACAGTAGGACACCTTGTACAAGAAGATCCTCAAAATCGCCCTAATGACCTTTTCTTGATACTCAGATACTTCTTATTCAGAGGCTATGAAATAGAACAATTCTGTAATTGACCATAACTTGTCACCTGTATTTTTTTGAATGAGGTCACTGAACAGGAAGATCAAATTCAAATTGAAGCTTTGATATGCTGCTCTAACTACCCTGTAAAGTTACTCTTAGTTGCATAGCTATCAGTACAACTATAGCCTTGCTTTGGAAAGGCTGTTTTTAAGGCTGACTATTTTGCTGCAAACCCTCAGATTTTTGATATAACAGAAAGTCTGTGCAGTTGGAGAAGCAGTTGGAAAAGTTGTGAGGTTTTTTTACTTACAGTTGAATGTTTGATAAAAGAGTCTTTTATTATTTTGTCTGGAATCAATGCTTATTGTATATTATCTTAACACTTTCAGCCACATCTTGGGGCTTCGAAGTAACCCAGTACAAACTCCATTATCTCAGCTTTCTTCTTCATATTTGACTTATGTTTGCAATCTCCACTCTCCCTTTGGAGAGCTTAAATCCCTGTGTGGAATTTAACTTTAACATGATTAATTTATCTGGGGAGAGGAGCCATAAAAATGAGATTAAACATACTGATAGTCTACAGATTTTTATCTGGGTTTATGAATAACACAATTGTCTTCATGCCCTAATAATTTAATCCTGGGCATGAACTTTCAGGGGACTAGCAACAGATGTTTTAATATCTAAATTAGTTTTTGTTAAAATAATAAGAGGCAGCAAGTCCTGGTTTTACTTTTTTTTTTTCAGATGCTCACTTACAAATCAAAACCCTAGATTTGTTGTAGGACCAAGAGAGGCAGCAGTATTCCTTTCATGCTGAAGGACAAGGGTATCAATTCTGATTGTATCAAGCATGTGTAATTTGGCATTTTCCCCACTAAAAATTACAAATATCTATTTCTGCTTCTGGTTAGTGTTCAGAGAGTCAAAATGAAGAAAATTTTATGCAGTAGTTGTACACTGTGTATTTGTATGCAGCTGTATGTTTTCTTTTGTGTTAAACTGCCAAATGTTTGACATCTGCTTTTGAGAGCACTTTAATCTTGTTCTTCCAAGTCAACATCTCAATTACTTTAAATTTGCAAATAAGTAAAAAATGTGTGTCAAATTGGAATTAGGCAAGAAAAAGTTGATGTTCAGGATACGGTGTAAATCCTCTATCAGGGCCATCATGCTGTACATCTCAAAATTTTAACAGCTGTTAAAACAGTTACTGGTAGACAAAATAGTAAAAAGATTTAATCCTGATCCAAGCTAAAGCTTTGTTACAAACTCTTTCTCAGGTATGTTTCCATCCATCACTTCTTTTGGCAACTGAGCTTCTTGTTTTGCAAGAGAGATCCCTTTTGTACCAAAGCTGATGTGCAAGTCCAAATATGCTTTAAATGATGTGCTTGAGGACTCTAACAATTAATCTCTTGAGAAAATGCAGACCAACAGAGTTACCAGTTGTTTACTATAAGTTTAATTGTTTTTAAAAGGTACTGAATGTTATTTTCCAATTATAATGTGCAAAGTATGGACATTCATATTTCTCTAGGCACTGTCTGATCTAGATGGTCTCTCCCTCTGCACTCAAAAAGATAAATTTTATTTGCCATTGGGGCCAGTCAAGCTGAAGAATCAGCTGAGCTTTTGTATTTGCAAATCCTGTAGGCAGCTATTTGTTTTAAACTCTCTTCATAAAAATACGTTCAGCTGAAACCTCCTTTCTACTTTGACTTCTTATGACTAGCTACTCTTTGAACATGCTGTTGTAAATGAACTTTGCTGTGGGATATTGTAACAGCCAAGAATTACAGGTGCCCAAGAAAAGCAGAAATATTTAAATATTGAAAAACCAGTCTCTTGCAACTGAGAGAAAAAAGTAAAGTTATACAGTCTGTATGAAACAGCCTCTGTTATCAGAAGGCCATAGCAGGCCTGCAGTAGGCTACTCTACTCTTGATACATTTGCCCTTGGCTGATCTTCTTAGGTAGCAAGAACATTGAGGTTTTTACTGCACTTCACTTTTTCTCCTGAACTTCTGGGACAAGGTGATTGTGTGGGCAGCTCTGACACAACTATGTCACATTTTCCCAGTAGTAAATCACTTTCACTGTTTTACATAAACTTGTTTCATTATTCTAGAACTCCTTTTCAATTGCAACTTCTTGTTTTATCATTTGGTTTAGGTGTGGTCAATTTGTAGGAGTATTTGCTGAATGGAATAATCAATATTTTTACAAATAATTCTTCAGAGGATTAGTAAAGATTCCTCAAAGCTTTCCTACATGTATGACCTGCATATTTATATCTGCATACACCTCCAGAACATCTCTCCCTAGTGAAAACACTTATTAATCACAAGGATTTGAGTAAACATCTGAATATTTTTAAAATTTAAAACTTCTTTTTCTGATTCAGTGGCTATTAGTTCTCCCATTGGTCACATTCTGGAAGACACAGACATGGGCTAGGACATGGAGTAAAGCAATTTTTTCTTGCTAGGGAGCTTTCCCAGAACATGTTTGTGCCTGTGATGAAGTGTGACTGCAGAGTGAAGAGTGTGTTCTAGTGTGGTCTTCAGGTACAGCCCATCACTTAGCAGCTTCTGGGGGTCTTGTGGACCAGACATAGTTAATTGGCAATCTCAGTGCCAGCCAGTTGGCCACTGTATTGTTGGTGAGGTCCTGGGACAGGAAAGGTTCCCTGTTGTCCAATGTTGACAGAAGAGGTGAGCACCATGACAGGGGAGTGTGAGGTAGAAAATACAATGTTTGAGACTTGGTAGATATGAACTTAGTACTAAAATTTTCCCCAAAAGCATCTAGATGATGCTAAAGAAGTATTTTGAAGACTTGCAAATCCTGTGTTTCCCTCTGTTCCTCCATATTTCAAAATTAAATTATTCTAGTATCATGGCAATTGTTTTTCTTCATCCTTTGTTGCTTGACAAAGTCACCGCTCATCTCTCAGCAGTAGTGTGATTGGACTTATCTGTAAAAATTACATTTTGGAAGTTTATGATGTTGTCTTGGTTTCACAAATTATTTTGGTATATTCATGCTGGATATACCTTGTATCTAACTTGACATGAGTAATTATTTTTCAAGTACCTGCTCATGAAAAATCAGTTGTTATAATTATTTTTTATTTCAAAACTACTGTTTATCATGTTTGACAACATACATGTTTAAGCATGAAGAAAATCTTGTCATTTTTCAATTATTGGGCTCTTGATTCACTTTAACATTTGTCAGTTGGAAATATTTCATGGGTATTTTCTCTGTACGGAAGACAGTTTTGCAAAAGGAACTGAATAGGTACTAGAAATGATCCCAGGCTGTGCAAATTACAGCCTTTTGATGTCAAAACAATGTAACTATGTAAGATATTCTTTCCAGCTTCTTTCCTAGGGGTTAAAAAAACTCAAATATTATTGCTAAACACAAAGTACTGTATGGCTGGTAACAAGCTGTGTATAAAGGTCCACTTCATATTCCTTTGCCAGAACACAAAACTAAACCCTCTTGCTACTCCATATCTGATGCATTTAATTTCTTCTACTGCTGGTGTCACAGACTGGGAAAGAATTTTCTCATTTTCTCATGCTAAATTGATTAGTAATTCTGCTGTAAGTGTATTTTAAGGAATAAGACTATTAAAATGCGAAGTATAAAAAAAAAGTGATCTATATCTCCAATCTCTGGAGCAGCATCTTTAATAGTTAAATGTGATATTCCATTGTTTGGTAGTTAGTATCCTGGTAACATAATTAGCACAACAAGACATACAAAACAAACACTCATTCCTGAGTGTTCACAGACTAATACCAGGAGGAATCAGAGAAGAACTGCCCAGATATCCAGTTAGAAGATAAGCTGTGCCCTTTTTTTCCTTATTTGAACTATGGATGCATAACATTTCTCTTTATATACTTCTACATTGCCTGAACTGTGCAGTTTCAAGTATTTTGTTTAGCAGCTTGCTTACAAATGAATTCAGTGAATTTTTGAGCAGCAGAAAGACTTTGGTTTATGCTGCTGGAGAATTGCATGATCTGTATTGAGTTTGATCTGAAACTTGAAAGTTGTTCTCTTCTTTGATTAACACCTGCCTTGCTCAGTAGGGTAACTGGTCTTTCTGGCCTGTGGGAAGGCTAGGAGTGAGTGAAGAGGTGCCAGTACTGAAGCTTTTAATGTGGCATGTGTTAGTCTCATTAATAATTTGCTGCTGTATGTTAAATTGACTTATTTGAAACATTAA